ATAAAATATTAGTTAATCTAGCTAAAAAAATAAAACTTATAAAATAAGATAGCTAGTTAGCTATCTATTATTATTTTTTAAATAATCTTATAATAGCTTAATCCTAATTATTAATAAGATATTAATTAACATAACTAATTTTATAAAAAGATTAACTATCTACTATAACATAAACTAATAAAGACTATAGCTAAAGACTATAAAAATATACTAATTAAAATAAAGTATATATTTAAAAATATATAAATCTTTCTTTTTTTATAAAAATAAGAATTAATTCTTTAGATTTATATTCTTTTATTAAATATTATTATAATAATTAATATTATAGGATTTTATTAGTATTAAAAAAAATAGTAATAAAATCTTTCTAATTTTATTTAAAAAGATTAATTAGATCTTAGAAAATAAATAATATAAATATTAGTTAGAAAAATATAAGATAAAATATATTTTTATAGTAAGATTCTAATATATTATTATTATATTAAGAATTTATTAACTATTAAATTATTTTTAAGAAAAGCCTAATCTCTAGATATTATCTACTCTATAAATAATTACAAAAAAAGTTTTAGATAACTAAGATCTGTATTCTAAAGAATCTTATTAAAGATTTATTAAAAAAAATAAAGTCTTATATATTTCTCTAATCTTAATCATAATTTAAAAGCCTAGTAAAATTTCTGACTCTAATTTTATATTAATTATTATAAACTTAATTTAATTATAAAAAAAATATTATTATTTAATCTTACTAATTAATAAGATCTTCTAATAATTAGATAAAATTAAATATTTTACTAAATTAAATATCTAGTAAGGATTTTACTAAATTTATATAGATTCTAATTTAGAGAATCTCACTATCTTCTATATATATTATAGATCTTAGAAATATATTAATATAACTATCTCTTAGCGAAATCGATTTCTTATAATATCTCAATAACTAGAGGTTCTAGGATCTCCAGACCTAGTTTAAGTTTTAATTAACTCTAGGCACTATTATTTAATACTAGTTTGATATTAGTAGTAGCGATAGTAGTTATAAGTATATCTAATTTACTATTTATATATCTATCTAGGGGTTAGAATTTTCTACCTCTGACTAGGCAATATAGATAGAAATATTAGTATTAATAGAGAGATATCTAACTAATCAGTAACTAACTTAAAAATATAGAGAAGATAGCGAGAGTAGCTATAATAATACTCTACTATATTAAAGAATCTACCTATAAAACTACTAGTACTATCTATAGCTTTATAAAGTAGGTCTATCGATATATATAAAATACCTAATAAAGCGATATATAAAGAATAGAGAGGGTTCTACTAGCGCTAGAGAAAATCTCTTATATTACTAACTATCTTACCTAGTAAATAGATACTATCGAGAAATTAGCTACTGAGATCTCTAAATTAATAAGCGCTATCTAATCTTTAATCTTTACTAATAAATTATTAGTAGCGATATAGCGAGGCTTTTATACCTAGGAGTAGCGATAGTTAGTCGCTCTAGTAGGCCTATTATCCTAGCCGAGCTTAGAGGATATATTAACTAGGGTTACTTATAGTGAGCTATAGGAAGATTAGTAGATTATTATTAAGATCTATAACGAGATAATATAGGTAACGATTTATAGTCTTTTAGATATCTTTTTATAGTATTATTTTTAAAATAACTATTATAATTTCTAATAGGCTTAATTTTCTTTAAAAAAAAGCTTTTTATTTATATTAGTACTATTTTATAAGATTTCCCCATTACTAATAATTCTTTAGTAATTAAAAAGGTTTTAATTACTAGAATAGTCTATAGTTTAGTTCTAATTTTATAAATAATTTATTATATAAAGATAATATATAGAGATAGATCTATACTATTAATAATATTATCTTAATATATAGTAACTAGGTTAAGAAGAAGATAGACTAATATCTACTCTATTTTATAAGTAATAGCTTACTAACTAGTTTAAATAATATCTATAGACTCTATTTTAAATAGAAAGATTAAGTTTAGATTAAATATTTATTTAAATATATTAAAATTAGTTTAAAAATATTTACTTTTATATCTAATAGTAACTATTTAGAATTCTTTTTTTTATCTTTTATTATTTTACTTCTAATAATAAAAAGATTTACTATTAGAAAGATACTTTTATATAGGATAGCTAATAGTAATTAGATTATTCTATCTAAATTTACTAACTTTTTTATATATTATATAGTATCTTATTAATAATAATATAACTATTTATATTATTATATAAGATTTACTAATTTAATAATATAGTTTTTTATTATTAATAGTATAATAGTTTTAAGTTAAAGATATAACTACTTAGTCTAGACTATATAGATAATATTAAGTTAATCTAAGTCCTTATTAGTATTAACCCCCCCTCCTCTATATTAGTATATTCCTATACTATTTAGCTAATTTATAAATAAAAAGGTTAATAGGGAAGAGAAGAAATAGAGATTTTAAATAAAGGCTTTTTTTAATAAGAAATCCTTTAAGTCTCTATCTGGGCTATTTTCTATTAATTTTACTATTATCTAAGGATTATTTAAAAGGGAATTCAAAAAGTAACTCATAGATATATCCTTCTATAAGAAAAGATATTCCCCTATAGGTAGCTATAAAAAGCTACCTAATTAAGGGTTTACTACTATATAAGATAATAGGAGTATAAAGAGTATATTTTATTACTATAGTAACTATATCTATCTATATAGATATAAATATAGTAAATAGGGGTAAAATAGACCTATATATAGCCTAAAATATAAGGTATAATAAGAGGTAAGATATTCCTAGTATTATAATATTCTATTGGCTATATATAATAATAACCCTCTAGCTATAGTAAGTAAGAATTAGCTATCTATTTTTATTAACTAATAAGATAAACTTTATTTAATCTTTTTATAATACTATAATTATAAATATACCTAAAATAAAGACCTAAAATTACTATAAGCCTAGTTTACGATTATCTAATCTATTATTAATAAAAAAGATATCTAACTAGGGGATATCTATAATTTTAATAAGACTAGCTTTACTATGGTCTTATATTTATATAATAGATAGTTATAAGGGCTAAATATTATAGTCGGCGAGTATTTTTATAACTAGGTAATTATAAATAGATTACTATAGTTAAAATAGTAAATACTAATAGCTATTTATTACTATCTTATATAATATTCAAAAATAAAAACTTTATTATTTCTTAGTTTAATAAATAGTTTTATCTTCTAAAAGATTAGTATATCAAGGTCTCGCTAGATAGCTAGATAACTAATAAATTAGTCTTTATTAGCTATAAAAGCTCTTTATTCTAGTAACTATGATATATATAAAAAAAGATATTAGCTATTAATTCTTAATAGCTATAGTAGCTATCTTATATCTTAATTCGACTAAATCCATACTAAAAATAATATAATACTACTTTATATATTTTTATATAGTTTATATCTCTTATAACTACTTAATATTAGGTATTTTATCTTTTTAAAATATATATATAGCTACTTTATAAGCGATCTAGCTTACTAGTTATATAATAATATCGATAAATTCGACTTTCTTAATAATTATTCCTAGATATATATAAAAGCCTTTTAACTATGGATTATTTAGGGTACTTTTATAGCTACTAGTCTTATTCTAATTAACCCTAAATAGGTACTTTCGAAGCTTAATATCTTACTAAAAATACTATTATTACTAAATAGCTAGCTAACTACTAGCGATAGCTAAAATAGCTTAAAAATACTAAAGACTATTATCTAAATAGAAAAATTAGCTTTATTAATTAAAGATCTATAGAAGTAGCGATTAAATAGCCCTCTAAGCCTAATATAAACTATTTTTAATTAGCTTATTAAGAGCTATTACGAAGCGCTTTATAATATAGTATAATATATATAAAATCGCTAACCTATATATAGGTAATAAGAAAATACACTAGAAATGTATATAGTTAAATCGTTAGATAGCTTACGAAGGAGGCTTAATAATTAAAGAGGGTTAATAGCTAGTTTATTAGCTAAATTAGCTAGTTAAAGCTAATTGGGTCGTTTCGCATAAGTAGGCCGATAAGGCTATTTAACTAGCTTAGCTAGCAACTAGGGCTCTACTAAGGTGTAGTGGGTGTAGGGGAATTAGCTATAAGATCAATCAATATAAAAATCGTCAGATATAGCTAAATTGATATATTTTAGTTAATATATTTTGATGCAAAAATCTCTAATAGGGGTGGGTGTTCCGAACGGCAGGGAATTACGTTAATCTTTACATAAACTATACATAACTCATATTTTTTTATATATTTGTCCTGTTTACAGGACCGCACAGGGGACCGGGACCGCAGTAGTGCGGTCCGGTCCCCGGTCTGGTCCGGTCCCAAGCGGTCTTTGGCGAGGTCTGAACCATATAGTGACCCTAAAGGAAGGACCAAGCCCTATATAGTGTGGCCTAGTCCCTGGTCTACTCTAGTTCCTTGTGGTACTTGGTGAGGTCCCTAATTATGGTTTTGGCGCAGTCTAGGTCTAGTCTAGACTCTAGTCCCTTGTGGTCCTTAGCAAGGTCTAAGTTTAACCATCAAATACTGGTCCCATTTTTCTTTTATCACTTGCTACAAACTCATGGGTATATTGTAATATATTTTCCAGAAAACCCCGCAATAATTGTTGCGATATCATAAATGGACCACATGATTGTGAATTGGGTTAGGACGACACTCCTAGCTACTAGAGCTGACATAGCCAGGACAAATACACATTATTGTGCACGTTGTTATCCTGTAAAAGGAATACTAGAGGATATCCTTGAAATGAATATTTATACTATCCTGGGGGGAAACAGATCCTCCCTTTGATTGTAAATCTTCATGTGAACCATGATGATATTGTATATAAAGAGGGCTCAAAAACCCCAAAGCCTTAATTCTAGGTGAAGATGACCGAAAGACTGTCTAAGCACGAGTGAAAAAATACATATAGGCAGTCTTCTTCATGTCCTCAATTTTCTCGCACTTCACAACCTTCTCGTCATTAAACAGTACCCACGATGGAGAGGTTTCGCCCTTCAGGGTCTTGCGGATGAAAGCCACATAATGACTAAGGCATGTTAGCTCGAAACGGGTTATTCAAGGGCATGGAATTCCTCACCCTGCATGGACGGATGTGCCTTTATGACAGACAATTGACCGGAGTCGGTACTGGGCTGGCAAGGTATCGTAGCCAATTGGGCCTTGACGAGCTTGAACATCATCATTCTCAGCATGACTCTCCTCCATTTCATCATCGTCTGGATGACTGAAAACCCAATCTAATGCCCGGTTGACATCGCCATCCGTCGCTGCAAGAGCCCGTCGAGCACGAGGGACCTCGATTCCCATCTCGCCTAGCTGGGCAATCTTTGACTCATCTTGTTGCATATCCTCTGGGCGGCCTGCAGAATGATCCAACACGATGGGTTTGTCAATATCCGGATCCTCCATATGAGCGAAAAGCCAATTCATCGCGGCCTCCGGGTCAGAATTGCCAGTTGCATGGAGGGCCTTCTCACATCTGGGTGCGGGGAAACCCATACTCAGGAGCTGATCAAGAACTTCGCGATTGGGAATAAATGATGTCGTTTCCGTGCGCTCTGGAAGTAGCTCTTCGTTTGGATCATGCTCTCCGGCCAGATATGGCCCAAAGTCAAGTGGTTGGTCGCCAACGACTACCGGGATATCCAACTTTGTAGGTACCCACTTGACAAGTTCGAAGCGACGAGCATTGATAGTAAGCTCCTGGGGTAGGGTCTTGAAAGCAGACCGTTTAGAAAACCCATCTTGGCTCTCACATCCAGGGCAAGTGAGTTCAACGATCTCATCTGCTGTAAATATGTCCAGGCATTCGGACAAGGTCACCGATTCAAACTGATCTGCCTCACCCGGAACGCGGCGCGCAGGCACTGCAACGGAAATGTTGTCTTGTTCATCCACTTTGTAACGAACCTTCCTACAGTTGAGACACTGAAGGCGTTGTTCAATTTCGAATCGAAAGTGTTGAACGGGGTTGACCTGGTTGCCGACGTGTTTTGAAAGACTGACGGACTTAAACAGATGCAACAGAAATTCAAAGGCATCCTGTTGTCTCATCGTAGAAAACTCTTCATGGCCCTGGCCGATAAGATATTTGAACATAGATGGTGCCAATCCTTTCTGGTGAGGGGGAAGAGGGGCCTCTGATGTAGCGGCGGATGCAATAGCGCGGGGGTCTGGTTGAGAGTACCGACCAGAGAGGAGGCCATCTGCAAGTTTCCTCAACTGGGTTTCTAGATCCTGCGCTGGGGCTTGACACAATGGTGGTTCTTCGGAGGGGTGGTAGTATCGGCTCTGGAAGCCTTCGGTAGAGAAAATGCACTGCATAACACTAGAAAGATAGCAGCTGTTTCCCAGGTTGGCCAAGCCGGTAAACCCGGGACCGAAGACTGGTACGAGCTCACGGCCATCCTCCGTGGTCATGGAGAAGTCCCATGTAAGGTTATGTTCGACCTGCATCTCCATCAAGCTTTTCTCCGTCTTTTCGCGTCCAGCCAAGTAGATACCCCAATGAGCAAGATGATTGGCAAGCTCTGGGTCTGTCCGTTCCTCGTTGCATTTATAACAGTAGACATCGGCAGAGCCCTCTGCTGTAATCGAACCCAATTTGACAGCAACGGCGTGTGATGTGGCATCAGCATGGGCGAGAGCGTGCGAATTTCCCCGGGTTCCCCCAAACTGGCTCCGCCCACATGCAGTATTACCACATTCCAGACAAAGCCAGAGGTTTTCATTCAAGTCACATGCTGAGCACTGGCTAGAGTCTGCATAGATTAATAAGCATCTTGCCTCACTCCTGGGTCAAAATGGGTTGATACCTTTGGATGTGGCATCTGCAACATCCTGTTGCGTCAAACACAGAGTATGTTCACAAGGTACAAACTCCTGCTCCCAGGCCTTGATTTCTTCCCGCTTAGAGAAAGTCATTGCAGTCATGATGCCCTCAATGACCGTGGGTAGGTTCCCAGTTGTTTTGTCCACACCTTCCCGAGGGCATGAATAGCATACTACCGATGTCACAATATTATAACGATCGTCTTCCGTCTCGGCAGCAATTGCAAGTTTCGAAATTTTGGGTGGAGGCTCATCGCGCTGCAGCTGTATGAGCGAAACGTAGACAATATATCATGCTAGTAGGGTGGGAAGCGGGGGAAGGAAGACGGGAGTTCCGCATTACCTGAACTTGCTTTGGAGTTCGTCGAATGTTCAAAGCTAGCGAGTGTCCATAGCGCTTGAAATGAAGTAAGGCATGGTCCCTATCGCCAGCGCAGCCCCCATTGAAGCAATGGAGGCACACATTCAGACCAGCTTCATTGTCCTAAAAAAGTTACTACCAGACGGATTAGGGATTAGAATATGTAGACCAAAGGCACCTACGATTGAATCAAAGCACTGGGTGCAATCCTCTCGATAGACAGCCTGGGAAGGCCCTGGCGGGCTGAGATCTATTTTCCATCATCAGCAAGTCACTTCCGTGAAGGTCTGCACTCTGCCCCCGCTCACCAACCTGAAGCTCCCGAATGGACACAGGCCATATTGGAGGGTCAATGACCGAGAGTCAGGAATTTATCGGTAGGGATGAACTTGATGACGGGGAACAGGAGAAGGGAAATGAAGCGAGAGAGGCGAGCCAAAGCACAAGCCAAAGCAAAGCAAAGCAAAGCAAGGTCAAGCAGGAAGCTGCCGACGTGGGGCAACGGATTACATAATGACGTGGGGTTGGCTGCCTGAGAGACACCCCATGTGTCACGTGGACACCCACTTTACGCGTTATTCTCTGCTTTATTGAGGACGCGTCGCGGGTCACCCTTTGACCACCCAGCCGAAGTGCATTTTCATCAACCCCCTTCCCCCGCAGCTGTCTTTTTCTGTGACACATCTAAGGCCCGTGGAAATTCTTCAAGAACAACAGCTGCAACCATGGCGTCAGATGCAGCCGCGCAGGTCACTGTTGGGGCCCTCAGGTACGTCCCTCGACGCCTCGATGGCGGACTTGCGGCGAGAACCCTTCCAAATGAGCTAACCTCCGAAATAAGTGCAATATTCGATGATACCAAGCCCCAGGCGCGCGAACCAATCGTTCAGTGCGTTCAAGTCAAGCCACTTCCTCCTCAGCCAAATCACCCAGAGCGTTACCGGGCCGTCTTCAGTGACATTGCCAACTATGTTCAAACCATGCTTGCCACCCGTAAGTCAAGTCAAGTCCACCTTGTCCTTGAGTTTGGCAGTTAACAATCTTTTAAAGAGGCCAACCATGTGGTGACGGATGGATCACTGCGAAAGGGATGCTTTGTTCGCCTGAAGTCCTTTCAAGCGAATTCGGTCAAGGGCAAAAAGTAGGTGTGATTCGGGACCCAATCCAGAGCCCTGCTCTATATACTGACCAGCTACGTACAGGATTCTGATCATTCTTGATTTGGAGGTCTTGAAAGAACTAGGTGAGGCCGAGAAGATTGGAGAGCCCAAGCCTCTGGAAATCAAGGCCGATGATGAGGAGAAGACTCAACCAACCACAATTTCCAGCAATGGATTCTATGGATCCAAGCCCCCCGCTGCACCAGCACAGCAACCCAATCGAGCCCAATCTACGCGTGGCCCCTCGTCTTCTGCCCATGCCACCATCTATCCAATTGAGGCTATCTCTCCGTACTCCAACAAGTGGACGATCAAAGCCCGCTGCACGAGCAAATCAAACATCAAAACTTGGCATAACAAGAATGGCGAGGGAAAGCTTTTCAGTGTAAACCTGCTCGATGATAGCGGTGAGATTCGGGCTACTGGATTCAATGACCAGTGCGACATGCTGTACGATCTGTTCCAGGAAGGCAGTGTGTACTACATCTCCAGCCCATGCCGAGTTCAGATTGCCAAGAAGCAGTTCACGAACCTCAACAATGATTATGAACTTACTTTCGAACGGGACACCTTGGTAGAGAAGGTAAGAACATCACAATGCTAAGCAGCCAACCACAAGACTTATCAGCTCACCAATGTGTCTAATAGGCGGAGGATCAAAACGATGTCCCTCAAATCCGCTTCAATTTCACCACCATAGGTGATCTGCAGTCGGTGGAGAAAGACACCACCACCGATGTGATTGGTATTCTGAAAGATATTGGCGAGACATCTCAAATCGTGTCAAAGGGGACCGGCAAACCCTACGACAAGCGTGAACTCAACTTGGTCGACAACACTGGATTCTCCGTTCGCTTGACTATCTGGGGTGCTAGTGCGGTCAACTTCAATGTGTCCCCGGAGTCTGTTGTCGCTTTCAAGGGGGTGAAGGTCTCGGACTTTGGTGGACGGAGTTTGAGCTTGCTGAGTTCCGGTTCAATGGCCGTTGATCCTGACATCGGAGAGGCCCACCGACTGAAAGGTTGGTATGATGCACAGGGAAGAACAGAGGTGTTCACTTCCCATGCGACGCTATCCGGTGCTACCAACTCTAACATGAAATCGGACCCATTCAAAACTATTGCGCAGGTCCGCGAGGAACAGCTGGGCATGTCTGACCAGGTAGACTACTTCTCTCTCAAGGCAACAGTTGTCTTCATTCGACAGGAATCCACCTGGTGCTACCCGGCCTGTCTCTCAGAAGGATGCAACAAAAAGGTGACTGAGCTGGATTCTGGCTGGCGATGTGAAATGTGCGAAAAGACCCACCCCCGGCCAGAGTATCGGTACATCATGCCGATCAGTGTCAGTGATCATACGGGCCAGCTCTGGCTCAGCTGTTTCGATGACACTGGTCGACTAATTATGGGCACTTCTGCTGATAACCTCATGCAACTCCGGGAGAATAATAACGCTGCGTTCCAAGAGGTGTTCCACGAGGCTAATTGTCGAACTTGGAGCTTCCGATGCCGGGCCAAGATCGATACATTTGGCGAACAGCAACGGTAAGCAAGCACGCTGACCACGCCCTGACTTTGTGGACCCACCAAGCTGACGGCAATCCAGGGTTCGATACCAGGTGTCTTCCGCCAGGGCTATCAACTATTCCGAAGAAGCTTCTCGTCTAGCGGAGATTATCAGCTCCTACACCCTGGATTAGCAGGCCCCGGCATACCTGTTGACTTGACTTGACATTTCCTATCTGATTGAATTCTAACCTCTACCTAGTCCTCTGGAGGTGTTCAGGTGTCTACCATATCATATTGTTATTATGCGAACCAGAATTCGTTGCTGTTCCACTTGGCACTGAGATTGCCTACGATTCATTGCCACTTTAGTCTCACTAGCCTGGTTGTCAGTCTTTGCTCCTGTATCGTAGCCTATGTATGTGGAGCAAATAGAGAACAAATGAGTTTCTACGTACTTCCAAAATGGCATTGATGCGTACTTCCACTAGTTCAGGGTCTATTGTTGGCTTATAGGGTCTAACAAGATTGGATGGAGCCCACATGCTAGCCCGTCGGAGAGGAAGGATTAGGCGGTACTGGCGGTGAGTATAGGCAGTACATTTTTTCTCCCTTAATTTTCGTTTCCGCCCGAGTTTTCGCATTCGGCACTTGACACTTGAGAAGGCTTCTTTCCCATTCTAGCTGTCCTTTGAAAACTACTATTGCCCAGGCTCGGAGTCTGTTTTTTCTCCAAGGCTCGGCCACAAATTCATTCATCATGGCCAAACGTAGCCACCATGCTGAGCCAACAGAGCTGCGGCCAACAAAAAAGTCCAAGTCCGACGACAAGCACTCGGCATCCAAGGACAAAAAGAAAAGAAGGAACAAGAAGAGTAGCTCAGACAAGGAGAATGCCAGCTCATTGATTGAGCAGACCGGATATTCGCAGGTTTCGGGGCTCACCGATCTTGCGCAATCCCAGATCGATCAGTTCCTCGAGGAGAATACCATTAAGATCACCGATTCTTCCGCCGACGCCGTGCAGCTTCGACCGATTATTTCATTCGATTATCTACCGCCCTGCAATGAGGATCTATATGCTCCTTTGAAGTCATTCCCCGCCCCGACGCCGATCCAAGCCGCCACCTGGCCGCTTCTCTTCGCCGGTCGTGATGTGATCGGTATTGCAGAGACTGGCAGCGGCAAGACCTTAGGTTTTGGCTTGCCATGCCTCAAGAAATTGTTGGATTCCAAGCGGAACAAGAAGCCTTGCCACCCCGCTGCAGTGATCATCTCGCCCACCCGCGAGCTGGCGATGCAAATCTATGACCAACTCGCTAAGTTTGCCGATGCGGCCAAGGCTGGCGTGGTATGTATATATGGAGGCGTGAGGAAGGATGAGCAACGCGAGGCGCTCAAGACGGCCGCAATTGTGGTGGCGACCCCTGGTCGTTTGAAGGATCTCCAGAATGACGAATCTGTCAACCTTGGGAAGGTCAAATACCTGGTTTTGGACGAGGCTGATCGCATGCTGGACAAGGGGTTTGAGCAAGATATCAAGGATATCATTCAGCCCATGCCGGTCTCCAGCAGACAAACAGTCATGTTCACGGCGACATGGCCCCCATCGGTCCGGGAGCTGGCTGCCACTTTCATGAGCTCGCCGGTGACGGTGACCATTGGCGGAGATCCTTCTGCGGATCCCCGAGCCAATACTAGGATCAAGCAAGAGGTTGAGGTTGTGGATCCGCGGGATAAAGAAGGACGGCTCATCCAGCTACTCAATCGGTCTCAAAGAGCCCAGAATCCCGACAAAGTCCTGGTCTTCTGTCTATACAAAAAGGAGGCGATGCGGGTCGAAAGACTCATCAAGACGAAAGGCTTCAGGGTCGCCGGAATTCACGGTGATCTGAACCAAGCAGATCGATTCCGGAATCTGGAGGCCTTCAAGACGGGCAGTGCCACCGTGCTGGTCGCAACTGACGTGGCGGCCCGAGGCCTGGACATCCCTGCGGTGAAATTGGTGATCAATGTCACCTTTCCCTTGACGGTGGAGGACTACGTGCATCGCATCGGACGAACCGGGCGAGCTGGAGCGGAGGGTCATGCCATTACTCTATTCACCGAGCAAGACAAGGGACTTTCTGGCGGGTAAGTGACACCTCCCAGGGGGGACTCCCCCCGCGAAAAAGAGATGATACATGTCTTTTTCTTCTTTTTTCCTGAGCTTCGTACTGACGTGAACAGTCTCATCAATGTCCTCAAGGCTGCGAAACAGGATGTGCCAGAGTCCTTGTTGAAGTTTGGCACCACAGTCAAGAAGAAGCAGCATGACGCATACGGGGCATTCTTCAAAGACATTGGCACAGACAAGAAGGCGACAAAGATTACGTTTGATGACTGAGATGGGTGTTGCAGATAAAATATCTATTCGTATTTGGCTCCTTTTGTGCGGGAAGATATGACTGGCCGCAATTTCGTCAGCTGTCCTGCGATGTACTCTTTTTCCATATAGAGCCTGTTATTGATTTAGTTTCTAGACCCGGTGTCCGCAAGAGCAGGCAATTGATCTGACTTACATTAAAAGACCATAGACACCACAGAATGAAATGGCAGGCATGATACCCCCACTTAGCTCTGACAATCCCTGCTTGGCCACGACCGTGGTTGCAATAGCTCCAATGATGTAACTAGTAGGGCGCATGCGCACTTCTCCGCCACCTAGGCCAATTCCGTGCCGGTGGAGATAGGTTCGAATGTAGGTATAGCTCCACAGAGTTCGGACTGCCATGTTCACCATGTTGGCCAAGACAAGCCCATATGCACCCATGGAACCTACTTCCAGGAACACGTAGGTCGCCAGGGCGTAACATGCAGAGAAGCCGCCCATCCAGAAGGTTTGATTCCGAATATCCCGTGAATTGGCCGCTGATGACACAAATGCTTCCGTGATGCCATTGAACGCCAGGAATGGAATATAGTAACAATAGAGGGACAGCAGATCGCCCACTTTGGTTGATGCCCACTGCTGGCCACCCAAAATACGAAGCACATGCGGAACCATCAAAGGACCCAGTGGAAATATAAGGAGCGAAAGGAGTTGATAGGCATGAAGAATGTCGATCAAATGCCTTTTGGCAGCTCGGACTTGGGTGTCATTCCGTTTGCCGTTATCGTCCGGGCTGAGCAGTGTCGAGAACAGATTTCGGCTGCTTTCTTCGAGGGGCTGGAATATGATGCGAGCAACAAGACCGCCGTAATTGGCCGCTAACGAGTAAATGCCTTGGTCTTCCAAGGTAGACATGGCGGCGAGCATCATTGAATCACCCTGAGTGAGAAGATGCTTCACCAGGGATTGGAAAAAGACACTCGCGGCAAGCGATGTCAAGTGACGAGAGAATCGACCCCAAAGGTATTCCGAGGTATCCCTGGGAATGGTTAATGATGGTCTGAATCCATGTGCCTGGAACAGGAGGACAGTCTTACCTAGATGGTATCCTGGTGAGAAGAAACGCGAACTGCCTCTCGCTTGTTCCTCGGAGCATGGACCAACAGTAGCCGAAGAGGAGAGCAATGGAATAGCTCAAGTGGCCCAGGGCGAAGGGTAAAGCACCGACGGGCTGATTGAGGCGAGAAGCACATAGGAAGGTCGAACACGTCGTCAGACTTCGAAGAAATGCCGCTGGCATTTCGACGGCGGCTCGTTTCTCATACCACATGCGCTGCTGAATGACGGCGAAAAATGGTTCTATACAGAGTTCCAAGAAGGAGGCCAATCCTGTGACAGCCACACTTGTTTGGAAGAAAGGGGTATCTGCTGCCTGCGTTGGCGCGAGATACTGATAAAGCAAGGTCAATATAATCGTGAAGGGTAACCCGAGACACAGGCTTAGATAGGACACGTTCACCACCGATTGGGAGGCAATTGAGAGCTGGTCTAGCGGGGAAGTTGGTCCCGACTTCGTATGTTCCTTCCTGCCCAGAGACGGTGCTGGCGCTGGCGTCAGGGGTTGTCTTTGGATAGCTATCCGGATGCTTTCCCTGGAGAAATACAGGATCGTTACTTGGTAAAGCTCCAGTTGAGCGGCGATACCCAGCACGATCGGCGACATCGTACGTAAGATCAATTGGTTCGAGGTGAAGGTGAAGGTCCTTGACGCCAGTTGGATCATGATCAAGAACGTTGTGCCTGTGGCAGATGAGGCCAGCATGCTGCCCATGCGGGCGTCGGTAGGTTGAGACATGACGATCGAGGCGAGAAGTTAACTCCACTCTCGTCCACCTCCGCGCGCTGTCTTGCGACTAACAAAACTGCCACCAAGGGAAGCCTCTGTGGGTGTAAGTGAGAGGTCTAGCGGAGCTACGAAGAGCTAGCGGTTGGAGGGTGGTTCAGTTGCTGAGGGCGGTCAAAAGATGCAAATGGGGGAAATCATTGATCGTGATGAATCGCCCGAATCTTCCACTGCATCCTTGCTGAATGGTATACTACTCAGATTGGTATAATACACTTAACTCATAATACTACGAGATACCCACGCATTGGAGATTCAGTAGAGACGCCTCTAATATTCTTGCTAGCATAGTACCCTGCAGCCCCGAAGGGAGAAGGGTGGCCGCAATGATTCCATGGATTTGTGTCGATCTGCGGTTGATCATTACAAAAATCAAGTAGGCAGAGAAGGGTTCTGAACAGATGCAACATGATCATTGCATTGGTCTACGAGTGTACAGGAGTGGAATACAGGATGTCGCCGGCGACAAGGAGAAGCCTGGAGACCAGTAGTCGGACGATGGCACCTCTCTTTTCTGAAAGAAGCCAGCCCAACCCCAGATTGTGCGGCATTGTTGGTACGTTCGGCACATTTGGGAAGTACATGAGTTGGGCTGTTTGCTGCGGAGAACATTCCGCTGTGACGAACCCCCTGGGGCGCGCGGGGAGGTGGGGTGCGATTGATCTTTAGAACGGGGGTAGGTAGAAAGGATAGCCACCATTCTTGGTCTTGAACACACTGAGGAGAAGGCTGTACGTCCCGAAAAGAACGCCAGCCCAGATCAAGACTGCCAATTGCTGTCCCTTGACATCCTCCATGCGCGGAACCTTCAGTGCGAGGGCAATGGTCGCAAACGAGAGGACAGCATCTATGTAGAATTGGGATTAGAATCGAGAACGTGGCGTGGATTGACCCACGAGAAGGAAAGGGTGGAAAGGGTTTGTCTTACATATGGCAGCCACAATCTGTGTCTCCAGGCCAAACTGGTTCTGGAATCCGCCCGCAAAGTAGCTGATGCCACCTTTGCCATCTCCAGCCACATATGGAACTTTCCGGATATGATTGAACATTTGACCGCTCGTGAATAGAAGAATGGCGATCAGACTGACGGCGGCCCAGAGGTTGCGGTTCTGAATAATAGGTAGCACGTAGGGCGATATGACTGTGAAGAGCGTGACGGCGGCCATCAAGATTGTGATCGCCGAGACGATGCGCATATAGTTGACGGGTCGAACCAAGGGAGGCTTAGGGCCATCAGGCAAGTGACGATTGATCCAGGAATAAAGTTGATCGGCGGAAATTGGCCTGGAAATGAGAGAATAGATGAGTGGACGGTGCTTGAATCATAAACCTGAGCTTCTCACTTACCCCGTGAAGTCAAACCTCACAGGCTCGGATTCCACCTTGGCGAAAGGTCCCACAGTAGGAGGGAAGAGCAGGATGACGGGGGCAGTTTGGAGCATGAGCTATTTTGAGTGTTCGAGGGTTGAGTCAGCCATTGGGTTCATCGTTCGTTGTGCGGTAGGGTTCCCAGAAGGGGTCACACCTTTTGGAATACAGTCTTGCCCTGATCGAAATCCAGAGTCCCAAAGACCATCTTCAACCCATCCGGCTTGTTGCCTTTGTTCCAGCTCCGGGCAATGAGGTCCCATTCGGGATCAAATTCACGACACATGAGGCAGCCATAGCGGGCATCCATGGCAGTCAGAATGACGGCCGCATAGTAGTCTCGGGGGCCATTCGTGAGCTCTTCGAAGGCGGCATTGTCCAGATCAACCGGGCCTGATCGCGAGAGGGATTGATATTTCTGGAACTTGTCTTGCGAAGGCTTCGCGGCGAGGACGCCGGGGATGACCGAGCCAAGCAGGAACAGAGCGGACCAGAGCTTCATGTTGGCATGACAGGAGTAGGAGAAGATGGGGAGCTTGGGTCCGCAACTGCAGCTCTTCCGTTGCGGACGGAGTGCAAGGTGTCCCCAAGGGGTTACGTAAGGGCCGCCCCGCCCAAAACACCGGGGGACGCGTTCCTCCGCAGTCGACGAATGGGCGCATGGTGAGAGCGCGCAAAATAGCTACCGTTCTCGTGTGATTGTTGAAGAACTCGGACGCACCATGGCAGGGGCTACCGAAGCGTCGCTGCTGGATGTACGTCGCTTATTCTTCTGGACTAGATCCTCCGGACTGACTGATCTAGTGCGAGATGTCCATCAAGACTGCGCGTCTTGAAAAGCAATATGAAAAGGCGATTGCGGACTCGGCGCGTCTGCTGGATACGGAGCGAGACCGTGTGAGGCGGATGGAACATCTGCTTCTCCAATTCGATCGCGACGCTTTGTGGTCACAGCTCGACCAGGCCAATGAGCGATTACTTGGGTTTACACGGGTCCAGTCCGAGGCACGTCTTCAATTGGATGAAGCCTTCCAGGAAATTGATCGCCTAGATCAGTATGTGCAGGCTTCGTCAAGCGAGATCGAGAGGCTGAAGGTGAGCGATTACCTGTTCCAAGATCTGTTATCATAAGGGGGTGCGAGTCTGATTTCTGACAGGAGGAGCTTGCAACACTCCATAATACGTCACGCGGCTACAGTACGCTTCTCACCGAGAAGCTTCATCTCTCACGAGAGCTATCAAATCTCAAATCCGAACTGGAGCGGCTGCAAACGCAGGATTCCTCCCAACAGGCGATGGTGGCTGAGAAACACGCGATGGAGCGACAACTCAATTCATTAGAGCTTCAGCTCGAAAATGAGAAGCATTCTCACGAACGCACGCGTGCGAAGAGCTCCGCACAAGCGGCACAGATCACCACTCTCACATGCAAGATCGAAGAGCTCCAAAGTGACGTCACAAGGGAACAACGAGCAAAGCAACAGCACGAACGAGATGGCAAGCAACAGAATGCGGGATGGGAAAAAGAGCGATCGGTACTTGAGGGGAAGCTCGAAACGCTGCGTGGGCAACTCCGGTCGACTAAGGACAAGCTCCAGGAAGCCCAGCACGATTTGCAGCAACGACGCAGCAACATCCGCGGTAGCGAAGGGGATGGCGCTGAACCACGATCGCGAATGGTTCCCCTCCAACGTCCCGGCCCCAGCGCAGACCCCTATGGCGGCGTGACCATTGCTACCCCAGGAGCGGTGCGGGTGCAAGAGAAGCCAAAGAGGCAATCCGCGCTGCCGGGCGACAAATCCGCATTTTCCATCACCCCGTTCTTGAACCGCACTGGTGCCGCCCCTCGCGATACCTCAATGAGCTCTGATGTGGACGAAGAGGAAATTGAACAGGCAGTGAAGGAAAGCCATACATCAATGCGAAAGCCCGGTGGCGCCGATGACCCGAGTGACCCAGAACTATCCCCGAGCGACTCAGCAGGCCCAACCCGCGCGCTCACCAAGGCGAAAGCTGGTAAGACGAAGCCACTCGCACGAGTGGGACCACCTGCAGCATCGAAAGTAGCAAAGGAATCGAAACAGCATCTCAGTCACCCTGTCAGGAATATTCCTCTTGCGGAGCCCGAGGATCAACTACATGATGGGCTGGCGGAACAAGGTCCGGCGAAAGCAAAGAGGCGGAAACTTGGGTCTCAGCGGGAGCGCAATCTGTTCGAGGACGAAGACGAGAATGAGGATATACCTGACCTCCGTAAACCGGGACGGAAGTTGACTCTCGGAGCCGGGCGCAGCTCGGTGCTCGCTGCACCATTGTCTAGTGCTGCATCGGGTGGGGATCGATTAGCTCGCGGTGGAGGGTTCGGCGCGGCCGTGGGATTCTCGCCCTTGAAGCGAGACCGAATGCGATAGTAATACATCATGAATCCCACATCAATCTTAACCTTAATCCTATTCTCAATATGATTACTGCTCTCTCTCGTGCCCTGTACATCACCCTAGATCCCGTAGCGCGTTGGGAGCTCGCCAAGTGGAGAGAGTCTCCGCGTCGCGTGCCGGTCGTTTCTGCCGGCAGAACACCTTTCCTTCTTCCTCCGCGAAAGCTCGTCCTCCTCTCTCCAGCTACTACGTCATGTTTACATTCTCTTCGGCCCAGCCTCGAGCTGTCTGGGGCTTGGGGCTGTTTGGCCAGATCCGTCAAGCATCGTCGAAGCGCTGGCAGGCTCGGCAGCATAAGGATCAATTCACGAGAGAGGCGACAGTGCAAGGCCTGAAAAGCCGAGCTGCGTTCAAGCTGTTGCAGGTACTATGACATCCCCACAAGGATCTAATAATATCTTGCTTCCCCCACAGGAACCAAGGAACTCTGACAGGTGTAGATCGATGAAAAATACCGGATTTTCAGGAGTGGACAAACTGTTGTCGACTTGGTATGCTTGTCGCTCACCGTGTTGGTAAGAGGGGGGGGACCCAGGCTAATCTATCATTCTTGACCCCCTAGGGCTATGCACCAGGGTCATGGTCACAAGTAGGTTGATGTACGCCCGCCTGATGAATCTTTGAGTATTAAATCGATATCCCAGGTAGCCGCGAGTCGGACTCAGCCCAACGGCCGGGTCCTTGGCGTGGATATCATCCCGGCGCAACCACCCAAAGGAGTTTCCACCATTCAGGGGAACTTCCTGGCGCCCCAAGTCCAAGCATATATCCAAGAGTTCTTGCGCAACCCTAATAGGGGTCGACCTCGGCAGGCCGGGGCCATCGATGACGCCAATCCCAGTCTGCTCGAGCCAGCCAGCAATGCCGACGCCGATGCAGCACGAACTGCCGATGAAAGACAGGAAAGGACGGTGGACGTGGTTCTCAGCGATATGTCTGCTCCCTGGCACCAGACGTCCGGTTTCTGGAAACGAAGTCTAAGTAATCCCTATAACAGGATGATGAACACCAGTGGAAATAACTTCCGAGATCATGCGGGTAGTATGGTATGAGCTCCGCACGGCCACCTTAGTGCACATGAAACTGTACTAATCTATCCGGATAGGACCTCTGTCACTCTGCTTTACGCTTCAGTTCGGACGTCCTCAAGGCAGGTGGGCATTTTGTCTGCAAATTCTACCAAGGAGCAGAAGACAAGGAGTTGGAGAAACAGCTGAAAGACTTATTTCAGAAGGTCCATCGACTCAAGCCCGAGTCATCCCGCAGCGTCCGCCTTGTCTTTTCCCAGGCACCACTGGCTATTAGCTAACGCAATTGACAGGAATCCAAAGAGGCCTTTTTCGTTGGTCTCGAACGCAAACCATGAATGAAACCGAATTCACCTGGCGCCAACCAAACCCCAACAGATTTCAAATGACGGTTGCCTGCTCTCTACAGAATCTCAAGCTCGTCATTCCCTGAACCTTCCTCCCACTCGATGTCGGCCAGGGCTGCTTCGGCTTTCTCTTGAACCTGGTGGCTTGTCAGAAATACCCGGGGATTGAAGTTAGCATTACCTCTGTGTGGGTTTTACGTACCTCTTTGAGCCCGCTTAGTTCTTCCACGTACCCAGGCTCGTTCAGGGCTTTTCGCACAAATTCCCAGCCTTGTTCTCGGTATGCACTGGCCACCTTCTCCGAGCAAGCGCTGCAACATGAGTAACTTTGGCCGGTGACGGTAATATTCTCGAATGTTGCAAGGAACCCTCGAATCTGATGTGGCACAAGCCCAAGAGGATGATCCCCGCGATCGTCACTACGGGTCAGTGGGGCTGGTGCTGCGGCGCCCTGTGGGTGCTGAAGGATCGATACGAGCAGTTCAACCAAAAGCGCAGAGGCTATCGCAGCGACTCCAGGGCGGGTGACGGTGCACTGTTGATCGAGAGTCTGGTCTTTGATCGACTATTGTGGGGGTCAGCTTGGCATCAACCAAAGCCCAGGGTTACATCTTACATTCGCGGGCGCAACGACATCGTTACAGAAGTAGCATCCCAGATCCGCCGGTGCATCTTCGGCCCCAGAAACTCCATGGCGCATTACAACAAATGAATCGAATCCCAATGCTGCGTTCACTACAATCTTCCCCGCTGCTTTCCCCATAACTGTAGGTAGCCAACGTGACTCTCGGGTGTCCATGAGAAGAAAGATGGCGTCATGTTCGTCAATGAGTTCTTGGAGAGCTTTGAAATCTGCCCGTGTCGCCTCTTCATCCATGATGGGGTGGCCCGCCATGGGCACCGAAAGAAGATGCCCAACGGTATCAACTCCCGGATAGATTTCCTTCAGGGCCTCTGATGCTCGGTGGGCTTTTGGTGCGCCGCCATTCAAGCAGTCGGCGAACGTGAAGAGGGGCTGGCGGACGGGATTGGAGAATGAAACAGTGCCTTTGTCCACAAAGGTGATTTTTTTCACCCCCCACCCCTGAAGTCATATGTGTTAGTCTGTACATTAAGAGTCCAGTTGCGCAACGAGGACAGTGGTACATACCAGCAAGTTGCGGGAGACATAGCTCCCCAGCGTACCAGCCCCGAGTAAAAGACACTTGGTGTGCTTGATCTTCTCGAGATTCAGCGACGGGCTGATGCGCCATTTCATGAGTTTGAGATTGAGGTCGACTGATTGGTCTGCCAGCCTGTCCGCCGTCCCAAAAGACGAAAGATTAGTAGTCGACAGCCTCATTCCATCCGATGTGAACACTGTACCTGATAGGATCCATGTATTCCGTTAAATTAACAATCCTTCCTGCCAACTTTCCAGCAGGGTTGCGCTCCCAGCCGGTGATTTTCGGCATCTGGCCGGGCGTTGGCCGGGTGTTGGCCGCCTTGGAAATATTCCCCGCAGGCGTGGATTCCAGACGGATCACCATACTACGACCCTGATCACGTCTGGATAAAACGTCGCGATATCGTAGAATCTGCACCCGGTCCAGACCCCACCGTTGTTTCACAAGGACCAACAGATTCCGAAGCATCCAGCCCGGAGCACTCTCATAATTGGACGGATCCGCGAAGCAGACATACCGGTCATCGGGTGCGGCACCGGTGAAAAAGCCGTTCTCGTATTCCGATAACGAAGCGATTCTCCAGGTGCTCTCGGTCGAGTTGCTTGGGTTCTTCCGCTGCTTGCGGGCTAGGAAGAATCCGCGCTGTCGGCTATCGACTCCATAACTCCAGGTTTGCACCGCATCTACCAGGGCAGTGCTATCCAGAGAAGCAAGATATTCCCCCGGGGGTGAGGCCTCCCCGGCTTGATGATCAGCTGAGCCCACTGGGACCCAGGACGGATCCGAGTGGAGGGCAGGGAATGCAAACCAGTAGTAGAACTTATATTTCTTCAGGTCGGCAAAAGAGATAATGATGAAGGATGATAGCAGGGATGGGCACGAGTAGATGGTACCGTCATTGATGGCATCCCAGATCTGCATCTCCAATCAGTATAAGTATATCATAAACCATATCAGTACATCACTGCTCCTTGTGATTTTCAGTAGCTCCGAGGGCACACTCGTACCGTTTTCCCTGCCTGGAGGATCATATGTGGCTTGTCCATGTTGCGATATTCCTCAATCGTATTCACATTCTTGATCATGCCTTCTGCACGGTAATAACCTGTTGGTGCTCTGCGCACGTCTCGTTAGCCTGAAGGGTCAACGTCCGAATATAGGTATGGGAATATCGTGGAATGTACTCGTTATTTGCAAGCGCATTTCCATGGATCTGCATTCGACAGCTAGCATTGTCCGCGTCGGCGGGGCGAATCTCGTAGAGCCCTAACATGGAGCGAGCGGAGTCGTCCAGCATGTCATGGTTGATCTTATGCGAGGCGAGTGCCGTGTAGAACGGCAGCTCAATATCGGACGCATATGGCGTGTACTGCATCGTGGTGGGGTGGAATCACAGACCACCGGGAGTCCGAGAGGGTGTAAAAGGAGGCAATATACAGTCCTTTTATTTCAGTCCTGTTGTTGTGAGTTGGGTATAGTCAGTAGAGTAGGAGCTGTGGAGGGGAAGTGGGGGTGATGTAATCGACGGGGCGCGAACCGCGCGGGTAGAAAAGGATGAAAATAAAGTGACCGCGTGCCCATCGCGTGACCCGCCCTCGTGGAAATTCAAAGTCCCACGTTATTCCACCTTCAGCCTCTCCCACACTCCACGACCCTCCTCGTCTGCAGTGGTCTGGTCTTGTGGCCTTTTTGTTTCTCCTCAGAATGCTCATCGGCTTATGCGGAGGTCAGCCGAACACTCTCTCTGCTGTGCCACATGAACTAACCCCTCCGTGGAAGGCATCTGCGCTGGCAAGCATGCGATTGCCGAGTATCTGATCCAGCACCAAGGGTTCCAGCTCCTCGAGCTAGACAGCAAATACCACCAGCGCATCACCGACGAGCCCGAGGATGACCTGCGATTACAAGCCTCGCGAATCAGGAAGAACCGAGACGCGTCTGACCTGGTGTTCGACACCCCCGATGCCTTATTAGATTTCGCATTGAAAAGATGGCAAGAGAAATGGGTGACTACAGACATCGCAGATGGTTCGACCCTTGACCGCTTTCTACTGCGGCCGTTTTTCTTGCTGGTGAGCGTGGACGCCCCCGTCAGCCTTCGTTGGAAACGATTCTCGGACCGGTTAGTGGCCCAAACCCCCAAATCATGTATCTCTGAGAATGGTAGCGATTGCAAGTGGCACGTAGACAGACAGACTTATTTCCTTTGTATGATGTAGGTGCTGGCGAAGACAACTAGATCCACCTGATCTGGAGAAATTCGTGCTATGGAACGACCGTCACCTATATGAAAAGGACATTGGGCGGGTCTATCTCACCGACAGAGCCCAAGTGCGCCTATTCAACTCCTCTTCATCACTGGAGGAACTTCACCAGTCTCTGCAGGTGCTGGATCTGGCCGATGAGCAGCGTCTACGACCGAATTGGGATCAATACTTCATGCAACTCGCCTCTCTTGCTGCTCAGAGAAGTAACTGTATGAAACGACGAGTGGGCTGTGTACTCGTCCGAGAACGACGAGTCATTAGCACGGGCTACAACGGTACCCCTCGACACTTGGCTAATTGCAACGAAGGCGGATGTAAGAAGCATGAGCTCCCCCTTCCACCCTCCACCCTCCCTTCCCTCTAATGACAGTATCCCATGTGTCTTGCTGAACGCTGCTTAGGCCCCCGATGCAACCGTGGCGACGGTGGTGGAGTTGGCCTCTCCACCTGTCTCTGTCTCCATGCCGAAGAAAACGCTTTGCTGGAGGCTGGCAGAGAACGCATTCGGGAGGGCGCTATTCTTTATTGTGACACGTAAGTCCCAACTTGAAAAGAATTCATTTTTTTCAAATCTTATTCTCATACATGAGCGCAGATGCCCGTGCTTGACTTGCACGGTAAAGATTGCCCAGGTTGGCATCTCCGAAGTTGTATACTCCCAGGGCTACAATATGGACACGGAAGTAAGTCGGTGCCGGCAGCTGTGAATCAAATGGAACGTTCAACTGACGCAACCCTCTAGAGTGCGGCCATTCTTGAGGCTGCAGGTGTACGCCTGCGACAATTTAGCCCTGTAAGATCTTCCTTCAGCATCACTTGTTCTATCACCTCGTGCTAATAATCTGTGTTTAGCCGTCAAATGGTCTGATTTATCTGCAGGGCTCTGATTGAGCGCTCGGAAAATAACCATCGAATCTTGACGACGATGACGATTATGACAATGATGAAGATGAGAGAAGATAGAGGGGTCAGGATAAGACACACAGTTATATCATGTGTGAGCATATAGATGAGCCGGTATGCTTGGCTGAGTAGTAGGGGTACAAACGGATAGACCAAATGTGAAATCAAGAACCCAAGAATCGATTTCGAAGTAAAAATAAGCCGTCCAAAATCTAGACCTGGCTTAATGCCACATGCCATGCGCTCAGTATTGCGGCCAGGTCCGAATCCAATAATAAGAGCACATTGTCCATGTGGTCAGATCGTGCCACTGTTGGAACTGGAGACAGGACTTCATGAGCCCATATTCGATTTCTAATTTATAGACGAGACAACAGGGCGGATCTTCCATTCCCTTTCTAATTAATAGATTTATTAATACTCACAAACATCCCCCACCAACGCCATCTTTCAACTCGCCTCGAATGTACCTGCAAATGTCCACCAGTCCGGGAGCACATGTTCTTCAGAGGATAAATGCTCATCAATCAGCTTTTCTCCGAATATTATCCCATTGGTAACGAATCACTGAAGAGATGCAACCGCCAGGGATAAGGAAGAAAGACAGGATGAGCAATTAATTATTCTTTCGCCTCCTTGCAGCTCCTTGGAGGCGTCCTGATGGTAAAGGCCAGGAAAATCTCGATGGGAGTACTCTCACGTTTATTTTTGGCATCAAATATATCGAACAGAGACTTGAGAGTAGTCATGCACATACGGTATTTCGGCGACGAAGAGGTGCAGGAAATGCATGATAGTAGCTACTCATCACATTATACCTAAGCCTGGATCTAATGACTAGTTATTCTCCCAAAGGCAAACCATAGATTTGTGATCCTCCAGGACAGAGAAGGTTGTGCTGTATAATGTAGCTAGTCGTCGCGAATACGCAATGCGGTGGTATCTGACTGACTGTCTATTTTCTAGGTTCCTTAATTGACGTTCTACGGAAACCAGGTACCGCAATATTTGCCAAAGCATCAACCGCATCGAAAGGCCTGCAACAAAAAAATCGTTGCTTTGATCCAGATCCTGTTCTTTGGCCTTGATATTTCAAAACCATCGTCTTCTAATACGTGTTCAGTGTGAAGGGACTGCGGGTAGTGGATGCCAGTGTCCTGCCAGCGACGGTGGTCAGTCACCATCAGGAGGCGCTTTTGTACGCGGTGGCTGAGAAGGCTGCTGAACTGATCGCCGGTCAGTGGTGGCTCTGCCGCACATAATAATTCTTGAGTTTTGATTAGTATAAAAGGAATGTCGTCAATTTCAATAGATACACACAAGGGCAAATTCGCTCCTCAGGGAACAGACCGTATGCTCTTGTGTACTTGCAGGTAGCGGGTACTCATTGTAAGGAGCAAAATAAGCCCAGTCATAAGTACTCAGTACTTTTCCTTCCCCGCCGGCCATTCCGACATTCTGCCTGGCAGAAAAGCGAAGGGAAATGACTCAGCGGGTGAATTTTGGAGGGGCTATCAATGACTCCGATCTTCCCTTCCATGCTGGACTCAATTCCTCCCTCATCCGCTGTTTGCCCAAAAGTTGCCTTTGTGGCTGCAGAGTCATCTCCCCAAAATGCCGACTGTTCACCTTCTGGACTACGTCGCGGGGAACATCCGCTCGTTGGTCAATGCGATCAACCAGGTCGGATACGAAGTGGAATGGGTCAAAACCCCCGAAGATGTGAAGAACGCTGACGTATGTGAAAGAAGAAGCTGCAATTTATGAAATTCTAAAACTGTGGCCACTGTTCTGGGACTAATGTTCATTGCGTGCGGTAGAAATTGATCCTTCCCGGTGTCGGCCACTTCGGCCACTGCCTCTCACAACTGGAGCAGGGCGGATTCCTGGGCCCAATTCGGCAGCATATTGAAGCTGGAAAGCCATTCATGGGTATCTGTGTCGGCCTGCAGGCTCTGTTCCAGGGATCCGAAGAAGACCCTAACGTCCCCGGTCTGGGCGTGGTTCCCATGCGCATCCAAAAGTTCGACGACAAATCCAAGAGCGTGCCGCACATCGGGTGGAACTCGGCCATGAACACGGGGCTTGAGGTGAAGAAGCAGAGTTTCTACGGATTGAGGCCGACCAGCAAGTACTATTACGTGCACTCCTACGCGGCGCCCTACACGGCGGGAGTCCTCGAAGCGGACGGCTGGTCCGTTGCGACGGCCACTTATGGCGAGGAGGAGTTCATTGGCGCAATCAGCCGGGGCAATGTCTTCGGTACCCAATTCCACCCTGAGAAGAGCGGCGTGGCGGGGCTACGGGCCATCCGCGCGTTCTTGACCGGGGACCAGTTCCAATCTCTTCCCCAGGACCTGCTTGCGGGCAAGGAAGACGGACTCACACGTCGGGTGATTGCCTGCCTCGATGTGCGGACAAATGACAACGGAGATCTCGTCGTGACCAAGGGTGATCAATATGACGTGCGCGAGAAGAGCGGGGTGGATGCGGGCGGCCAGGTTCGCAACCTCGGAAAGCCCGTCGACATGGCCAAGAAGTATTATGAGCAAGGAGCGGACGAGGTGACCTTTTTGAACATCACATCGTTCCGCAACTGCCCCGTGGCAGACGCACCCATGCTGGAAATTCTGCGGCGGACATCAGAGACGGTCTTCGTACCCTTGACGATCGGCGGAGGCATCAAGGACACGGTGGACACCGATGGCACCGCGATCCCCGCGCTGGATGTCGCAACCATGTACTTCAAGTCCGGCGCAGACAAGGTCAGCATCGGCTCTGATGCCGTGTTCGCCGCAGAGGACTATTACAAGTTCGGGCTGAGCGGGCGCACCGCCATTGAGACGATCTCGAATGCCTACGGGAAACAGGCAGTGGTGGTGAGCGTCGATCCGAAGCGAGTTTACGTGGATCGACCGGAGGACACCACCCACCACACTTTGAAGACCGCTTATCCTAATGCCAATGGGCAGGAATACTGCTGGTACCAGTGCACGGTCAAGGGCGGCCGGGAGACCCGCGACATGGATGTGAGACAACTGGTGCAGGCGGTGGAGGCGATGGGTGCGGGTGAAATCCTGCTCAACTGTATTGACAAGGACGGCAGCAACAGTGGATTTGACCTGGAGCTGATCCGCGATGTGAAGGCGGCCATTAAGATCCCGGTCATAGCCTCCAGCGGGGCTGGAGTGCCGGGTCACTTTGCGGAGGTTTTTAGCCAGACGACGACCGATGCAGCATTGGGTGCAGGCATGGTAAGTGTCCAATATGAGGCTATCTTTTTTGGGGCGTATATGAAGGAATTTGCTGACTTGAAATTTCCCTAGTTCCACCGTGGAGAGTACACTGTGAGCCAGGTGAAGGATCACCTTCAGGCGGAGGGATTCCTGGTCCGCCAGTTCGAGGCGGATCTTTGAGACTGGGGATGGCTATGTTGAGAATGTGTAAATGGGGGTTCCGTCCTTGAATAGATAGACTTTATGTTAAAATGACGCTACATAGGACCATGCTATTTACACTCGTAAGACTTCCTGTTCCGGAAACAGCGTTCGCTGATATAAGCAAGGCGGCGAGGTTGGCGGTCAGGTGGACTTTTCCGGTCGCCACTTCACCTCACCACTTCACGCACCACCTCACCTCCTCACATCTCCGACATCATCGGCAATCCCCCGACATCCGGTGAACGCTGCACTTTCCACTCCCGATCTTTCCGTGAATGGGCATCATCGCCAACTGTGCCTCTGAAGAGCTGTGACTGACACCAACGTGATACTCCCCTTGTCTACGCGTCCTGTGGTGGTGAGACCAAACGCCCGGACTGTTCCCAGGTGACGGAGGGGGCTCTGTGAAAAACGAAGGACTATAACCTTTCTTCACATCTGTGTCTCTTATCCAGCGACAGTTTTCCTTTCTTTTTCCTTTCTGTCTTCGACAGTTGTATTCTCATCCGTGTCATCCGTGTCATCCTTGTCATCACTGTCCTCAGTGCTTTGATCTTCTTCATTTGTATGCAGTGTGACCGCTCACCTTTCAGCATTCAAGAGAAAGATTCATTCTCAATCTACCCTCTCGAACATTCCCTCCGATAGACCAGAAGCCTGTCGACCGTGCTGCCTATAAAGAACCAAAACCCTCTTCGTTGTGATTTCCACCACGCAGTATCCTGACGCAAAGATACTGTCCTTGGCTGGCTTTCGTCCCTTTCCGTTTCTCCGTCATTCATACTCCGTACCCCCCTACTCTGCTGCCATTCCCCCTGCTTCCTTGTGCCTGGGTGATTGAGGGTGCTCTAAAAAGTTTCCAGTCTGAATTCAACCACCCGTTCTCTTTCCCCTTTTCTCCTTTCTCGGGTTCCCACAGAGTTCAATACAATGTCATCGTCAGTTCATTTCAAATTCAAGTCCCAGAAAGAACCCTCGCGGGTCACCTTCGATGGCACTGGTATTTCCGTCTTTGAGCTCAAGCGCGAGATCATCAGCCAGAGTAGATTGGGCGATGGGACCGACTTTGAGCTGGAAATCTATGTTGAGGACACTGGAGAAGGTAGGTGACACCAACTCTGGTCCGAACTGCAATGCCATGGATTACAACCTAACCCGCCTGTGCTAGAGTACGACGATGACACAACCATCATCCCCAGATCCACCTCCGTCATTGCCCGCCGACTGCCAGCGGCTCGCCCTGGTAAAGGTGGTGCGGCCCGCTATGTCTCTGGTAAAATGCCTGTCAATGCTCGCAATGCCTCCCGCACCGAACCGTCGACGAATCGGGCTATACCGGGGATGGGCGGATCAGTCAACAACATGCTGGAGCTCAACAATGCGCAGACAGAGGAGGAAAAGATTAATGCGCTCTTTAATCTGCAAGCCAGTCAGTGGAAGGAGCAGCAGCAGGAGATGGCCAAGTGAGTGTGCTGCGTACTATCGGGTATGATTGAGGATGCTAACATGTCTACGCAGTGCGACCCCGGTGCCATTCGGCCGTGGCAGGGGGAAGCCCGTCAATGTCCCTGACCACCCTCCTCCTCCCGGATATCTATGCTACCGTTGTCGAGAGAAAGGTACCTTTGCTCCGTTTTCCCCTGTGTCCCATCGTGCCTTCATCGGTTGAGACTGACCATTCTGTTCTAGGCCACTGGATCCAAGCATGCCCGACGAACAACGACCCCAAGTTCGACGGCAAATATCGGGTCAAGCGGTCCACCGGCATCCCCCGATCATTACAGACCAAGGTTGAGAAACCGGAGTCTTTGGCGCCCGATGGGTCCAACGACGACGCCAGGAACACGGGAGTCATGGTGAACGCCGATGGGGACTTTGTCGTTGCAAGGCCTGATAAAGCAGCGTGGGAGCTGTACCAAGAAAAGACCAAGGCGTCTGCTGCGGCGGCAGCCGAGGCAGCCGCCGCCGAGGAGAGCAAGGCGCTCCAGGCTCGGGGTCTGGAATGCCCAATTGATAAGAGGATGTTCTTAGAGCCCACACAAACCCCATGTTGTCACAGGACATATTGCAATGATTGTATCTCCAATGCCTTGATTGAAAGTGACTTTGTCTGCCCCGGCTGTTCTACGGAGGGAGTCCTACTTGATAACTTGACGCCCGACCATGATGCAGCCTCCAAAATCAAAGCTTATGAAGCGGAAAAGGCCGAGGCTAAGAAAGAGAAGGAAAAGCAGCCCCAGCCAGTGGCGGGACAGGATGGTCTGTCGATGAATGGCACCTCTGCTGCTGAACAGGACTCCTCCAAAGAAGCCGGACTGAAGGAGCGGTCTCCGTCCCACCAAGAAGCAGACGACGCATCCACACAATCTAAGAAGAGGCCAGCCGAGGAGGCGCCAGATCGCGAGACGAATAGTGCGGACCCTGGTAATGCACCAAAAAAACAAAAAAGCGAAGACCAGCCTGAAGCTTCTGCGGTCAAACACACCACCGCGGCGAATAGCAATCCCAAAGAGACACCCACCAACCCTGCGAACCCAGCTTTGCCATTCAACCCGCAGCTGCCCTTCGGCGATTTCGGCATGATGCCCCCATTCTCCAACGGCGGCTTTGGGAACGACACAATGCCATTCATGAACCCGATGGGCATGCCAAACGGCTTCCCCAATGCGATGGGGCCCGGCTGGAACCCGATGAACATGCCTTTTAACCCGCAAGCGGGCATGTACGGGGATCAGAGCACCGGGTTTCCGAACATGTTCACTGGGGACCCGTCAATGATGTTCCCAATGGGCCCGATGGGCCCGATGGGCGCAATGCAGAACCAGAACGCTGGCTTCCAGGCCCCTGGGATGAACAACTTTGCTAACCAGCAGCGGACTGCGTTCAGCGGGCCGTACTCGCGTGAAGAAGACTCGCCGTATTTCCGGCAGCCTGTGAACCCGCAACGACATCAGGCGCGGAATCGGCGGGTACGACCAAGTGACTATCGGGAGCTATGATGGCGATGATGGCATTGATGGCGATTTACACACTTTTTACATCTGGTTGTGACTGGAGAATCTGGCGTTGCGTGCAGCCTTGGGCGTTTCCATGTACAGACCCCTTTTTTGCACCGGTTCTTTTTGTCTTTTTTTTTCTTGTTTCTTTTCTCTTAGAGCGATCGTGTTTCTTGACTCATGTTCTCTCTTCTCTTTTCTTTTGCCCCCTTTGTATACGGCCTTTGCTTCCATATTCGTTATGCATGGCCTCGGCGGGAGGATTGCATTTTCAGGATCAATCATGACATGTATTTCTAGCAAAGGTGCCTAACTAACTAACAAATCCTTATTCTTTTCTGATTTCTCTGATTCTTGTGCTTGCTCTTGTAGTTACCGTCAGTCAGTTTATCCAGGTAACTATCAATAACTCCTGTTTGAACGGGTTATCTACTTGCCTACAAGAAGAGACAACGGACTATGTATCCGATTAACTGGCCAGCGCGACAGTCTCACGTCCAGATGGAAAGGGGATTTAGCAATGAAAGATCCAGCCAACGAGAATAAAACAGCCTGACATGATGAAAGCACAAGACCATCGCTTCCCGACAAGAAGTGTACGTGCCCGACAAGACAGACGGTGTGGTGTGGCCAGAATCAGGTGACCGCAACCGAAAACTCCCCAGACCTCACTTTCACCTCCGCTTCATCCTCCTCCTTCCCTCATCATCGTCAACCATACATGTTCCCTTCCACACTTGCCTGCCATCAACCCACTTCTTCTATACCTCAATCTCAATCGACCCTTATTCAGAACATCTCTTCCAACAATCACCACGATCAAATTCGTCATGGCGAAATACATGAGTAACCACAGTAGTAATCACAATCAAATGACGCGGTTTCCCACCCAGGAGCCGACGGTTATGGCCAGCTGCTACGCCGTCGAGTCTGGCAGCACCGTTGTCCACGGCTTCCACTATTGCACTACTCTGGGCGCCGGTGAGTCCACACCAGCACCTAGGCCACCCTTCGTCCGCGAGCATCCATGCTGACCGCCGATTCTCTTACACACAGGAGCACAGTGGTATCCCTGAGGTCCCCTCAGGGTCTAAAAGAAGTACGTCAAGACCTCCCCTCGAGTATTCCGCGCCCGGCGGATCGCTCAGCTGGGCCGGGAACAACTGGCCCGAGTCCAAAGCCAAAGGGGAGGCGACGCACACCATCCCGGAAGAGTGTGAGAGGCTCTTCTGTGACAGACTGTCCACGACATTCCTTGGTGAGAGGATTGGCGCGAGGCAGGAGTCACTGGGGATGGGTACGTTCCAACGGACTCAGCCAAGTCAACATCCACGCCAGCATCCACATCAGACCGGGCAGGGCCACGAACGTCCTCGGATCCAGAGATGGATTGAAGTGTGGGACTACAGTGGCGATGCAATCTACCGCGGCTTTGTGGCGGGTGAAGGCGACGAGCGAACGCTGTTTGTATTCCTCGAGGACGGCGCCCTCGGGCACGGTCTCAAATCTGGGTGAGTAGTAGCTTTCTTCATGGGCATGATTTACCTCCTACTTCTCTGGTGGGTCACTTACATCTCTGTTTCGTGGACAGGTTAATCGCCCTTTTCGAACTGGCGGGAATCGACGCCTTTGATTGTTCCCAGATAGTCGCCTGCGTCAAGCGCTCGCAGCACCCTGATGAGATGGAGCTCGTCCGCAGTCTCGGGTGGTGCGGGTTCAACCTCACCACCTTGGAGCCGTGGAGCAGGGGCGTACCAGGCAGCTCGGGCCCATGCTTTAGCACAAAATGGCTTTTCTTGGTAGCTGAGGTATAGCCAGTCGCTTGCATCCCGGGTCTTATAATGGATGGATGTGCTCATGGACCCGGGGTGGCTAGGCTGATATTTTGGAGAACTCGGTTTCTTTTGTTTTTACTTTGTTTCTGTTCTTGATATCTTTTCCCCACTGCATCTGGGATGTAGCCGCGGAGCACGAGAATGGCAATGCGATATTCATTTTGTACTTTAGGTACCTAATTAAGTCCAATTCTCATCCTTCCTAGTGAAGAGGTGTCCTACCTGGCAACTCATTACACTTACTCTGTAGCTGCAGCAAAAGCTTATACGTGAGCAGAACTATGACTGTGACTCTCTCCATCCAGCTCCTCTTGTCTCTGCATTCATGTAGTGGATGTATCACCAGGAAGAGTCCATATACTACCTCCATATCTGGTCTGCGAAAGTGAAGAATTATAAGCTTATTATTAGTATTTTAGTAGAAAAAATAGGTTACTATATTAGATTTACTTTATACCCGTAAAAGCTCCTTAATAAGACTAATCGATATTATAGTCTTCCTTTTCCTAGCACTACCCTTAATCTAAAGTAGATAGATATTTGTTCCGTTTCGCCAACTATAGTTCTATAGTGTAAGTTTTATACGTTCAGATCGGCAGATACGCGATCAAACCTACACTGGTGAATTCCTACCGTGACCGGACCATAGTTATTTCCAATCTAGAGTCCATAATCTGTGCTAGTGAAGAATCGATGCCATGATCAAAGTCACACGAGATGCCGCAGTTTGTGCTAAAGGAAGTTACAGGTCACTCAGCTGAGTGAGGGTCTCTTGCTGCTTATTGTCAGGTGACTCGATGGCGCTAGACCGCAATAGCGTAATATATCGACCATGCCCCTTGTAACTCGTTATGGGAGTCCAGCTCCAACATAGAGTGGCGTAGTTTTACGAATCAGTCAAAATATTAAGGAATTGGAAATCATTTCGAGCGAGTATGCTGTCCATCCCTGAGTGTAACAGATTGGGATCATGCTCCAGCTTGCTTATTCTGTCATCACATGACTTCCAATGTAAGAGCATGTGTCGCTGCCCTCGCCAGGGCCTACGGCTTGTTGTACCCCGAAGCATCGCCACTTAAGTCCCTTGGCCAAGAGGGTCAGGTACTCCCATGGGCGATGAAAGAACAATAACTGGGGCTATAAATTCAAGGCACTTCTGGGCACCTGCATTGTTTCTTGATACATGGATTATTATTTAGCTAAATTTAGTTATCTAAGCGCTAGTCTAATACTGCAACCGCTTCAAGAGAGCAACGACAGCTGGACCTGTGTGGCCGTGATTGGCCGCATGATGCCGATTCTGCCAAGACAGCCACGCTAATGCACATACGAGGGACCTAGCCAGGACACTCCCGTTGGATTCTATTCGCTAACAACCTCAAAGTTGCGCTATCTGTTCTTGTGAGCTTCTGACCATGAGTAGTTAGCACTGAGGAGACTGTGAAAAAGGGGCAAGGCCACTTACGTGATCGTCTCAGCAGCTTCTGAATAGATGAGGACAAGGAGTGGTGAAGGTCTGGCTAGCTCGCTCCACACTTTGCCAAGCCGCTTGCTTCGCTCAGCTCGCGCCTCACGCCTGCGTTGGACTGCGCCTGGGCGCTCACATACCTGTCTATAGCAATGCGGCTGTTCAAAGCCCTGTTTCAAAAGTGTATTTCTTAAGGCTGCGCGCGTGGCCTAAATTGATTCGGTGGCCCCAGGACAGGCTAGGCATCCAGATCCTTTTATTTAATCAAGCTTCCTAGGCACGATGCTACAAGCCTCCTGGTCTGGTTATTTGTTTTTGCCAAGTCTCTGCCGGCCCTTGACCAGCAGTCATGGCCAAGCTGCTCTTCATCTGGTTACTGTTCACCGCCACTGCGTGTGCTGCTCCTGATCACTTCCGGCTGTGGTTTCCTCAATATCGCGGGATATTGACAATCTACATGAAAGCATGCATGCCCACATATGACGCCTACAGAGAGGATAGACCCTGTCAGCCGAGCAACTATGGCGGATGTCAATCTGGAAGGATGGTCCATTGCTTGCTAAGCCAGGCCACCGAGTCTCTGAAAGCAAATATGGCCGCTGCCGGTGTTATTTTGGGCCTCCTTCCCACTACATTGTGTCTGGTTGGGTCGAGCACTGTTGAGACTGGTCTTTTGACTCTTCGGCGGCCTTTACTATCGCTGCTCCTGGCATGCGGAGCGCCAGTGGCCTCTCCCATCCGAACGTTCGAGTATCGGGGTCCGATCGATCTAGTTCGAAAGAGGTCTAAGAGCATCGACGCGCCCAGATTCACACCATTATCAGCGGCAGTCATAGTCGCCCTTCAGTATATCTTCGCATTTCTTGCCATCGCCAACTTGGCCCACGTCAGCTGGGAATTGTGTGTCAAAACAGTTTGCAGCTTCTCTTCGGACACAGGCTTTCATCCCGCTCTTTGGGCTTTCCTAGCAGTACCCCTCCATCTTATAGGATGCCTGGCAGTGGTACTCCGTTTCCGTTGCCAAAGCTCAGAGTCAAGACCTGGCGAGCGTTCATGGGCAAGGATGCTCCAAGCGGAATTCCAACTGACTGCACGACAGTCGCCTGCGACACTCCATGACCAAAAGGAAACGTATTGGTTCATAATTTGCTCCTGGTGCACGTCGACTGGAACAGTCTTGCACATTATCTACGGCACACTTGTTTTCTCGAGCATATTGTTCATCAGCGGGCAGGACGCAGTGAAGGTAGTTGCGAGATATTTATGCTCCGCCCTTGTGTGCAGGATCATTCTCATGTTTGAACTTATGGGGATGCGTGATATGATGGAAATTTAGGAGGAAGCCGAAACATACTTCAAAGAACACAGGTCTATGCATGAGGCGAAGAAAGGTTGTCAAGATTGTCCGGCTGCGGTTCAAACAACCTGATCCACCCATCTGCCAAATCTCCAAGAATGTCGCTGGTGAAATCGTTGAGCCGGGCTCTGTAAAAACCATCCGGTGCAGTATGTGCGAGTACTGTTCCCGAAATTTCTTGCTGAGGCCTGTTATCCCCGAAGGAGACGTGGCCATCATAAGAGGGTCGATTATGTTGAAGCGTATGACTGTTCATCTCGATGCATTGAGGAGCATTTCCAAAATTGCGAACTGAAAAACGAGGAGCCTTTTGTTTGACCACTTGGTACTTATACGGCCCCTAATATTTATGGTAGCTGTTCATTTGCATTGCTAGTACAGGCGCCTAACTGAGTGCTTTGATAAATCATTCCTTAATAGTACTTGTTGCCTCGCTAGATTTAGCCCAGCTCCGGCAATATTCGGCCTCCCACTAGACAAGGTCTGCTATTCAGGTGCAACTTAACCACGCTAGCTTGTCTTTACAGGTTGTTTTCAAAATGCTACAGGTGTTACGTTTTCGTATCTAACACCTGGTTTATGTAGATCTGTCGGAGCAAGCTGAAACAGTATATACTAATATTCGGCAGAACGAATGGGTTCAAAGTTCTGTGGTGGTTGCTGTTGATGGTGTGTGATCTAACATACGAAGGGGGCACATGAGGATGTATAACGAGAAGATCTAACCAAATATGACTAGCAGATAGGTAGACAGACTAACATATCATTTGTGGAGCTTATGTTCGGACAGGATCATATTGCTTCTTCAGCTGCAGATGGGACGATGAGGCAATCGCGGCTTGTAGTACAGTCACGGTATGCTCCAGCTCCTCAAGGCGTCGATTCTGCTCCTGAACGTCCCGAATCAGTTGCTTGAATTCGTTACGAAGACTAGCTGCATCATTTGTCTCTGACAAGCGTTCACCGGCGGAATATTCGTGGCAACGATCGACAATCGCGACTGGTAAATGGTTGGCGGGAATGCCCATGCTAACCCGGGGATTGCCTTGCATAGTGGAACCACAACTAACGTCGTTGGTGTGTAGATGCCGACGACCTAGGTCTGCTTGTAAGTTCCCCTGCCGCGTAAACCCGTCCCCGGAACTACGACCGCAGTCTGTGTAAGGGCACATGATCGGCGGTCCATTGATGTTTTTTTATGGACCTCACGATGGTGGCGCGAGAGACCACCGGCGTAGGTGAAGCCCCTGTCTCTGTTGCAGTTCGGCTCATGACATTTGAAAGGACGGTCATGTTTATCCATATGTTTACTAAGGAAGATCGCAGTTAGCATCACCATATGATCGACGAGGATAATACGGGGTGGAGCAACGTACTTCCATTTACAAGGACGGCTAAACGTCGGCGGTAATGGCTGACATCTTGATGGGTGCAGTAAATCTGGTCGTTGGCGTTCCTGGGAACGATGCGGGTGCCTCGAATTTGCACGCACTGGCGGTTGGCGTCCATGTCGTTGATATTTATTTGCTTTTTAATTGAGAAGTGTTATGGAAACCACCCAGTACAACACAGGAGCAGAGTTAGCTAGACCAGCTTCATGTAAACCTAGTGATAAGTATCAGGATGGTCAGGTTGAAGGCACGTTCAACTCACGATTGCATGATGGGTCCGGATATACCGGCGAGACTCAGCCGATCGCTCGGATGGTTGAATACTCAAGAAGTCATACAAGGACCGACTGAGAAGATTCTGAGAGATGGGTGTGGGTTAAATATTCTAGTTTGGACTATGATCTCGTGACCGTATCTTCCGTTACACTTGGAACTTGTACATACCAATTCTTAATGCGGTGTGGTGCAATACAGTCGATGAACCTGGAGAATAATCATCATTATATAGGTCTAACTAGTAGTCATCCAGCATTGGATGGATCTGTCACACGATCATCCTGTTTAGGAACATTATCGGCCACCGTCTGATGTGGTCTGACTACTACAGGGTGTTTCCTCTCTTCACTAGGTGGTGATTTTTGATCTCGGACAAGAGGTTTTGGTACGGATAGTATCTATTTATCTGAGATTATTAGTCCCTCTATTTCAGGCTGCATTTGACCTACCTTGTCCTACTTCCCTTACATATCTTTGTTGGTCCTGAGCCGTGGTCCCATCTCCAAGACCCGCAAAACAGGAATTCGCGGAATCCCAAAGCAAGCCACGACCATGAGCACCAGTTGCAAGGACAAAAAGTCGGGTTGCTTGCTGGTGAGGTCACCACCATCATCACTTCTACGACACACCGCCTAGTCCCCCACCAATGCAGATCAGACATACGACCAACGACCGGTGGACACCGATCGTATACTTCCGAGGTGACGCCCCGCCAAGCTTGCTAGCAGCCGATAAGATAAAGCCCGATGACCTCAGCATTGATTCGCAACTACACCGAATAAACAGTCCATCCCACATCCCTCCTCCTCCCGTTCCCGCTGCTAAATACCAAAGAACCATGTCCAACGAACAGTACGGACGCTCCCTCCCCTTTCCCAAGTTCCTCCTCCCTTCATTGCCTAGCAAACGTGGCCCACGGCCCACTGCGCCGACCAGCTCCCCCGCCCCCGCCGAGAAGTACCTAGATGGCCATCTCTCATACCTGTGCTGCACAGGATGCGCCGCACACCTCTGCCTGACATCGCAGATCATCAGCAAAGGATTCACAGGCCGACATGGCCGCGCGTATCTCGTATCCGCCGAGCCAGTCGCCAGCGCGGTATCCGTCAGCGCGTCCTCGTCGCCGACCACATCTCTGCCGAACACCGTACTCCAGCACCCCGTACCGCGGCAGCTCGTAACAGGAGCGCACACGGTCAGCGACGTGAGCTGCACATTCTGCGGGAGCGTGCTGGGGTGGAAGTACGTTGCGGCGGAAGAGGAGTCGCAGCGGTATAAAGTGGGCAAGTTCATCCTTGAGACGAAGAAGATCACCGCGTCCTCGTGCTGGGAGTCTCCACCGGACATGAACACGAGCGGGGGGATGCCGGGAAAGTGCCAGCCAGATGGGTCAGAGTCTATTTCTGCGGATGTCGAGTTCGACAGCCAGGACGAGGATGAATGTGAGGACTTGTTCGCGGGGATTTGGAGCCCTGGACTGGCTAGTCGACGCCGAAGCCGCAAGATTGAATGATGGCCTGCTTCGGGGTTCGGATTCTGATGACGTGCGAAGCGAAGAGACATGCGGATGAGCTATGGATTAATGACTTGGTTAATATTTCTTTTTCTTTCTCACACTGTGGCGATATACCCATCGTTGACGTTAGTATTTACTATGCTTAATATACTTTAATACTCTCGAGAGTGGATACAATGCATCGCATACGCAACGGTCAAGCAAGCTTGAATAAGCTGTTCCATACTTTTGAATTAGGTAGTTGATCGAATGAGGTTCATGATGCGCCGTGGACACAGAAGTAGGGCACATTTTGAGATGCTCTAGCAACGCCGGGAAGGAAATAAGATGAATACAAAGCATGCATGCCAGGAAGCCTCTCATGCATCCTCTACTCGCGCGCGCTTCGAGTCGCCGTCCGCAGAGGCATCCTCCGCAGGTCGCTTAGACGAGGGCTGTTGAGAGGGTTGGGTAGCAGGCTTCCGTCGGACCAGCGATGATAAGTCGGTTGCCTCTTTGCTGACGGCGTCCAGGCGAGCCTTTTGGTCCGTGGCCGACTGGCCAATGATTTGACCGAGGATGCCTTTCAGCATAGCCTCGTTTTCCTGGTCCTTCTGTTCAATCGAGACCGGCGATCGCTGCAGATCGATAAGCTGTGCAATGAGTTAGCAAGAACGGGGTTGATTGAAACCGACCAACTAAAAGAGCTTGAGGGAGCGTCCTTACTCTTTGCTCCATATCCGCGATGATCTCCTTGACGTTGGCAATCTTTCGTTTTGTGGCTGTCACTTTGTCTTCATCCAGGTCCGTGTCGGCTTCTAACTTCTTCTCTTCGGAAGCCATGCGAACTTTGCAGCTTTCGATAGCGCGCTCCATCTGAGTTGCAGCCTCCTCGCGCATCTCGGCGTCAACCGTCTTTTCTTGGTCATCATCATCTTCACCCTGTTGCTGGACCGACGCAAACTCCAGAGCCAGTGAAAGCTTGTAGTGACACTCCGCGACGGAAGGATCTTCGAAAGGGAACAGGGTATTTCGGAGGTCGAGAGCTGTGCGCAAGTCGGTCACGGCATCAGTGAACCTCTCTGCCTCGAGAGAGATTTCAGCCTGAAGGTCGTAGGTATCGGCAAGCCGCTCCTTGATATGCTTTAAATCCGCAGGTAACTCCGCGGATTTGCCCTTGCCCTTATCAGCACCGCTTTCCTCCACAGCCTCCAGCTTCTTGAGATAGAGGATGCGCGCCAAATCGAGAACCTCGAAGGCGTTCGCAAAGTCATCCTCGTCCTCGTCGTCACCAGCTTCCTCATTCTCCTCCTCCTCATCCTCATCTTCAGAGTCGACAAAGTTCTCATCGCCAGTGAACTGGAAGAAGGGCTTTGATGGCGCGGCTTCCGATTGTGGGCTCGCATCCTTCTTCGTAGAAGTGGCATTCTTGGTCATGGAGCTCGAGATAGCGCCCTGGATCAGGTTTTCGCCGGTAGATGTAGACTTAGTAGCGGGGGCATTGTGGGACTGAGCCTGCTGGGGCTCCCCGGCCACTTTGGACCCAAGCACATCGCTCTTGCTCACGGCAACATTGTAGAGAGACTTTCCGTAGGCGTAGAGCAAATCAGCGTTCTCAGACGACAGCTCACCGTTCAGTTCGGCTTGAAGTTCGGTGGCCTGCGAGTAGAGCTCTGAGGCGGAGTTGTGGTCTTTAGTCGCATCTTTGGCGGCCGCTCGTGCGATCAAATCGCCCAGCTGGGCTCGTTTGTCTTGCGTGGCCGCGGGGGTTTCAATTGGGTTAGCCACCGTGGATTGCTCTGCTTCAGCCATGGTAGGTAGAGGGTAACAGTGAGAAAGGATGTCCAGTGGATGTCAGGTGGAAAATGCAGGGCGCAGAAAGGCGAGAGTTGAGTTGTGTAAGGAAGGCGATAGGCGATAAGCGCAGGCCTTTGCGGCGCGGTCGTGGCGCGTCACGCGTCGCCCTTCCACTTACACTTGCACGGCCTGCAACTTCGGTCGATGACGCTCCCAGTCCCCCAAGCGTGCATGACTTGGTATACCAATTAACCCGTCATTCATTTCGTCTACGCTTCTCTGTTTGAACCGACTTGTTTGAAGTTTGCTTTGGCAACCTCTTCAAGCAAGAGACTGAGCGACACGATGGACCCGACATCCACTCCGCGACATCCAGATCGCTTCCGAATGGGAGCTACAGACCCAATCCCTTCATCCTCCCCGGCATTTGGAACACCTGCACGTCCGTTTCGGTTGCCAAAAGCCCATGCGCCTCCCACCAAGACTTCCATCCTTCCCATCCTGCTTCCTCCTGCCACTCTTCGACCAGTGGCATTCCGCACATTTACACGCAAGCATAATCTCACAATCTCATCACCAGCACTGCAGACACTCGCAGTCTTCGTGGGTAAAAATTGCGGTTCAGGATGGCGCGAAGAAGGATTGGCGGAGAAGGTCCTGGACGAGGTGGCCAAGATCTGGAAAAGAGCCGGGGGCGGAGTCATTGTGGAAGAAGGCAAGGGTGCATCATTGAAAGCCATCCTGCAGACGCTCGAGGGCAGTATGAGCGGGGGACGAGTGGTCGCAGGCAAAGGCAACTCCCAGGACGGGCCTGGGAAGACATCAAGCTTCGGCGTGGATGTCGGTCGGATGGACAGCAATAATGACCACTCGCAAGGGTCATTCACCACGAGAGCAGGGGATGTGGAAGAGGACGAGTCTAGAGTCTCGTTTCATCCGCGGCACTGGCTCAAGGTGATCGACGCGTTCGATCTTCCTCGCTTGACCTACAATGTCGACAAAAAATACTTCGAAGCTTTCAAGTCGAAACCCACTTTGTTTCCTCCTCCATCGCACAAAACTGCGCTGTTCCGAGACCGCTATAATTTGGTCTACCAACGGCTCCTTCGGAATGAGTCTTTCCAAAGCTCTTTGGGAGTCACCGGCATGCCACCCCTTCAGCGATCATCGTCGAATCTTGGAACGCAGCAATCGTACAAGTTGACACCAATTGCGAACTTACTAGGCCGAAGTGGCACATCTCATCTTCTTCTCGGCCTCCTTTCTATTTCTCCCACAGGAGATCTCTCATTGGTAGATTTGACCGGAACCGTGGTTTTGGATCTCAGCCATGCGCGGATGATCCCTGAAGACGGTGCGTGGTTTGCACCAGGGATGATTGTTCTTGTGGATGGGATCTATGAGGAAGAAGAGATGGTCAAGGGCTCTGTGTTAGGCGGCAACACTGGAGTTGGGGGTGCCATTGGGGGGCACTTTGTGGGAGTATCGATCTGCGGGCCTCCCTGTGAGCGGAGAGATATTTCTCTCGGGACGGGCACTCGCCAGGGCAGCGGTGATCTGAGCTCCAGCGGCGGATTCGGATGGGTTGACTTCTCAGGGACTGGCAGTGAGCGTGCACAAGGTGCGCGGATGAGGAGAATCCAAGAGAAATGCCTGCGCAGCGAAGCCGAGGCGATGGAGTCTACGGCCCGCCTCAAGGTCGCCGTTCTGAACGAGGTCAATCTCGACAACATGAAGACCCTGGATGCGCTGCGGAAGGTGTTCAGCACATACAATGATCTTGCACTCTCCGAGCGACCTCAGACATTCGTTCTGATTGGCAATTTTGTGCAAAAGGCAATCATCAACGGCGGAGGCCGGGCTGGGAGTATCGAGTATAAGGAATACTTTGATTCGCTCGCAGTGGTCCTCTCAGACTTCCCCGCGCTGCTGCAGCACTCGACCTTCGTCTTTGTACCGGGAGACAACGATCCATGGGCATCCGCGTTCTCGACTGGAGCAGCATCTACCATTCCGCGACAACCGATCCCGGAGCTGTTCACCTCTCGAATCCGCCGCGCCTTTGCAACTGCAAACTCCGAGCTGGACAGGACGCAGACCTCCGAGCCGCCAGGCGAAGCCCTGTGGACGTCAAACCCGGCACGGCTTTCGTGGTTTGGGCCAGTTCACGACATTACAATTTTTCGCGATGATATCGCAGGCCGTTTGAGGCGTACCGCAATCAACACCAAAGCAGACGAAGACGAGCCCGACACTACAATGCACGAGGCTTTAGACGGCGCCACAAATCAGGCAGTCTCCGTCGCGCCAGACCTCGACCAACCCAACGGCGCCAGCTTGGACGGCGTCTCGGTCGCAGCATCGATGGCCCGCAAACTAGTCAAGACTATTCTGGACCAAGGCACCGTCTCCCCATTCCCGCTGCAATTGCGGCCTGTGCTGTGGGACCGGGCTTCCGCGGTGCAGCTATATCCACTGCCGACAGCGCTCATCCTGGCCGATTCCGAGACGGCGCCTTTCTGCATGACCTATGAGGGGTGCCATGTCATGAACCCGGGCCGCTTGTTGCCGGAGGGTGACGTGCAGGCAGTAAGATGGGTGGAATTTGATGTGCTGCGGAATCGCGGGCGAGTGAAGGAAGAACGGTATTAAGCTTTGTTTTAAGCTTTAAGCCTGATCTAAATAAACATAAACCTAAACCGCAACAAGGCAAGAGCGGCGTTTGGATTGGCATTGAGTCCCTGTACGTATTCACGCATATATGACTAGTTTAGTACCCCGTCTGAAGTATGAGATGGAGCATGCCAGCCCTGCTGGCAAGGATGCTACGAGCGGGAGTTATGGAGCAAAACGAAACCAACCTTTTGGACTACGATTCGACTCGACTCATTTAGAAGTAAGCTGAGATCGAGAAGCGTGAAACATTCGTGTCACATTGAAAAGGTCTAAGAATACAGTGCATGAAGGCCAGCCAGTCGTCTTCATCCTCACGGATTCACAAAAATTCTCGACAAGAAATACAGGCCCTCTCACGGAGAGCATGACCGAATCCATACCATACATTAGACTAGTCAATCGTGATGATATTGGCGTTTCCCACCGCATTTTTCTTCTGTGGGGAGGCCGTTTTGGGCCTGGCAGCCGGCGGGGGAGCCGGATTTTCTTGCGCTGGCTGCAGGGCCGGTCTAGGCTGCGCGGGATTAGTGTTCCCATTTCCGCCCTGCTGAACGGGCTCAGGGACAGGCTGACAAGTGCCTAGGCACTCATGCAGCGTGGAGAGGAGATCGCCCACATGATCGACCGAGGACCTGGCGCCGTCTCCAAGGCCCTGCCAGCCGTTGCCTTTGACATTATAGACCTTTTCGCGAACCACAGCGGAGACTTGATTAGGCTCCGGTAGAGGGAACCGGTTAGCGTCCTCGAGCAACCACACGGTTGTGCCCTGTCGCGGACAAGCGGACAGCCGGAAGCGATATCGCAGCAGGGGATAGTGAAACTGGAAAACGGTGGCGCTGCGTACGGTGACGTGCACCAGGGCGGATTCCGCCTGAGCTGGCTTGGAGGTGATTTGATCCAGGCTGCGCAGGAGGGGGAAAGTATTGGCCATCAAACCGAGAATGGGTTCTATACCGGCCTCGGCGAATTGATGGTTTAGTGCAACCGTGAGGGGTTCTTGTATGCGGCGGTGGGGGCTGGGGCTGTCGAAGCTGAGCCTCAGACGCAGATGGAAGATGGGAGTAGCCTGTGAAAGGGCCTGGGGGACGTCAATGTACGTGGACAAGGAAGGGCCTGAGACATCGATGCCGAACCGGGCACGCAGGTTCTTGTCTGGGCCGTAGAGGAAGGTCATTTGGGATAAGGACAACGACCGGGGCTCCATGCCCTTTTGTATGAGAGTCTGGAGAATATAGACCACGCAATCGAGCCGTTGCAAGCGCTCAAAGAGACCGATAATGACGGAATGTCCTGCTGGAACAAGCAGACGCAACGCAAAGCCGCCTCCATTGTCTTGCACAAGAAGCTCGGGATCCAGTTGGGAGACAAGGTAATGGAGCGACTTGATACGGCGTCGCAAAGAACCGTACGCTACTAGGACTGCAGAGTTGCTTTGTCGATCCACACCCTGGAAGGAAAGGCGGATAGTTTCCTCGATAAAGGAGTCTCTTTGCAAATTCGAAGAAGGTCGTGGTATCCGGAAAGCAGGGGGGAGTATGGATGGCTTGTAGTCAATGAAGAGATCTGAAACCTGCAAGTCTGACTCCAGCTGCAGTTTCTCTAGAGGCGGTTGGAAGCGCACGCCCAAATCTGCCAAGCAACGAGCATTGGCATAGATCGCCAGAATACCCGTCAGACCATATACCAGCTCTGCACAAGCAGCGTAGTCATATCGGCGCCGTGACCCCATTAGTGTGCTGCTCACGGCATGCGCCAGCGGGAAACTCGAGGCATTATCATTAGCAGCATATGGCAGTGCTGCACGCCTAGTCTCTGGCCTAAGTTGGACCAACCACCAGTGATCGCCATCCATGCTGCTCGTTGCAGCGGCGATCCAGCGGCGATCCCACGTTTGCTGTGTAAAGAAAGCAGAGCGGATAGTATTGGGCGGAAAGAGTTTGCGGACATCCAGCCCCAGTCCCCTCTGATTGACACTCTCCAAGCCAAGAGCCTTCGTACCGGACTCGATTTCTTCCACGGCAGTGAAGCAGCGAAGGCGAGCGACACGAGATAAAAGCTCTTCAACAGCTGAATTGTTTGGAGTCCGGTCACCCTCAAGGCGTTCCAAGACACTCTGCATGCCCGAAAGAGTGATGGTTCCAGACTGGGGCTCAATGGAAGCCCGTAGATATCGAGTAGTCGTCAACTGCAGGTCAAGATAGCAATCACCTGGCTCTGATGACGAGAGTTGGCCCCGTAATGAGAGCACATGGTTGGCAAATAGAAGATTCTTTTTAAGGGTGGCGTAGGCGGAGGAGAGGACATGCGATGTATGTAACGCGATCACACTTCGCAAAATACGCTCTATAGAAAGCACATCCGAATCGAAATTGACAGCATCGCTATCTGCATGCTGACCATTGCGCATCCAGCGGAGGTTGAGTTGCGGGACCTTGTTATTGGAATCGCCAGCACCCCTTCGGACGCCGATTTCGATCCAGCTTTTGGGACCTGCCCTCGATGGCCAGTACTGAACGACAAGGGTACGATGAAGCAACTCAATGCGTAATGCATCCGACCAAAGGCCTCGCGCAAGTTGAATAGCCTGTTTGTAAAGGGTGTTGACTTTGTTTGTTAAGACCAAACCATGCAAAAAATTGAAACATCCAAACAGGCCATCGTTAAGAAGGATGCGATTAATCTCTCCATCAAGCTCGTTGAGTATCCGGCCTTTGGGAATCGGAGAGGAGGGTGTGAAAAGGAATCGGATGTCAACGAAGAAAAATTGGGAGGTCTTCGCTTCCTCCGCAACTGAAAGATCGAGTTCAAACTCCCCGGCTACTGTGAAGGTGACCCGACCATCGTGCACTCGGTAATGTCGCAAGGGATGTGGTACTTGGTCTTGCAATATTAGCCTTGCACTGATTATGCGATTGATCTTGTGCAGTTTCTTGAGAGTGGCGCGTGCAGACAGTGGTCTTGGGGGCTTGTAGCCAAACTGAGACGGAAGAGTTAGCAATCTCGTCCTCGATTCGGAAGAAGACACACAAAGAAAAAACGTACATCCGGTAGAGAAGTCACCCGGCCCTTGGCGAGAACCTCAAGGGCCGTTTTTAGATCTGGATTGGCCACCTGCGCTCTGACAAGATCCTGCTTCATTACACCCACATAGTGTATCGCATTGGTGTACGCCTGGTGCCGTGTGCGAATGAAGCCCTGGATATCAATCAACCGACTGACCTCCGCCGCTTGTCGGCTCCATTGTGAGAGAACAAGAAGCTTGATGAATTCCGCTCTCCTGGCATGCGCAAACTCCAGTATCCGCATTTTCTTGTGGATATTTTCCGCGGATTGGTTTCCGGGAGATTTGCCGTTTATAGCCGACGCAGCTGAAGGTTCCGAGGGTACCTGTATTGTAGCCAATTCCGAAATCAAATCCGACAACTCGTTCCAGCAATTCTGCACGGCCCGATGGACGAGTGTCCCGAAGGGGAAGAAGCCCTGTGTGATATGAGGGATTTCGAAAGGCGCCGAAACAAGCTCTCCAATCTCCTGCGTTGAGGCCTTAACATGTTGGTTCAGGGCTTCACCTCCTCCGCCTATGCCATTCACATGAACAGGCCCATTCATGGAGGTTGATTGTGGACCGAACTTCTCATTTGTCCCCAGAGAGTGAAGCGCGCCGTTGGTAGCGTCATTGAGACCTGGCCCCCGCACAGATCCCTCGACATTGGCATTGTCCATGATGACACCGGGCATGTCTGTGCAGAGACGGAATGGGGCCTTTCACTGGGGCTCGCTGAGGCGGGTTCGGTTCCTTAGGATGCCTTCCCCTCCTGGGCCCCCTCTGCGCGGCACCGAACGAGCGGCCTAGCTCAACCGCTACCTCGTGGGCCGCGAATCAACCGTTTTCGGGCAAGGGAAGCTTGCAGTCAAGACCAGGCGAGAAGAAAGAGATCCTCAGCCCAGTGCCATGCGTTTCACTGGCCGTCCAAAACAATGGCCCCGGTCATAATCAAGAGGAGCCGGACACACAATAGGAATTCGAATTTTGTATTTGACAGTGGAGAGTGGAGTCAATCGAATGGGCGAAGCGCGGTATCGAAGTAGGTCGGGGGAAAAGAAAACGCCTTGGGGGGACGGCGGTCCGAATTGCGCCGACGCTGGCTGCACGATCTTCGAAGCGTGCTAAAGGTTGATGCGAAGTCGAGGAGTCAGCGGACTAGTTCTGGTTATCACAAGGACCGCTGCAAAGTGCTGGAGTCCCCAAGGCAGAAGGGTTCGAGGGCGTGGGGGAGAGGAGGATGCCAAAGAGGTGAATGCAGGCCCAAAGCGATCGATGAAAGCGCGCGATGCGCACGCACCGCCCTCCGTTGATGCCTTGCTGCCTGGTATTGTCAAGGGCCCGTATCCCTGCATTGCATCACGATGCTCCCGCCCGCCTTGCCAGTAAGATGACGCGGTAATTACCAAGAATGCCGTTGACCTCAACATCCCCCAATATCAAAGCTTCCTACCCCTCCAAAGACCGACAGCGGTCGACAGTACCAACTATGAGCCTACACGAAGAGGAGGAAGGCGAGGCGGGAGAGGCTGATGGCCTGCTTCCGCACTACTTCGGCGATGATCCTCGGCCGACAAGTAAACGGGAGCTGGCGGGCTGGTATTGCTATGGCTGGGCAGCAGAGGTCTTCACTGTGTGTGCCATGGGTATGTGTCCATGAAGGGTCGGCTTGATCTCTCTTCATTTTGATACTCATTTGAATAGGCTCATTTCTTCCGATCACACTCGAACAGCTGGCACGGGATCGTGGCGTTCTCCTGAGCGACAAAACCACCCCCTGTAGCCCAACATGGAAGCCCTCGAAGCAACAGATCCCTCATGGAGACGGATATGATGCCCAGGGGTCCGATGCTGGCCAGTGTATCATATACTTCCTAGGTGCCGAGATCAACACGGCAAGCTTTGCCTTGTATACATTCTCTCTGAGTGTCCTGATCCAGTCGATTCTAATTATATCCATGTCCGGCGCCGCCGACCATGGAAGCTATCGCAAAAAGTTGCTGGTCATGTTTGCATTTATCGGCGCTGTTGCAACGATGTTGTTCCTTGCTGTGCTTCCCCAAGTCTATCTTCTTGGAGGCCTCCTTGCCATCGTTGCGAATACTTGCTTTGGTGCGTCCTTTGTCCTTCTCAACTCGTTTTTACCGGTACTGGTTCGCCACCATCCGTTGGTCCTGGAAAAGAGCCTGAATGTTCCCGACGCACTGGATGCTACTAGCCCGTCTAGAGAGGATGGTGTGCAATCCGACAATGGTGCCCAGGGACAGCCCGACGCCTACACACCGCTCCTGGGGCCCGGCTCCAGTGAACGAGAGAGTGCCCTGGATACTATGACCTCTGTGGAACTCCGTCTCTCCACAAGGATATCATCATATGGAATTGGAATAGGCTATGTGGGCGCTGTGATTCTGCAGATGCTGTCCATCCTGGTCGTGGTGACTTTCCACCAGACCACCTTTTCCCTCCGTCTGGTGTTGTTTCTCATCGGGCTGTGGTGGTTTGTATTCACCATTCCAGCAAGTCTATGGCTACGCGCCCGCCCCGGCCCCCCGCTGTTGGGAAGTGATGGGAAACCATTAGACTCCTGGGCGGCATACTTGACCTACTCGTGGAAGTCCCTTGGAAAGACCGCCATGCGCGCCCGGCGCCTGCGAGACATCCTGATCTTTCTGGCCGCATGGTTTCTGCTCAGTGATGGAATTGCCACCGTCAGCGGCACCGCCGTGTTGTTCGCCAAAACTGAGCTTGACATGAAGCCTGCGGCGCTCGGGCTGATCAATGTGATTGTCATGGCGTTTGGGGTGTTTGGAGCCTTCTCGTGGAGCTACGTGTCCGGTCTCCTTGGTCTCCGGGCGTCGCAGACCATCATTGCCTGTATTATCCTATTTGAGATCATTCCTCTCTACGGGATTCTCGGCTTCTTTCCCTCGGTGAAGCGATTGGGGATTGGCCTTCAGCAGCCGTGGGAGATGTACCCGCTCGGCGCCGTGTATGGGTTGGTGATGGGTGGGCTCTCGTCATATTGCCGTAGCTTCTTTGCCGAGCTGATCCCACCGGGCTACGAGGCGGCCTTCTACGCTCTCTACGCGATCACCGACAAAGGATCGAGTGTGTTTGGGCCGGCCATCGTCGGGGCGATCACGGACCGCTACGGTCAGATCCGACCGGCCTTTGTGTTCCTGGCGATTTTGATCTTCCTCCCGCTGCCGTTGATGCTACTGGTGGATGTGGACCGCGGCAAACGGGATGCATTGGAGCTTGGAGCCGAGCTGGACCGCCTCTCTGAGGGAGCGGGAGATGGGGCCATCTCCGCTGGCTCGGACGCTAACGCGGCGAACGAGTCCGACGCGGCGGGGCCTATGGTGCCTGCATCGTAGAGAAATGTGTTGTGCGTGGTGATGTCTCAATAACACTCGGGGGCGCTCATCATGATTCGTGTAGAATTGCAGAATTGTATCTGGAACCGAGCCACTAGATAGGTCGCTAATAATGTAAATTGATATGTGAAGATTACTCATGAGTCTCATTACTATGACATATTCCCTTCACTTTCACGGGCTGATGCAGTCACACAGTATTACCCCAAGCATCAAAGGCCACGGTCTTGGACAAGTCCTCCAGCCGACGTGTCACCCACGGGTGCCGTGCGAATTTTCCGGGTAGCTTGGCCAGAAGCAATCATAATAGCCGGGCTCGTAATGTCGTACTTAGCCCCGGGGGCGGAAGTATCCTGTAGGTAGCAAGGTACCTGTCGATCCATGGAGAGAGGGACAGCAGCACATTAGAGTATGGATATGTACTATACTTGTACCACATACACGTCCACCCCTCGTTACAGGAGATCGAAGGCGAAGAGGGGGTCTTAGGGTTTGGAAGGACGCATATTGGTCTGTGGTATGTAGCTATCGGAGTATCTTTAAATATGTACGGAGTAGTTAGTTCCTAGTATGAATCCGACACTATTGATAATAGCAGTAGGTAAACTTACTAGGCACACCGCGCACCTATCTATAGTACCAGGTCAACTCGGAACAAGCTAATTAAGGGAAGAGTAAAACCATGGAGCACTAGTTAGTTAGCACCGAGGACTCCAGAGTCGGTTCAGTAAAGTACCCAATACCCTGCGGGTACAGGGGGCGTGCGTCCCCTTGCTTTGGCCCTGCATAGCACTTGAGCTCCACTCTCCACTCCGCAGCCGCAAAGAACAAACTGTCCTTAACTTCAGTCCCCCCGTCTGGCTGCATTAAATACATACCCACCCTCACCCATCTTTTCCCTTTCCTAATTGTATACCAGCCGTTTGGGTAAGCTTCCACCTGCCTCGTGCTTTCTGGTAAACCAACCATCCCCCCCCTCCCCCTCTCCAGAAGACACTCATCGTAGCTTATTTACCCTCTAAACATTAGCTAACTGCGCTTGACCTCCCCAGGTGTTCACGGCTCTTTTTGTCCATTCAAATCATCATGCGGTCGTTCGCCCCTCTCATTCTGAGCCTGCTGGGTGCTACCGCGGCTGTTTCGGCTGCAGAGCCCGCCGCGGATGCTGCCGACTCCAATGTCCTCGCGCTGACCAGCGAGACCTTCAATGACTTCGTCAAGGAACACGAGCTCGTCCTGGCCGAGTTCTACGCGCCGTGGTGTGGTCACTGCAAGGCGCTGGCCCCCAAGTATGAGGAGGCTGCCGCCGAGCTGAAGAGCAAGAACATTCCGCTGGTGAAGGTAGACTGCACAGAGGAGGAGGAGCTGTGCCGGACTTTCGAGGTCGACGGCTACCCGACCCTGAAGGTCTTCCGTGGCCCCGAGTCGCACAAGCCATACGGTGGTGCCCGTCAAACTGACTCGTGAGTGGCCTGCTCCCTTCTCAGCGAGCCTTTGTGGCAACGCGCCTACGTGATCATCTACTGACCTTGTTTGGTTTGGCACAGGATCGTCTCATACATGACCAAGCAGTCCATGCCCGCGGTCTCCATCTTGACCGAGGAGACGCTGGACGACTTCAAGACCCTGGACAAGATTGTGATCGTTGGGTACATTGGCTCCGACGACAAGACCGCCAACAAAAGCTTCACCGCGTTCGCCGAGTCGCAGCGTGACAACTACCTCTTCGGTGCCTCCAACGACGCCGCTCTCGCCAAGACCGAGGGTGCTAAGCAGCCCTCGATCGTTCTCTACAAGGATTTCGATGAGAAGAAGGCCGTGTACGATGGCAAGCTTGAGGAGGAGGCTATCCTGAAGTGGGTGAAGACCGCCAGCACTCCTCTGGTTGGCGAACTTGGCCCTGAGACGTACTCCAAGTACATGGCGGTACGTGATTCTCCCTCCCCAAACCGCATCACCCACGTCTCTGGTAGTCTGGCTTGAAGATCGAGATCCCAATGCTCACATTTTGTGTCCTGCAGGCTGGTATCCCGCTCGCCTACTTCTTCGCGGAGACCGCGGAGGAGCGTGAGAAGTTCGCTGAGGAGTTCCGCCCCATCGCTGAGAAGCACCGTGGCGAGATCAACTTTGTCACTCTGGACGCGAAGCTGTTCGGCGCCCACGCCGGTAACCTGAACCTGGAGCCCGAGACTTTCCCTGCCTTCGCCATCCAAGAGACCGACAAGAACGCCAAGTACCCCTACGACCAGTCCAAGAAGATCGACCCCAAGGAGATCGGCAAGTTCATCAAGAACGTCTTGGACGGCAAGGTTGACCCCAGCATCAAGTCCGAGCCCATCCCTGAGGAGCAAGAGGGCTCTGTGACTGTGGTCGTTGGCAAGAACTACCAGGAGGTTGTCATCGACAATGACAAGGATGTCCTGCTTGAGTTCTACGCCCCTTGGTGCGGACACTGCAAGGCGTAAGTTTCTCCATTCCCACCTAGCCTTCTCCATCTTCCCCATCCGTGTACATGTATACTGACATGCCTCCCCTGCCAGTCTGGCCCCCAAGTACGACGAGCTCGCCGCTCTGTACGCCGACGTCCCCGAGTTCAAGGAGAAGGTGGTGGTCGCCAAGATCGACGCCACCGCCAACGACGTGCCGGACTCCATCACCGGTTTCCCCACGATCAAGCTGTTCCCCGCCGGCAAGAAGGACGAACCCGTCGAGTACACCGGCTCCCGCACCGTCGAGGACCTAGTCGACTTCATCAAGAAGAACGGCAAGTACGAGATCGACGGTCTGGCCGGTGACAAGAAGGCCTCTGAGGGCGGCGATGTAACCGCCGCTCCCTCTGCCTCCTCCAGCCAGGCCGCGGAGACTCCGGCCTCAGAGAAGAAGGAGGAGATCCACGATGAGCTGTAAACGCGCTGTCTGGAATTTGAATCTTTTTGCACTAGTCACTTGTATCATGACAAACTGAAATGGGAATCCCTGCGTGATGTCCGTGGATCTTTGAGTATCATTGAAGTAGACCAGAAATCTGGTTCCATTTAGACCACCTCTTCTTTTTATTTTGTAAACACTGATTCCACCAGCGTGGCGTGGCGCCTCTGATTATATCTAACGATGTGCGTCTCATTCACCGAATTGTGACTGATCCAATTGATCTGGCCCCATTAAGCGGCTTTAGTCAGCTTTCTCCTATCCACGACGCGTTGCGCGCAGCGCGTCAGATCACCGCGGTTCACCAACCCTCCCGACAGGCTCTCAGAACCTGGAGAAACCCTCTCCCTCGAACACGCCTTGCTTTCCTCATCTTCCCTCCACCTTTTGCATGCTCCCTCTTCTTGTTTTCTCTCGACGAATCCGAATCCCCTCGCTCGTCGCCATGGTGAGTCCCGCGCTCAAGCGGAACGCGGACCATCTCCTCGGCCCCGCGGCCAACAGCAAGAAGCTCAAGGGTGGCAGCATTACATCTTTTTTCGGGTTGTCCCAGCCGAAAGCCCTGAGTACACAGGGAGCAGCTGCAGGAACAGGAACAGGCGCCGGTGCCGCGCCTCGGTCCAGCTCTTTCAATAAGGAGAAATGGGTCGCATCCCTGACGCCGGAGCAGAAGGAGCTCTTGCAGCTGGAGATTGAGACGTTAGATGAGAGCTGGCTGGCGCACCTCAAGGAGGAAGTGGTGACGCCAGAGTTCCTGACCCTCAAGCGCTTCCTGAAGAAAGAGAAGGAAGGCAAGGCCAAGATCTTCCCGCCTGAGGAGGACGTGTATTCCTGGTCAGTCCAACAATGACAGCTTTCATCGCAAGCCGGATCCCAGCTTGAATCTAACAACCTCCAGGTCCCGCCACACCCCCTTGCACACCGTCAAAGTCGTCATCATCGGCCAAGACCCATACCACAACGATAACCAAGCGCATGGGCTCTGCTTCTCCGTGCGCCCTCCTACACGCGCCCCGCCCTCCCTCGTCAACATCTACAAGGGCATCAAAAAGAGCTACCCAGACTTCGTGGCGCCGCCCAACAACGGCGGCCTACTGATCCCCTGGGCGGAGCGGGGGGTGCTGATGCTCAACACGTGTCTGACGGTGCGCGCGCACCAAGCTAACAGCCACTCGGGCAAGGGGTGGGAGCGGTTCACACAAAAGGCGATTGACCTTGTTGCGCGGGTGCGAGGCAATGGGGTGGTCTTTCTAGCGTGGGGGAAGCCGGCGGGGATGCGAGTGGCGAAGATCAATAAGGCGAAGCATTGCGTTCTGCAGTCGGTGCATCCGAGTCCGTTGAGTGCGCATGGTGGATTTGTGAGTTACCCCTAGACTTTTTGGCTTTGGTTGTGTGCTCCGGTATTGCAGGGCAGGACAGATCGCTAACAAGCCCCGCAGTTCGAGAACGGACATTTCAAAAAGTGCAACGCTTGGCTTGCGGAGCGGTATGGCGAGGATGGGATTATTGATTGGAGTCTCGCGCCGAGTAAAAAGGCTGTTGAGCCGGCCGGCAAGGAGAACTCGGCTCCTTTGGCCAACGTTTCATCGTCGCCAGACAAGTGTGCTGAGAAGGCGGAGGAGGACTCGACAAATCCGTCTCTTGTGGAAGATGAGTTTGACGATGACGATGCTCTTGAAGCACTTGTGGCCGCGGAGAAAGAGGAGGCCGCTAAGGCAGTGTCGGGGGATGCTGACCGCACCTCGCCGTGAAGCTGGTGCCCCATTGTGACTTCATGCAGCATGCAGCATTTCCTGCTCGGATCTTTGTTCATTAACTTGACGGCGTTTTTGGGGTTGAAATTGGGTTTGATGGGGTGCTTGGTATCGCTTTTGCGAAAACGGGTTCAATTAATTTCCACATGCGCCTTGAGTCGAGATAGGCCCGATCTTCTGTCAGCGTATTATATAGGAACTGAAAGTCAAGCAAGTATGGCATTGCTGGAGCATGGCTATGCCAGCGCATACTAGAGAAGTATGTAGTTACAATTACGGTTCGCGGGTGGATACTCCACCTAGCTTTTATCGATAAGGCCAATGCTCCAAGCTCTCCGCGCTGCTTCTGCACGGCCCGCGCACAGCTAAGCTTGTCACTCGCCAACCCGAATGGAATTCACCTGGCTGGCCGACACGCCGCAGTCGCGGAGCCGGACTCGGGCTCCGAAAGCGTGTCCCGCCTGCCAGCGACGAAAGGTAAGTGGACACGCCACACCTTCCAGAGTGCCCAGAACTGAGAACATGCATAGAAGCGGTGCCGCCATCTCACCGCGGACCCAGAGGTCAACCACTACACTAACCCACGCAATTCTCGGGGCGTAGCCTCGACCCAGTCACCCAACAGTCACATCTACAGCTACAACCATGGTCACCTGGATCACCCGCGATCTTATTCAATCGGTCCCAGACTGCGGGCCAACCCAGCCCGGCCGACGCTGTCGAGCGCGGAGCGATTCGTAGGCGATCTCAACCCCGAAGCGGTAATTCGCGAGCGACTCAATGAGCCGATGGGAAATCCGCTGCGAGATCGCATCGGGCTCTGGATCAGCTCGCCCAACAGCGCGGTTGCGGGGGCGCAGCGAGAGAAAGGCCAGGCCGCATGCACCGATGCATTTTCTCCGTCTGAAGTTGGCACTGGCGCTCTCGCTTTCGATGACCAGACGGTGGCATCTGTGCTGGGCCAGCGGTATACATCGGCCATGCAAGCGTGTAGTGCACTTCCCACGACGACAAGGGAGCCGCTGATTTCTTCGTATTTTTCGAAGATCAATCGGATTATACCTCTTGTGGACGGCCCCACGTATCAAGCCCACCAAAACCATGGACAAACTCAAAGACACGGACAAGGACCAGGCACAGCCTCCGTCTTCCTCGAACGAGCAATCTGCCTCGTCGCCGCCAAAGACCGCGCCGCAAGGCCGCACCTCCGCCTCACAGAGACCGGCCCCGTCATGACTCCCCGCCAATTCTGCACCGAGATCTACAAAGGCCTCGTCAGCGCAATGGATGCCGAACTCGAACCAGACCGGTACACGCGGATTCGGGTGCTGGCACTGATGTCGTTGCACTGCGAAGGCTACGAAGGCGCGGAGGCGGCATCCCTGCACCTCTGTCAGGCGATCCACCAAGCTCAAACGGTTGGTTTGCATCTGGACCGGCCAGACCGCCGGTCTGGGGATCCTTTATTTCAACTTTTCTGGTGTTTATGGACATTGGATAAGATGCATGCTTGTATCGGTGGGCGCCCGGTGCTGTTGGCCGATCGGGATATTGGGATTGAGAAGCCTGGGCTGCAGATGCAGGCATCTCCGGGCTCGTTTAGGGTGTGGCTGGCTGTTTCGGATCTGCTTGCTACCATTATCTCCTTCTATCGTCCGTCGGCGGGGGTGACGAGCGGCTGGGAAGAAGGGTTCCCTGCGTTTGAGGATATTGTAGGTGAGACGGCCCATGAGGACCTGGACTTTGCTACTCTCGGTACGTTTCGATGAATCTTCTTGCGAGCCTCGATTTAACTTGGGACTACCGTACCGACAGTGAACTGACAGCACTTTCCCTCTCAGGCTTCCTGGAGCTATACTATCATTGTGCGGCTATCCTATCTTGCCGGTATAAACTGACCGAAACCCTCGACAGCACCAAGGTCTCTTCGATCCGACAAGGCCTGGCCGCTGTCCGGATTCACTCGATCGTGGGGACTGAGTGCGCGGGGAGTCTCCCGCCGCTGCCCATTGTGCCGTACGCGATATCGCTGTCGATGGGCGTGTCGTACCGGCAGTTGCGTTCTAGCAAGCTGATCACCCACTTTGACCGGGCCAAGGCTAGCCTGGAGGCTAGCTGCGCTCTGCTCGAAGGCCTCGGTGCCGAATGGTATTCCGCCGAGGCGATGGCTCGTCTGGGGCGAAAAGCATTGCAGCAAATTGAGCACGAACATCCGCGACAGCCTGCGCCGGAAACTCTGCTCGCACGGCCTGCCGGCACCACCGGAGCCGCGCGCAGTCTGGGGCCCGCCGATGCAGCAGTTCTCTCGGGGGCCGCTGGGGCCGCTGGGGCCATGGCCATTGAGGTCAAAGACCCAGCCTTGGGATCGGTCGCAGCGGGCCCCGAGACGGCCATGGGCAGCCCGCTGGCATCCGAAAACGTGAACGACCTGGACAGCACGATGCATGGATTTGCAGATATTGATACGCTCTTCGGCGAGTTCCTAGATCTATCGCTGCCTACGAACTTCTGGGATCCCCTCTTCGCTGAAGGGGAGCCTACCGACGGAGGCCAGTAGTTCGTGCTCAACGGCTCTTCACAGTATCAAAGGATCAAAGAGAACACGCCTAGCGCCGGGGCGAGGCGACCGTTTGGGGGGTGGCGGCAGGCACACTCGGAGATTGGCAGGTTCGGCGGACCCGCCGATCGGCGGCGTATTTCCCCCAATTCCTTTTCCCCACCCCATTCGCGCCCAATTCGCAAGTCTCCAACGACCAACGCTGGCCAGAACCCGGTGGGATTGCATGGCGAACGCGCTGTACACCTCTTCTTGGCGCCCACTGTCTGCGTTCCTGTGGAGAGCAAATGGTGATCGGCCCTGCAACACCCCAAAGAGGCATCCTTCAGCCTCGCTCTCGTGGGACTTGCTGCGCGGGCCACCACGCTCTAGCCAGGGCCGGCCGGCCTGATCATCGCTTGGTCTACTTGTTTCATCAGCACAGCTGCCGTGCCACTGGGCTCATTAGTCGTGGTTTGGAAGGCCCGCGCCCATGGAACGAAAGCCGTCAAATCTCCTGTCTCCCCCCGGTTCCACCAGGGGCTCAAAATAAAGGCCCAAAAAATGATGAGCAAATCAGTAATTCCCTGCGGATGGCATCTCCTCCGACTCGGCTCCTTTGATCTCTTTGTTCTCCCAGCGCATACACCTCCCCCGTACTCCGTACCGAGTATAGAACAACGGACAAGACATCCCTGGCCCCGGCCCCCTCACACCCCTCAATTCCTCAAAACACACCCTTTGGCCGTGCCGGTCTCACCGGTAGAAACCCGCGAACTAATCGATTCATCGCGTCTCATCTCCCCGCCACCGGCCGACCACCGACGCACTGTCACTCACGTATGTCTTTCCCTCCCTGGGAGCCACACCAGACCCTCCTTTCCGACGGGCCCGAGTAGACGGAAACAATAGCTGTGAACCATGCTCGGCCTTGCGTGTTGATTCATACTCCAGCCTTTGCACCCGGCCCGGCAAAGTTCGACTGCGACTTCGAGTCCCCGCCCGCATCGAGTCCCTGCCCTGCTCTGCGCAATGAGCGACGCCCCTTTCAGCTGAGCGGGGCCCGATCGCGATTTTATATCCGACCATTCCCCGGTGGATGCTGGCATGATAGTTGATTGGAAGGTCGCGCACTGGTGCTGATTCAAATCGCCATTGCCATTGTTCTTTTGCTAAGGCGCGGAAACGTTCTATACAACGGGCTGTGTGATATACTTGGGAACTGTGGTGGTGTTACATTGGCCATTCCGGGGACCATTGAGAGGGACAAGCTTGCGTGAATAAGGGAATTGATTCCTCGAGGTTACTGGATTAGAGTTGGCTTCGGCTTCAGTTGCGGAATCATGGCTGCATGCGCAGAAGACCTGGGGTATGCGCCCGCGGGCGCCGGTCTTGATCGTGCGGAGCAGCCCGCGACATGCTCTTCCAACACCGACACTAACTACCAACCCGCTCCCTCGCCGTCCCCAATCCACCCTATCTCTCAGCTCCAAGGCCCCTTTGAAGAGTCAATAGCTGAAGCCGCTGATGGTGCTGGGAGCGAGTGGGTGGTGGAACTGGATGCGCAGACACGCCGGCGAGATCTACTGGAAAATGACGAGTACGAGCGGCTGTGTGCGAGGAAATGGCGGCAGAGGGCCTCCGAAAGGTGAGAGCAGGAGGATACGACTGGAGCCGGACCCTTCATGCATGTTCACCGTGAGATGGCTAACCGGCCCACAGATACCATCCATTCTGGAAGCTGGTCTCCCAGATGGTCTTCGGCGTGCATCTCCTAGCCAAACGACAAGCGAAGTCTCCAGCAGCAGTGATGCATATTCTGCAGGGCCACGTCGACGAGCTGGATGGCTTTCTCCAACGTACCACGGAGGACTTCCTGATCATCCACCTGGACGTCCGTACGCGCATCCAGTATCTCAGTCTGCCGCTCGGAAACCTTACCGCGTTCGACGAGATGCTCGAGGACCGCAATTTCCGGCTCGCCCTGGTGTCGTATAACGACCAGATCGAGCATGCCGTCGAGAGATTCACGCAGGCCATTATCGACGCGGTCAAGGATCTACGGAAGGCGAAAGAGGCGATGGGAGTCTTGTGGCACTATCTCCTGCAACTTGGGAATGAGGGGTGTTTCGAGACGGATAGCCTGCAGGCCTTCTATCAGACCATGATGGAGAACATGGAGGGTTGGATCATGGCCTTGTCCAAGCTCCGCGGACGTGGAGCGGCGCTTCAGAAGGCACTTGGCCAGCTGGCCTTTGCAGTGACTGAAATGCAACGGCGGGTGGGTGTGGCGAGTCGGAAGGATGTGGTGAGTTCTGAAGTTCAAGGCGGAAATGTTCCAAAGGCTAATACTAGCCGCGCAGCGATCCCTCGTCAAAATGGCAAACAGAGCCTCTGCTCGACCTACGGCGGCCCGACAAAGTCTTTTTACAAGGAATCCAGGCCGACGCCCCTTATCAGAAAAGCCGCTCCCTCGCGATCCATTCTTGCAGCCCAAGGCTCGTCCCGCCTCCCGAAAGCTCGACGACACTCTCGTGGCAGGAAAGGGCAGTGGTGATGGCAATGGGGGAACCAGCGCGCCCAAGGTCTCCAAACGAGAGAGTATAATGCCCAAAGTCATCAGCCGTGCCAAATCATGCAGTGCACTTGTGGGAGAAACCGGCAGCGGTACAGACGATACAGCGCCTCCTCGAACGCCATCACGACTCACCAGGAAACTCTCGCGGCCCTTCCTCCCCAAGCGGTCCGTCAGCGAGAAGATCGACACCACCACCACCAACCGGCCATCGACGGCACCAGTCCGAACCCTGAAATCCCGCAGCGCCTCGATAGAGGGGCTCAAAGTCCTATGGGCTAATGGCCGGCCGCGCGCCCAGCAATCAATGGCGAAACCACCTACACAGGCGCGGCCACAAACTTCCCAGCACCAGCACCAGCACCAGCAGCAACCCGACGGCCTAGACACGTTGAAAGACCAAATCTCGCACTTCCTCAAGACAGATCGCGTCGTCGAAGCGTGGGACAATATCACCAAAAGCGCAAACTGCTGCGGCACGACGCTCGCCAAAACTAAAGAGTGGCCGAGCAGCATCTTCCGCGCAAAGTCGACCGAGAGCTTCCGCGCGCGCCCTAGCAACGGCTTGTCGGGTGCAGACCTCGAGCGGCAGATGTCCTGGGTGCAGGAGCCGGAGTTTCTGAACACGTACTCGCTCAAGCAGCGGCCGGCGACATCGCCGCGGATCCATGTGTTGTCTATTGCATTGGACGAGGAGCTGGATGGCGGTTTTGGTGTGCATGTGGGCGATGATGTGGGCGAAGCTGGTGAGACGGGGTCAATCATTACTGCGCTCCCGGCTGTGCCGCCTCCAACGCCTGCGACTATCAAGTCCGTCGCAGCTGAGGAAAGACCGCGGACGGTTGCTGCGCAGGCGTGAAGGAAGAGGGTTCGGCTTGCCTGTCTCTGCCTGGGATGCCATGAAACCCACTTGGCAAGGGCCCTGACCTCCGACTCGTCTTGACTACTTTGCTTCACCCATGCAGACCTGTACCCACAACCCCAGCATTACTCAATGGACTGGTTCCGTACCCGGAGGATCTTCCCAATACCAGTACCCCCAATTATTAGGGGCAGCATCATACCCGGAGTCCAGCGACACAACCTGGACATCGACGTCGGCTCATTGCCATTGTACACGCTTTATACTTAGCTTATATCATATACCCTTTCCGCACAACGCAATACCATTTCATTTCCTACAGCAAGGGCCGCTGCTGGCAAAGAACATAAACCAAGCAACAAGGCTCAGATCTTCGATCACACAGATAGCACTACTCGTACCAATAAAAAATAACTAGTCGTGGAAAAACGCACAACAGACAGTCCTGGAAAATGGAATAAAGATCTAGTATTCATTTTTCAGACTCTGATAGCACGAGCCTCTGAAATCCGTATTGTACTCATACTCATACTCAAAGCTCAAAGCCCCGGCAAGCGCCTAAGCAGTAAAACGCCCAACATGACCGAAGTCAAAACAGAACAGCATGGCCCCCACTTCATAAACACATGAGCCCGTGGCCAAACAGGAGAGAAAGAGAGAAGGAGAAGGGAAAGCAAAAGAGAGAGAGGGAGAGGAAGAGAAACGCAAAGAACGGGGCCGACTATTTGCAGCGCTTCTCCACAATGTTCGCGCCATGCTCATCATACTCCTTCTTTGAGATCCACATCTGGTGGAAAGTGCCCAGACTAGCGAGGATACTGCCACCAATCCAGGAGCCGAAGCGGCGCTCGGCGGTGTTTCCGGGGGCAGAGATGCGCACGCGCGGGCCGGGGAAGAGCTGCATCAGCTCATGGTTCAGACGATCCGTGAAACCGTACAACAGACTAGAGCCGCCAGTGACGACGACATTGGCCAGCAGATGGGGCCGGATATCGACATCGACGCCGCCGAGCGAGGCCTTGATAAGCTCGGGGATGGTCTGGGCCTGGGTTGGGGCGGGGACGGGCGAGTCGGCGTCCGGAATGGCAGCCTTGACGTCGAAGAGGGACTCGACGACACGGAAGCGGTCAGCGCCGAAGACCTGGTTATAGCCGTCGGGGAACTCGAAGGGGCGGCCAGGCGAGGACCGGGCCATTTCCTCGTTCGAGGCGCCGGTGGGACCAGTGGCGGCGAGTTTGTTGGGGCCCGGCCAGACCTGGACGACGCACTCCTTGAACTCCGACAGGGTGCGCTCCTCGAGGAGGGCGCGGTACGAGGCGTCGGGGGCCTTGTCAGCGGCAAAGGTCCTGTACTTAGCCTGGGGCGGCTGGCCGGCTTCGACAGCGGTCTTGGAGCTGATCAGGTAGTGAGGGGTGATGGTGATGGGTTGCGGGGAGTTCTTCTTGAACAGGGCGCGAATCTGCGCGGAGATGTAGTCGCCGCCAAGCGGAGAGTGCTGCACACCGCGCTTGAGGATCATGCCGTCATGCACGGGGGTGATGGAAATATTGGAGGCGCCGATGTCGACGACTAGACCGGACGCTTTGCCGGACGCGAAGCTGTGTGGGTAAATAAGACGGGGTCAGCCAGCCAATCGACCATTTCTACTATGCCACTTGCAGGTAGCATAGCAATACATATATATGTGAGAATATTCGATACGTACGCTGCAAGCACGCCGCTGCGCGCCAGATAGAAGGCAGGCGTGCCCCAATTCTCCATCGCAATCTCAATGGTCTTCTCGCGAGCTTTGGCCGGGTTCCACGCAGGCTCGGTCATGAGCAGCGGGCTATCAGCCAGAGGCTTGTCTTCCGACTCGAGCTCCATATCTGTGGGCAGCTCATCGGCGGAGATATCGTTCAAGCCATTATGGAAGGGATTGCCGGGCTTCGCGCCGGTCAATCGCGAGGTAAAGGAGTACTCCCAGACCTTCTCAGCCATGTCCCAATCTTCGACGATGCCATCCTTGCCGATGGGGTTGTGGATAGACAGGCCGGGGCGCGGGGTGACAAAAATGTCGTCGCCGAAGATCAGCTTGTCTTGGCCGTCGGCGCTGTATTTGCCGTAGTATGTTGGGATCAGGGTCTTGGGGGCGTCTTCACCAGCGAAGCCGGCGCGGGTGGTGGAGTAGCCTGGGTCGAGGACAATGGCAGAGACCTCATCTGTACGCGTCGACGAGACCTGTTAGCATTTGGCCTTGCTCTGTTCTTAAGCCAGGAACGAATTGGAGTCTCTATAGGGAGAGACGACCAAGCGTCGTCGCATCGCGCAAAAGCACGTACCTCCACCGTACTCGGCAGTTTGGGGCGGATTGGAAGGATTCATGGCGAAAGAGGAGCGCAGGATGAGTGAGGTGAAAGGTCTCGGGCAGGCCCGGTAGAATTGTTCAGTCGGCCGGTGTTGACAATTCAAGGCGAGACCATGCACGGAGGACCAAGGGAGGGTTGGGGAAGGGCGGTTCTTTTCGGTGCGGGAGGGCAGCTTTGGCATTGGGCGGACAGTTTGATTGCCCGTCTGCTTGGCAGATGACCTCACCTGCACCACTACACTTTCGCCTTTTGCTTTCCCTTCCTTCTTTACTCGAACACACATTTCCACATGCACAGTACGATTATGGATACAGAGGTCGACGTTCCACCTGAAACCCTCTTTCGCCCCGCGAAGCGACGCAAGTTTGCCCGACGCCGCCCAGATGACCCCCATGAGACAGCCAGCCCAGCTGCCGAACCAGTCACTGAGAGCAGTGACAAGGACCTTCGCGGAGCCGACTCACGCTCGCATCTAGACGGTGATGAGGACTCAACACAAGAGCCCGGGGTAGTGCGTCTCCGCCGACCAAATCCTGCTCGAAAAGGAGGTATTGGATTCTCCGCCACATCGCGACTTATAGGCAAGGACGACAGCCGTCAGATGGCGCTGGGTCCGGTTGGGGACCAGGAAAAAGCAACCATTCCAGCGGTGGGGGACCGGTTCACAGCATATACGGGCCAGTCGGTGGATGTGGACCGGCACATGTACGAAGAATCCCCTTCCCACTAGCATGATAATGCAGCGATGTGGACTAACAAAATAAGGATGGCTTATATAGATTCCGAGATGGCTAAGCGTTACCACCGCAGCCCGCTTCCAGATGGCTCGAATGCGGACCAATCGGCCTCGCAACCAACATTTGGCGGACCATCAATACCGGGACAGGCGCAGCAAGAACGCCTGCCCGCATCATTAGGCAAGCTGCATGAAATCGATCTCGGACAAGAGACGAAGCTGCAAAATATCGCGCGCACCGAAGCTGCCACCCGCCGACTCGCCGGCGACGAAGACTCGCCCGCATCTGGCGAGTCTGGTCCGCCGACAGAGCGCACTGGACCAACGGCAAAGCCGTGGCGCAACCGCAAGCGACGTACCAGCGCGGACGTCGAGCGTGACCGGCTGGTGGAGGAAGTATTGCGGGAAAGCAAACGTACGTATAGCCCTGACCCCAAATAGTGTCCATGGATTTGGCCACGGCTTGCTGACCTATGTGTCTCATCAGTGGACGTCTACGACGAACCCGAGGAGGAACTGCAGGCTGATGACGAGGCTGCAGATGATCGCATTGCGGAACAGTTTCGGCGAGATTTCTTGGACGCAATCCAGTCGCGCCGGCGGACACGCACCGTCACGAAGACGGCTACTAAGACCGAGGTGCCGAAAGGGCCCAAGTTGGGAGGCAGTCGCAGTGCGAGAGCGGCGATGCGAGAGTCGCAGGCTCAGTCGGGACGAAAGTAAACGAGAAAGAGGGCTTAATGGACCGCTTTTCTGTGATTTCTTGGGCTGTGGATACATCGTACTGACGCCGTCGTTGGTTCGTGGATCCTTCAATCCCAGGAATGAGGTGTCTATTGTCTGCCTTGATATGTTATGGGGGATCCAGTGCGGCGCGATTGTCGGACAGTGGACACAGGGGTTCATGGGCGGTAGTAGGGATGAATGGATGTATAACAAACAATGGATCCCATAGTTGATAAGAATACTCAATCAAAATGAAATAATGCTGATTACATCCCACACACGAGTCATCCCGGCTCGATTGCTTTGCTTTCTGGGGTAAATACGCCACTCGTTTGTGTAGCGCACCAGGACACTACGAGGGATGCAGTTGTCAACAGATTGGTGAGTTTTAGCCTAGTCAACTTGCTCCCCCCCCCCAAAGCTCATAAGTAGTTATAATTCTGGTGAATCTGATGTGTCTTCGCCGGTTTGGAGGGGTTCAAACTGCCTAAGAATCTAATAAATTGACCCGCAGCTATCCTTGCCTCGATTTCGAACTCTAGACGAACAGATTCCACGATGGTCTTGTATAGTTTCGAGCACAATTCTGAGAATGAAAACCGGCCAGGCGTCCGACTGACCTGACCTGTACGCCATGCTTATCGGTTTTTATATTTCGATAGCGGCTGTTTCGCGGGCTGCTTTGGCGACGATCGGATGCGACTCTCATACAGGCTAGCGGTGTCGTTTGAATTAGCACCAGAAATGCCAAAGGATGACGGTGAGGGCCCAACAACCTCTACACTCAAGTCGCTCTCTTCAATTGTAGCCTTCAGTCCCCGAATCGCATGGCGTCGGTAAGCCTTGACAAACAGTATGAAGCAATGGATACCTTTGAGGAGCTCACGACCCTTCCTTTACAAATGGGGGCAGGGTGGCAGCCAACCACCCGGTACATTTATATTTACTGATCAACAATCCATATGACACAGCGAGTATAGACTCAGTAGCGAGGTACCCCACGACTTACGATTTAATAAGAATAAATAAGAACAGGAGAGTAGATTGTTGAACAGAATTATACATGTACGATGCACTTAGGGTTTCCACTACGGCCGATGGGCCCTATTTTTCGCCCGTTTCATATAACCGGGATATTTCGGGATCGCAGAGATCTTCACAGTCTTCACGGCGAGAGATCAACGCACGCCACATGCCAGGCGACCGGGGTGGCTGACAGGGCTGAGCCGACTAGAGGGAGACTGCATACTCGAGTCCAGAGGAGATGCACAAGACGATGTACCTAATCATCAGTTGAGGAAATCGCGGGCGTGAGACATGGCAGGCATAATAATAGCATCCTATCACACTATCCCGCGCATGAAATGACGGCGCTTGTCCGGTCTCAGGTTGATGGCGTCGGGGGCCACTTGGGGGGCGGAACGGTTGATTAGGTTGGGTCTTTTGACTTTTTAATGACCGACCGGGCGGCAATGGAAATGAGCTCCTTCCTCGACTCGTAACACTAACATCGAGAGAACGATACGGAGTACTCCGATCACACCATTGGAATAATGGGAGGGGGAACGGCCTCGCCCTGGATCGGTCGCAAAAAATCGAGGGCGAGATCTCTTGTTGCAAGGGCCGATCCACCGGAGCGTCTAGACCAGCGCACATCAAGATCCGCGTCCGAGTGGCGAGCCCTGCAGGACGACGCAGTGTGGTATGTAATGCTGTAACGCACACAGTGTTGGCCTGGCAGGACCATGGTTGTCCAGGTTTCAGGCGGCCGCTCCAGCAGCCCCAGCAGCGCAGCCCAGCAGCCCCAGCCAGCCATTCAGCCCTCCGGCCAGCGGTTCGGCCTGAGGGGCCCAGGTGGTACCTTGCGTTCCCGCTGCTATATATATATGGGAGCCCAGCATGAGGGACGCTCTGCCACGCTTTTCTGGGACGCGGACATTCGCCGTCACATTGGCTGTTGTGGCTGGGCGTGGCGCTGGTCTTGGGCCTCTCCGTGGACAAGCTAGCCAGTTAAGCTGGCGCACATCCTTGGGAGCGCGAGTCCGGCCCGCTGGAGCTGGCCCCACTGGCGCCGACCAGGGTTATCTGTGGGTTGGAGAACGGAGTAGTCCTTCCTGCTGGTCTGGTCGCAGCTGGGGAGAAGTAGAGCTGAAGTTTTCTTCCACTGTTCCAGCCAGATGTCAAGAGTCAGCCGTATAGAGGAATCACGGAAACGCAGCAGGGACAGGATCCTCAAACCCGCCACTATCGAAGAGTAATTTTAGAAGAAGAGTAGGAAGAGGGACGAGGAGTCTAGACTCTGAAACGCGCCGGGCCCAATCAGCCCTGCTTCAGGGGTTACTTTGGATCACACCCCCCCCTCACACCTCCTCACACCACAACTTCACACCCCTTCACGCGGTCGAGACTTTCTTTTCTCCTCCACTTCTACCCTGATGACCGCGAGGGTACTGCTCGCTTCTAGAACTTGATTACTTTCGTTTGGATCCGACTCCAGTCACTCTTTCGCCTCGACCTGATCCACCCGCTGCCGTTGCGCCCGTTTGATTTCTCGCTTTTCTCTCTTCTCACTGCAGGTTGACCCTGTTTCTTTTTCGAGCTCGCAACCTCGTTCCTCGATCGCCTCGATACACTCTTCCATTCTCGCGCATCTGTCGTGGATGTGCTCGCGCGCGATCCCAACCGAAACTGCCTAGTAATCTTTCGTGGACTCGAACCCTCCCTCAACCGTCTGAGGTCAAGAAATGCGCAAGACCATCTGGGCTCTGCTGGGCCTGGGTGTTGTACCCCAGGCTCTGGCTGCTGACACGCTGAGCACCAATGGATTCAGCTTGTGCATGACAGACTCGGACATCGAAGTGCAGGACCTCGATGTCACCTACTCTCGCTCAAGCAAAGAAGTTGTCTTCGATGTGGCTGGTACCAACTCGAAGGAACAGAATGTGACCGCATCCCTGACTGTGACTGCCTACGGCAACCAAATCTATTCGAAAGAATTTGATCCGTGTGGGAACGAGGTCCATGTTGCGGAGCTCTGCCCTGGTGAGGCGCTTTCCCCTTTCTCGTCCCATCCCGCTCTGGCATGATATCAACATGAAAGAACAAAGAAAGTATATGCTGACCCTTCCTGCCGCTAGTCCCATTGGGCCACTTCGCTGCCCGGGGTAATATCACCGTCCCCGATGAATACGCCAGCCAGATTCCCTCCATCGCCTTCAACATTCCGGATCTGGATGGCCAAGCCAAGCTGACTCTCACCTCGAACGGCAAGAACGTGGCATGTGTGGAGTCTGACCTGTCCAATGGCAAGACCGCCAGCCTCAAGGCCGTTTCCTGGGCCTCGGCCGGTATTGCAGCCGGCGCCCTCGCTCTGAGTGGACTGTCTGCTCTCGGTTCTGCGGGAAGTACTGGTGCATCCTCCTCCAGCCCAGGCGTGGGTGACGTGATGGGATGGTTCGGCTCGATGGCCACCAACGGCATGCTGAGTGTCAGCCACCCGACCGTCTACAAGAGTTTCACCAAGAACTTCGCCTGGAGCACGGGTTTGATTCCGTGGGCGAGCATGCAGAATTCCATTGACGACTTCCGAAAAGCCACCGGCGGAAACACGACGCAGAACAGCTATATCTACCTCTCCGGCCTGAGCACCGCCTCGTCTTCGAATGGAACCTCCTCCAAGCGAAGCCTGGACATGATGTACCGCCTGTTGGCCCGGTCGAGCAGCTCCGGCTCTAATTCGAGCAGCACCTCGAGCACGACCAACTGCGGCGACCTCTCCGTAAGCAGCATTAAGTGCTATGGAGAGGAGATGATGATCCCCTCGGCGAACATCTTCATGACCGTGCTTCTGGTCTTCGCGATTGTCGTCGCTATTGTTGTTGTCGGCATCCTTCTGCTCAAGGTCATCCTGGAGATTTGGGCCATGTACGGCAACTTCCCCAAGAAGCTGTCTGAATTCCGGAAGGACTACTGGGGCATCATGGCACGCACGATCACCAACATGATTCTCATGTTGTATAGCATCTGGGTTTTGTACTGTGTCTATCAATTGCGGAACGGTGACTCCTGGGCAGCCAAGATGCTGGCTGCCATCACGTTGGCTGTCTTCACAGCCGTTTTGGCGTTCTTCGCGTGGCGTATCATCTACATGGCTCGCAAGTACAAGAAGATCGAAGGTGACACTACCGGCCTCTACGAGAACAAAGAAACCTGGCGCAAGTATAGTCTCTTCTACGACGCTTACAAGAAGGGTGTGTGGTGGCTGTTTGTTCCGGTCATTGTGTATGCTTTGGCCAAGGGATGTATCATTGCCGGCGCCGAAGGCCACGGCATGGTCCAGACCACTGGCCAGCTGGTTGTGGAATGCTGCATGTTGCTTCTGCTGCTGTGGAACCGGCCCTACGCCACCAAATCCTCGATGGGTATCAACTTCACGATCCAAATCGTCCGAGTTCTGTCCGTCGCCTGTGTGCTGGTCTTTGTCGAGGAACTTGGTCTCTCCCAGACCACCAAGACCGTGACCGGCATCGTGCTCATTGTCGTCCAATCCACCCTCACCGGTGTTCTCGCCATTTTGATCGCCGTCAACGCCATCATCTTTTGCATCCGCGAAAACCCTCACACTAAGAAGCAAAGAGAAGCTGGTAAGTGCCACCACACAATTTTCAATTCTAATCCCCTGTTATCGCCTGCTAACCTATTACACTCCCAGAAAACTCCAACAAGGACCTGGACGACCTCACCCCTCTCGACGCGCGCGAGTCCCTCCTCATCGAGCATCCACCTAAGCGCGACTTCGCCGAGATGAGCAAGTTCAACTTCACCGGTCCCTACGAGCCGTACCAGGATCACCCACGTCACCGGCCCGACTCGACCGGCGGCAATGATCGCCTGGTCTACGCGGACTACGGCGTCGCCCACGGCCGCAGCTCCAGCCAAGAATCCGGACACTATGACCATCGCCGCAGTCTCTCGCTCGAGGGCCGGAAGCCGACAACCCCTGGCTTCGGCATGGCCTACTAATGTCACGACGCTGCGCTTTTAACTTTTCTTCATTTTCTTCCCTTCTTCCTTTTATCCTGTGCAATCCCCACAGGACTGCCGGTGGTTGAGTCAAGACTCCGCGGCAGCGCCTTCTTCTGTCTGATTTTGTTTAGCGTGTTTCAATGGCAGCCGGTTTCTCTTGTTTCTGATTATGCTTGGATTTGTGCCATAACACCTCACCTACCACTTTCCATCTTTAGCCTCTTCCTCTTACTCCCACCTTTACTTGGTCTCACACTCTCTACATACTCCGACTTTTCTTTCTTTCTTTTTTCTTTTTTCTATTCCCCCACCCCCCTTGTTTTCTATCTTACCTCCCGACCTCGACCTTCTTTCTGTCCTCCCTCACCCTGTCAGCGCCCTTTTCTTGTCATTGCCAGCTTGGTGAAAAATGTATTCCCTTTTTGTGGTTCTTGTAAATGCCATAGAATTTTGATTATATGGTTACTTTGGACTCTTTGATATTTTGAAAATTCAAGTAGAGTGAGTAACTAGTTGGGACCTTGTTCATTAGTCAGTACGGTAGTACCTCCCCACTGTGTCGGTCGGTCTTGTAGCTGGTGCCAGGTCTCCGGCGAGAGTAAGGGATACATCCGAATGTGATAGCATCAATCTTATGAAACCCAGTCACAGAACGAGTAGAAGGCATTGATGCATTGCGACTTTGAAACAACACAAATGCCCAGTAACAAAATCCTCATTCCCCAAATGCGCAGGGTTTCAGTCCAAGACCCCCTTTCTATACGAGATATGCTTCTACGATACGAGCCCATCACCCAAGAATAGCAATCGCACACATCAAAACGCGAGACACATCCCATTTTGAAAACTCTGAACAAGAACAAGAGAAAGAGAATGAAAAACAACATGTTTCCGCACTGCATTCACGGCTGATCATTTTGAGGAAAAGAAAAAGTAATAGAAAACATAAACAGAAAGCCAGCAAGCTGCGCCCCACAACTAAGACTCGCCCCGTCATTTGAGCAGGATAGGAAAGAAACAGCAGCACAGCACAAGGAAACCCGCGACTCGACAGCGTACGAATTTCGAATTTAGGTTCAGGGAAATGTAGGAAGGGGCAAGGGGAAATGAAGTACATATGGGTAGAACAGAGAACAGAAAGGAGGAAGGAGAGGAAGAAGAGGGAAAAGAAGACATAGCATAGAAGAACATGAAAGGACCCAGTGGCTAGACCAGATACGTCTATCGAGAATAGGGATGGAAACCACGGTGTCCGCCACGGCCTCCGCCGCGGTAGTTCGCGCCAGGCTTGCCGGCGTTGCGTGGGCCGGTGGGCGCGTTGGCGGGGGCTGCGCTCTGCGGCTGGGGGGTGAGACCTGCGGAGAAGGAGAACGAGTTAGCAGGTGTTGCGATTGATGTGGATAGTGGTATTTGCAAGGGAGATCCGACCCGATCCGGTCGGATTAGAGTACATACCACGACCTATGCTGCCTCCCCGCGTCATGCCCTGCGGGCCAGTGGGGATATTTGGCTGAGGCACCTCGTCATACATACCCTCCCACGAAGTCGGGCCGCCCTGCTGGTACGGCGAGAAAGCGCGGCTGGTGTCCATCACACGGCGGGCCTGCTGCTGCTCGTATTTCTGCTGCTCAAAGGCGATCTGCTCCTGGGCATTGTATCCCGGCCCGCCAGGCTGACGGTTGTAGCCGGGGCCCGGACTGGCGCCCTCACTACCGCCGCCTTGGGCTTGGCCCTGAGGTTGACCCTGAGGCTGACCCTGAGGTTGACCCTGCATCTGCTGCATCATGGCCGGGTTCATCATATTGGGCATGTTCTGCTGCTGGGAACCCGGGGAGCCGGGGTTGGGACTCATGCCGCCGGACTGCTGGGGGCCAGCGCCGGCCATCTGCGCTTGCATTTGCTTCATCTGCATCTGCTGCATCTGCTGCATCATGGCCGGGTTCATGGCGCCCATGTTCATGTTGCCGCCGCCCATGGCCATCTGCTGCTGCATCATAGCGAAGTACTGCTGCATACGCTGCCAGTACTGGGCCATCATCTGGGGGGTCATGCCACCCGCCATGCCCTGTTGGCCGCCCTGCTGCTGGCCAGCATCGCCGCCCTGGTTCATGTCGCGGAAGCCCTCACGGCCACCACCACGGCCGCCCCGGTTCTCATCACGCAGGTTGCCGCGCGGCTGGGCTTTCTTCACCTCAATCGGCTTGCCGAGGATCTCAAGGGGGCGGGAGAGGGCGTTTTCAACGGCGGCTTCGCTGTCGAAGGTCACGAAGCCAAAGCCGCGGGGCCGACCGGTGTCCTTGTCGATCATAAGGGTTGCGTCCACGACGCGGCCGAATTGCATAAAGAACTGCTTGAAGTCTTGCTCGGTGGCTTCTTGGCTGACGCCGCCAACGAAAATCTTGCTGGTTTTCTCCTGCTCGTCGCGCGGAATGGCACGCTTGGGATCGATCTTGGGAGAATAGTTAGCCGCTGGATCGGTGGACAGCCGTATATTGCTTGATCAGGGGGTGATAGTGTCTCTCTTGAGGACTCTCTCGCTCGCCCTTTGTCGGTCGTGGTAACTCACAATCTTGCCATCCAGGTAATGCTCCTTAACCATCACCGTGTTGACCGTCTTCGGATCCCGGAAAGTAAGGAAGCCAAAACCGCGCGAGCGGCCGGTGGCGCTATCACGCATGACAGTACATTCCTGGACCTCGCCGAATTGCGAGAAGTAGTCGCGGAGAGATTCTATTGGGAGTCCGCAAGGTTAGACAGACCGTTACTCCAGATAGATAGTAATCTATCATCAACCAGACACCCCCGATGTAATGCAGTACATACGATCCGTTGTTTCCCAGTTCAAACCGCCAATGAACATTTTCCTAGCCGAGCCATATTAGCATCATCCGCCAGCAGGAGAGATGTCTCCAATACAAGCAGAACAGAGGGAAGAAATGAGGCCACATTGAAAAACGGAGATGAAAGGGTGAAAAGTGTCAATGTGTGTCTGTAAGTGTGCTCTGGCTAGGGAGCTGGTGGCGCTAAGCTGCTATTCACGAATACAGCTAATGCTGAACTGTCTGGAGCCCGCTGGAGCCCTGAAGAAGCCCATATCTTGTCCACGAAGGTCCATCTTGCCGGTATACGGTGACTGCGCAAGCACGTATAGCCCCATGTAGCTCCATGATAGGTCCGCCCATTTGGTTTACATGAGCGTGAATCCGAAGTCGACCGCATATTCCCTCTCTTTCTGGGGGGTTTTGTGGGATACTCATGCCCCCGGGAGAAGATTGAGTCAGACAGAAGAGGCAGTAGCGAGAAGTTCTCAGGCGAATAAGTGAATTGTCACTGTCTTTTTGTCTCTGGCCTCGACTTGGAGAACCTTTGCGTGTCTAACAGAAGTCCCAAGCTAAGTAGCATTGGCGTGACAACTCCCATCAGACAGCGTTGCTACTTCTTGCTCTGCTCTATCAACTGTATCGACAAGAAGCTATATAGTATCCGCTGTACTATATGGTGGCTCGCAACAAGGGCTGCGGCAAGGTCCGATCTGTATCACGTATTTTTCGCTGCTTGATATTCTCTGCCTGGGACAAAGGCTCCCTGTTTCTGGACCTTCTGAGGTTGCGCCTGCCTGATCTCCATCGCCGTGAAAGATGGCCTCTGATGACTTGCAGAGACTCGTGAAGAAAGGAAAACGAGATCTGGAAGATGCCGAAGATCGTGCATGGGAAGAGGTTTCCCACGCAATTGTCCACTGGGCACGTATGACTTGGCCGTTCATCTCCCCTCATAATCGAGCATATTTGCAATTGCATTCTCCCAGCGATCGACCCTCTTCCTATGAGTTTGTAGAGGTAGTTCATAGCAATGCATAGCCACATTCAACCCTCAGAAGCCGCATTCTGTGCCGTGAACAGCAACCGACGCCACCCAGATACACCGGAAGCACATAGCCAGATGCCCACCAGCATTTGAGGGAAAAAAAAGAAAATTGAACTGACTATAACACAGGGGAATATTTCACTTACCCGTCTTCCTTGATTCCTGTACCTGATCCAGACTGCTCATTGTCGGCGGGGGTCGTCACCGCATGGTGAGCAGGTGTATATTCCGAACCGTTCTGGAAACCTGTACCGTATTCTGGCTGGGGAGCAGTATGTGTAGGATATGTGTCGGTGGCCGAAGGGTTGTAACTCGGCACGACGGATTCTTCAACAGGTTGCACAGGGACTGCGGAGGGGGTGGGGTTTGTGGGCTGAGGGGCCTCCACTGCGGACGTTGCGCGATTCGTCGATTCGTCAGCATCGTAGCTGTGAGACGATGTTGGTTAGACAAGCGGTCATCAAATAGGGGTGAGCAAGACTCATACAGATCCGCGAAGAGATCATCCTCCAGTTCCTCCGGTTCAGCCATGATGCTGAGGATTAGGGACGAGGTTAGGGGAGCAATGGGAATAGAAGTGAGTCAGGATCGATGAAGAAAGTGGGAAGGGAAGAAACGAGAAGTCTGAATCAGCTAAGAATGCGTGGGGGAGAAGAAGATGAAGTCAGTAAAGAAGCGTAGGGAGGGAAAGCGGAGGAGTAAGTGGCTTACATACGCACGGTTCAGATACTTTTCCTGGATATGCAGGCAACACGGCAGACTCAAGCCGTAGCGTCGTAAATCGCTAATGCTAACCGGCTGAAAAACAAAAAAATACACTACTCCGTTCGCTCAATGCTTTAACAGAATCAACAAAACAGAATGCCCATTTACATTAACAATCCATTTTGACACGCCGTTGCTTTTACGGGCTGGAGCTGATCATTTTGGTAGGCGGAGCCAAAGGCGGTGAGAATAATGTATGCGTTACATAAGCACCTTGGTGCCGGGGTTATCTGCCCCGTTTCTCCAAGGAAGTGGCCAATACTGCTACGACGTCAACAACAACAACTATACCCCCTTTCAGTGTTGATTCTGGAAGCCGCATTCGCTTTAACTTTGTTGTCTCGCCATGAATCTCTGAGCTCTGCGTGGTTTATGGCCCGGCTGGAGGAGCGCACGACAATATCCCTGGGCCGCCCCGCATCTGAAACCCACTGAGATCATTCCGGTCCGTCTATCCCAGCAGCAGCAGCCATGACAGACAAAAAGGGGCAGCAGGTAAGCATACACCAATTCCCCTGTGAATCGATCATTGCCGAATTGAAACTGAGTGTTGATCCAGGAAATGGTTCAGGTTGGTGCGTATTCTCTTTCCCCCCCCCCCAGTTTCCTTGTGGCTTCTTCTATAGCTAATGCAAGTTGGCGGGCGGTGCAGACAACTCCGAGTATGTATAACACTACCTCTTCGTCTGCCTAATTTTAGGTTCCTGCTTCTATATATATACTGACGCCTCATTGAAGACGCGCAGACTCTCCTTTCTGGGCTGGTCGGAATGCATCCCTGAACCAGGGTTCGTCAAAAGCCTACGGAAAGAACACAGTTGTTGGCGCCTCATACTCTCACGCCAACATGGTTCAGTTAGTACCCCTATGGAAAGCCAGAGCTCGCGCCATCGTCCTATATCGATGATATTCTGACTGCTGTTCTTTTGATAGAGGCGCGTCGTCTCACCAACGAACCAAGACACCGCCCCGGCCATTGGGAAATGCCCCGTACCCCGCGTCGCACCTGGCGAACCGATCTGGAAACGTGGTAGCCTCACCTCCCCGACAAACATATCCTGGGATCATGACACAAGGCGTAGATGAATGGAGCCGGGATCCTACCGAGGATGAAGATGACGACGACGACGACGACGAGATTGTTTACGATGATGATGAAGATGAATTCGGACTTCCCAGCCTTGCCAGCATGCGCAGAAAGAAGGAGGTACCTTTTCAATCGAAGAATATGGATCCTGGCAGAGCAATGGGAGGTAACCCTACATCTCTGGGATTCGGCATGGCCGCCGCGAACAGACAACGCGCCAATAGCTCGGATATCGCCGAGGAACGCGGAACCCCAATGTACCCAACTGCGCACAAGGGCGAAGGGAAAATCCTACGGCCACAGTACAAGGATATCTTGCAAGGTTAGAATTCAGCAGTTCAGAAAGAGTCAAGTTTAACAGTCATGCTGACATGGGTATCTTCAGATCCTGCAAACGCTTTGAATCTCATCAATCACTCGGCCCCACCCTCCAATGCCTCCCCGAAGGAGAGGGAGATGCATTCGAGTCACATCACGCGGATCAATAAATTCAAGCGCATTTTGCAGGCTAGTACTGTGTCTCTTACCGAGTTGCGGGACCTAGCATGGTCTGGGGTTCCTGAAGAGGTTCGGCCAATGACCTGGCAACTTTTGCTTGGATATCTCCCAACAAATAGTGAACGACGTATATCGACACTCGAGAGAAAGCGCAAAGAATATTTGGACGGAGTACGACAAGCCTTTGAACGCGGCAGCTCCGCTGCCACGAACCCCCCTGCCTCGAGCATGGGACGTGGAAGAGGACTGGACGAGGCCGTCTGGCACCAGATCAGTATTGATGTTCCTCGGACCAGCCCTCATATCCCTCTCTATGGCTACGAGGCCACTCAACGGTCTCTAGAACGAATCCTCTATGTGTGGGCCATTCGTCACCCGGCGAGTGGCTACGTGCAAGGTATTAACGACCTGGTTACCCCTTTTTGGCAGGTTTTCCTAGGAGTGTACATTACCGATCTCAACGTTGAAGAGGGCATGGACCCGGGCCAGCTACCTCGCAGCGTTCTGGATGCGGTGGAAGCTGATACGTTCTGGTGCCTGACCAAACTTCTCGACGGCATCCAAGACAACTACATTTATGCCCAGCCGGGCATTCAGCGACAGGTCAAAGCCTTACGGGATTTGACGAAGCGCATTGACTTGGCCCTGGCCAACCATCTAGAACAAGAGGGTGTGGAGTTTATGCAGTTCAGTTTCCGGTGGATGAACTGTTTGCTCATGCGGGAAATGAGCATAAGGAACACGATTCGCATGTGGGATACGTATATGGTACGCCCTTTCCTCTTTTCTTCAGCGTGTTTACTGTCCTGCCGTTGCTATTCATACTGACATTCGTTGCAGGCCGAGGAGCAGGGCTTCTCACGATTCCACCTATACGTTTGTGCTGCATTCTTGGTTAAATGGACAGATCAGTTGGTGAAGATGGATTTCCAGGTTGGTACTCTATACATCTATCAACAATCTGGCTCAAGAGCTGAAGCAAGTACATAGGAGGTGATGATGTTTCTCCAAGCACTGCCTACAAAGGACTGGACCGAGAAAGATATTGAGCTCTTGCTCAGCGAAGCTTTCATCTGGCAGAGCTTGTTTCAGGACTCACGCGCTCATCTCCGGCCAACTGGGAACGAACCTCCTGAAAATGGTATCTTTTATTGATAGTAATCATAATTCATCATTCTATTCCGGACTCCTTCGCTTTTTTATCGCCCGGGGGGATGTGAGCGACAGACTCAGTCTCGATCAATTGAAGTGGATCCCTTTCTGGTTGAAAGCCCACAGCATCTTCAAGAACTCATTCTCGTCACACATTCGTGCGCGCTTGTCGGCCAGGCCGGTCTCATCCTCCAGGACCTGGCGCACCTTCTCGCGGACCAACTCTGAAACCTTTCCTCGCTTCTTGCGCTGGGGATGGCTCTTGAGTGCTTGTTGGATACGCGCGTTGGCCTCTTCTTTGAAGAAATCGGGGACGTCGTCGTCGTCCATATCCATGACCTCATCAACAGGCTCCTCCTCGTCTTGCTGTTCCTGGCCCATATCCATCGCATCGCCGTCGGCGTCTTCGACCGGGCCATCTTCCACGGGGATATCGTTCTGGGCGCACCAAGTGCGGTAGTTCTGCTCGAGCATGTTCATGATGGTAGGTGTGCCGATGAAACTGGCCCGCAGTGTCTTGTTCTTCCGCACGAACGCAATGCGCAGCAGTCCGTCCCATTCCTCATAGTTGATCTGTGGCCTCGGGACCTTAGGCACCATGCGGATGACGCTGGACTCGACCAATGGTGGGGGCTTGAAGTTGTTCTTGCCAACCTTCATGATGTGATCGATCTTGGCCCACATTTGGGCATTGACAGACAGTCGACTATAGAGCTTGTCGCCAGGCTTCGCGAATAGACGCAGGGCGAACTCACGCTGGAACCTAGGAGTTGGGAAGTTGTATGTTAGCCTATGCCAGATAAAATAAACCGAGAACCCGCGAGGAATCATCTGTGATTTAGACGTACATAAGAACGCAAGTACGAGGCGCGGGTGTTGTGGCAAGTAGCTTGAATGTGAGAGGGGAAGAGATCTGTTTGTAGTTAGCAAAAAACTGTAGATTTCTGGAAGTTCTCGATGTCATATGAATGTTATCACATACCTGGTAGGGAGTGTTACTGATGCAGACATCGAAATACGGCAGCTCCGTCTTCATCACATCGCCGAGGATTACCTCCAGGCGCTTCTGTGCTGGGGTACCCTGGAAACGCTTGGTGACTTCAGCGGCCATTCGAGGATCCAACTCCACCGCGATGACCTTTTTGGCCTTCTCCAGGATCTTTGCTGTCAAGTTACCAGTACCAGGACCAATTTCGAGGACAATCTGTTGTGCCAATGATTAGCGCAGTCACCTTTCAATCTCACAAACACCACTCACATCACTCTGCTTAAGATCGGCCTTGTGAACAATTCTGCAGGGTCCAATTTAGCTCGCGACAAATGACATATGCGTTAGGCATTACTCACTGCTCAGCAATACCGGGGTTCTTCAAGACGTGCTGGCCGATATCTGTGTTCATCTTGAAGATACTGTGGGCGGCCTTGGTCTTTGCGGCGGCGTCCGCGTGCGCGCTGTTGCGCTTCTGCTTCTGAGCTTTGGGCATATTGAATGGATGGCCTGAGCCGGTGCAAAGCCACTGAGATTCCGTCTGAAGCAGCAAATTTCCCACGAGGGCGCAATGAGGAGTTCCCGAGTCCCGCGGCGTTGTTTAACTGTGGGCGACTTTTTTTCTTTGCGATAAGATTATCGGTCTCGGGCCTACTTTTCTACGAGCCCGCCGTCGACTCTCTTTCGCCTTCTACTCCCCACGCTCCAAGGTTGATTGAAGCTTGCTATCCGTGTCCAACATGGCGTCCGGACGCAAGGATTTTCTCAGCCAGCAGGCGCCGGAGAACTATGTCGCCGGTCTGGGCCGTGGTGCGACGGGCTTCACCACGCGCTCTGACTTGGGACCCGCGCGCGAAGGTCCGACTCCCGAACAGATCCAGGCCGCGCTGACGAAACGAGCGCAGCTCCTGGGAGCTGCCGCACCGACGGCCTACGGCAGCACTTCTCGCGAGAAGGGAGGTAAAGAAGAGAAGGAAGACGAGGAGGATGAGCGCTTCCAGGATCCCGACAACGAGGTCGGTCTGTTTGCCTACGGACAGTTCGACCAGGAAGACGATGAGGCGGATCGCATTTACCAGGAGGTGGATGAGAAGATGGACAGGCGGCGAAAAGCTCGAAGGTTAGTCCTTTCCCCGGCCCTGTTGTCTCATAAAACAACTTGTTCATCGGGCCAGTCCCCGGTTGCTTGGATAGAATACCGACTTGGAACATTTGCCACCTACAGGGAAGCTCGAGAGCAACAAGAACGCGAAGACTATGAACGAAAAAACCCGAAGATTCAGCAACAATTTGCCGACCTCAAGCGATCACTCGCGGCGGTCTCCGAGGAGGACTGGGCCAATCTCCCTGAGGTTGGAGACCTGACAGGCAAGAACCGACGAGCGAAGCAGAACTTGCGCCAGCGATTCTACGCAGTTCCTGATAGCGTCATTGCGGGTGCGAGAGATTCGGCTCAATTTGACACCACCATCGCCGACGATGGCGGCCCGTCCGGTGGAGGAGAGGGAGGTGATAGCGGCGACGGGACGATGACGAACTTCGCGGATATCGGTGCGGCTCGTGACAAGGTCCTGAAAGTCCGACTGGACCAAGCAGCGCTGGGGTCATCTGCTGAAAACAACTCCTCGGGAAGTGCAACCAGTATCGACCCCAAGGGATATCTCACCAGTTTGACTCAGTCGGAAATGAAGGCTGGTGAGGTCGAGGTTGGTGATATCAAGCGAGTGCGGGTTCTCCTGGAGTCTGTCACGAAGACCAATCCCAAACATGCCCCTGGATGGATTGCACTTGCGCGGCTGGAGGAGCTTGCGGGCCGTATTGTAGCGGCTCGAAACACCATCGCCAAAGGGTGCGAGCTCTGCCCCAAGAGCGAGGACGCATGGTTGGAAAATATTCGTATGAACGAAGGCCATAATGCAAAGGTCATCGCGGCGAACGCTATCAAGAACAACGACCACTCGACCAGACTTTGGATCGAGGCCATGAAATTGGAGACCGATTCCCGGGCGAAGAAGAACGTCCTCAGACAGGCTATCTTGCACATTCCCCAATCCGTGCAGATCTGGAAAGAGGCTGTCAATCTGGAAGATGATCCCGCGGATGCGCGTCTTCTTTTGGCCAAGGCCGTTGAAATGATTCCCCTCTCCGTGGAGCTGTGGCTGGCCCTTGCGCGTCTGGAGACTCCAGAGAACGCTCAGAAGGTTCTGAATGCAGCGCGCAAGGCTGTCCCCACCAGCCACGAGATCTGGATTGCTGCTGCTCGTCTTCAAGAACAGATGGGAACCTTTGAACGGATCAATGTCATGAAGCGTGCCATTCAGTCCCTGGCTAAGGAGAACGCCATGTTGAAGCGAGAGGAATGGATCTCCGAAGCAGAGCGCTGCGAGGAAGAAGGTGCCGTTCTCACCTGCGGTGCTATCATCCGCGAGACTCTCGGATGGGGTTTGGACGAGGATGATGACCGCAAAGATATTTGGATGGACGACGCCAAGTCCAGCATTGCCCGTGGCAAGTACGAAACCGCGCGAGCTATTTACGCGTATGCCCTACGGGTATTCGTCAACAGACGGTCCATCTGGCTCGCAGCTGCAGACCTCGAGCGCAACCACGGCGACAAGGAAGCTCTGTGGCAGGTCCTGGAGAAAGCCGTCGAAGCATGCCCTCAAAGCGAGGAACTCTGGCTGCAGCTTGCCAAGGAGAAATGGCAGTCTGGTGAAATCGACGACGCGCGACGAGTGCTCGGCCGTGCCTTCAACCAGAACCCTAACAACGAGGACATCTGGCTTGCCGCCGTTAAGCTCGAGGCAGACGCGCAGCAAACAGACCAGGCACGCGAGCTCCTTGCCACGGCACGTCGAGAAGCTGGTACGGACCGTGTGTGGATCAAGAGCGTTGCTTTTGAGCGGCAATTAGGTAACACGGATGAAGCGTTAGATCTCGTCAACCAGGGTCTGCAGCAGTACCCCAAGGCCGACAAGCTCTGGATGATGAAGGGCCAAATATACGAGGCGCAGAAGAAGCTCCCGCAAGCGCGCGAGGCATACGGCACAGGCACGCGTGCCTGCCCCAAGTCCGTACCGCTATGGCTGCTAGCCGCGCGACTGGAAGTACAGGCCGGCGCCGTGGTCCGGGCCCGATCCGTCCTCGACCGCGCCCGCCTTGCCCTGCCAAAGAGCCCCGAGCTCTGGACGGAAAGCGTGCGTGTCGAGCGGCGCGCGAATAACCTCACCCAGGCCCAGATGCTGATGGCGCAGGCGCTGCAGGAGGTGCCGGCGTCGGGCTTGCTCTGGAGCGAGAGAATCTGGAACCTGGAGCCGCGGGCGTCGCGCAAGGCGCGCAGTCTGAGCGCGATCAAGATGATAGAAAACGACCCGATCCTGTTCATCACGGTGGCGCGGATATTCTGGGGCGAGCGGCGGTTGGAAAAGGCGATGACGTGGTTCGAGAAGGCGATTGTGTCGGACAACGACTACGGCGACGGGTGGGCATGGTACTACAAGTTCCTGCTGCAGCACGGCACAGAGGTGAGCCCGGATTTTTCGAGGCGCGATGGCGCGCACTTCTTGAATACGGAGGGGTGTGCTAACATGTTCACGGGTCTACAGGACAAACGCTCTGATGTGATATCCAAGTGTGTCTCGACAGAGCCGAAGCACGGCGAGGTGTGGCAGAGGATCGCGAAGGACCCGCGCAACGCGCACAAGTCAACGGAGGAGATATTGAAGCTTGTTGCCGAGACGGTCAGTTAACAGGGTCGTATCATGATGTATTAACACAGCACTACCCCGGCGGCGTTTTGGAACATGAATGGACTTTTGAATATCGATAACTCACTTTACCTCCCCACCTCTCTCCCTGTTAGATACGATCGCTCAGGTAGAAGATGAAACTTGATCTTTCCCTACATGACTCGAGGCACAGAGAAAGGGTTGCTATATAAGAGCTATAAGAGCCATAAAAGTCCAGTAGAGCCGACGCATCATGCAGTGTAGTAACGAGTCATATTCATGGGTATCGAACAAGCCAGGCCTCTCCACGCCGGGCCACAGTCATCGCCATCATTTCAGCTTTTCTGTTTACTATCGAGACCAGACCAATCTCAGTTCCTCTGCGTGTGCTGCATGCACCTTGCCCGCGTGTAAAAAAGACAATAAAAAGGGGATAGATACTGTACATCGCACGGCTGGCTGTCGCCTAACCCAGGCCGGGGGGAACTCCAGAACCAAATGCATAACATAAAAGGGGCTGCCATTGAAGCAGTGCAATGGCAGCGCCGGCAAGTCCCAGACGCCGTGATCATCCGCCGCCCAGAACCGGAATCAATAACGCAAGAAACGCAAATGGGAAGGGGAAGGGGTAAACATAAGATGGCAGCGTGTGTGTCGTAGACGAAGGGGACGAAACGGAGGAAAGCAAGGGTGGCGGGTATAGGGATGGGGTATCAGTCTCCGATCCTCCTCAGATCTAAGCAGCCATCGACAAACACTCGTCAAGCAAGCCGCTCAACTGCTCCCGATCAACAGTCGTGCCTCCTTCCCAGTCCGAAAAGGCATCATCATCGTCCAGATCCATCTCGTCATCATCCGCGGTCTTGATTTCATGGACCTCACCGACATCGTTTTCCAGCCGGTCCTGCTTTTCCGTCTCCAGCTCGTCTTCAAAGTACCCGCCCATAATCTGGTCGATAATCAGCGGCATATGACCCAGGATGCCACGGCCCAGCTCCAGCGTGAGCCGGAGGTCCCTGACCCCCAGGGGCCGGCGGATACCAGCCTCCCTGGCCTCGACGGGGAGCAATCCGGTGGCAGTGTCCTTTACGATTTCGCCGCGGGTATAGGCGAGTTCCTCACGCTCCAATTGCTGGCGGTACTTGCGCATCATCATACCGTTGATGGTGCCCGAGGGCCCGTTAGAGCGCGTGCGCGAAAATACCCCCGACAGAACCTCCTTAATAAAAGTCTCGGTGGCGATGGCCATGAACTCTGCGCACGGCAGGCCGGCGCCACTAGGGAGTGATTCTTCGTAGCACATGGGAACCATGCGGGCGTAGATGGATTCGGCGTCAGGGAACTCGCCCGTCTCAGCGGCGAGGGGTTGCGCATATCGTTTCCGGATTTCCAGTTCCCAGTCTAAAGGGGGAAGTGCAGCGTTAGCTCTTTGTTCGGGGTTGGATAGGGTGCGCGCGATGCGACAGCGCAGGGGATATCGGCGTTAAATGGGTGAAGATGAAGAGATCTTACTTGTCTTGTTCAGTCCGCCCGCGCTCGCGGGGACTTGGCTCGGGAGTTTAATCTGTTTCGCCTGGTGGTATTCCTCCAATTCATTGGGAACCGTATCATTGGGATCTCGCTGGTAACGTGGAGAGAGGTCCCGCATCAGCAATCGTTCTGGTCGCGCCGGCATCGCCGCCCGCTATCCTAGGTGGAGCGCATACCTCTGGAATACCCTTGATTCTCCGACGGTCCCTTGGAGGCAGTTGCATGATCTCCGTCTTCAACCTTTGCTCCGCAGCGTCGCCAGAGACAGGCTTGGAGACCATCGACGGCTTATCGTTGGCCGACACCCAGGTTGCGACGCCATGGTCGGGCAGATCGCGGGTGAGGTTTGCGATGATCGCGCACACAAAGCTATTATGAAGATGTTCGATTTTCGGATCGGCGCATAGCATATGATCGACCCGCGACGCGTATTCATTCTGGTTGTAATGTCCTAGAAGCGGCAGGAGGTCAGGAGGTCAGCCATCAACAGCTCCCATTCATCGCGGGGAAGCCCGAGGGCGACAAGCTGTTTCCACGCCAGCCCAGGGGTCTTTGGGCGCCCGATCGGTCCCATACCTAATAAGAAGAGCGCAGTAGATTCCTTATACTCCGCCCACTTGTCCCCGATGGCGGCTTTCAGCTCGGTATAGGCCTGCTCCAGGTCCAGGCGCGGCACCGAAGGCAGGGACCGCGACGATTTCACCGTCGTCGAGGGATTCGGCGCCGCGTTCTTGGCCGCATTAGACGCCGAGTCGGTGCGACTCAGAGCGGCCGGGTCGATCTGCATGGCAGCTGGAGGACTGGCAGGAGCGCAAGGCGAGGCCGAAGGGCGGCTGGCGACGGGGGCTACGCATTCATGAATGGGGAATGGGGGGGGTGCGGAGGTCGATTCGGGGTCGAAAATGAGATGGGATGAGATGGGATAAGATGGGAGGCCGTGCGAGGAGATGATGGATGATGAAAGGCGATGGGAATTGGGAGGGCAGGAGGGAAGGGTGGGAGGTTGGAAGGTGAAGTTCGGCGAGATGCGGTTTCCCCGCCAGAAGCGGATGCGTCGCCCGAGAACAGCCAGACCGGACGACGGGGTGATCGATGGTCGAATAAATGGACTGATAGGATGGGAGAACAATAGAAGGACTTGAATGTTTAGATCGGTATTTACAGAATAGCCCATATGCCTCCCGTGGACACGGTGAGAAGCGAAGCCGCGATACGGGCGAAGCATGATGGTATTGCTGTCTACGCCATTTGCACTACATCTTCACTCAACACGCCAAACAGCTGCCCGATTTCTGCGAGGATCTCCGTGATCTCCTTCGACAACTGGCCCGTCACCAGGACTAAAGGAGCATTCGCTTAGCAATGGGACATCTCCGACACGGTGCGAGAACTAGAGCTAGAACTTACTATAAGCATACAGCAATGCGCTGTCATCGTCCGTCGTCAGCTGCGAGGCCTCATGGCTCTGGCGGTACCGGTAGATGCGCGCCAGCAGCCTGTCGCGCGCATGGTCAATGCTGGGCAGCACATCGTTGAGCGGGTATTCGAGTTTCATGGACGAGGCCATCACTGTGATCGTCTCAGTCTCAGCATCCCGCAACGCGTTTCGGCTCGAAGAGCGTTACTTACCGGTGAGAAGGTGACTGATGCGAGCCGAGAGCTGCCGCCGCTCGGTCTCTGTGTACCGGAGCAGACTGATCTCGCCCTCGGTCGCCGTCTCGCTCTTCGTCAGCTCCAGGTTCATCGCATGGAACGCATTCACCATCCGCCGAGTACGGCGGATGATACTGGCATAGATATCGTCGGCAAAGGCACTGCGCAGCTCAAACTCCGACCGCGCGGAGCTCAACAGCGACTCTAGCCGAGAAAGGAAGCGCTCGAGCTCGAGCCTCTCGCGCGCAGTTATATACACAACGGGGCGGCCGGTCTTCACCATCGCCGACAGCGGGTCACGCCTCCAGACCAGACCCAGCCGCAGCCAGAGCATGCTGAGACTGTCCTTCAATCGGCGGCGTGCGCTGATCGGCCAGATCACTCGCGTAATGATAATGCCCCAGATACAGCCGGACAGCACGGCAACGACGCGATGGAGCGCGATTTCACCGATGATAGGATCCTGGCCACCTTCGTCCTTCGAGCCATCCGCCTCCTTCTGGGTGAGCGAATAGGCATACAGCACGGAGAGATTATAGGTGAGCATGATAAACCGGCCCATGGGCCCATTACCCTGAACGATAATGATATAGGAGGTCCAGACGGCCATCAGCCATCCAAAAGTGGCAAGGCCGAAGACATTGCCTCCGGAAATGTACCAGGACAGGATGGCACACACTGCTCCCAGGCAAGTGCCGAGGAATCGGGCGTATCCCGTGGTATTCGAAGCGCCGATGGTCATCGAGCAAACCAACATGTACGACAACAGACCCCATTCGCCGCGCCAATGCTGGTAGAACGGTCTCGTGGATGGCAGAAAGGCCGGCAAAGCATAAAGAGCAGCGCCAGCGCCGACCTTGATGGCATATTTGGTGTCGTCGCGGCGGAAGAACCCGAGAGATTTCCAGAGCCGATAGCCCAGTCGTTGCTTGACGGTGGTTTCAGCAGCTGGGCGCAGACAAGCACTAACTGCGGCAGATGCTCGAGCGTCGGGTTCCGGAGGGGTCAAAAAGATAGATTCCTCGATGGTGCTGGTGTCTTTGGCCCGCCAGAATTGCATCCAGCTCCAAGATCGCCCATTAGGCCGCTCCTCAGTCTCGAGCTGTAACTGGTCCAGGATAGCGAGCAGCTCGTGCAGCTGCTCTCCAAATTCCAGAAGCGAGAAACTGAAATGACCACAGCTGGCGGACACTTCTTCGAGATCCGCTTCCGCCTCGTGCGTCTTCAATTTGATGGGTTCGATCTGTTGATAGAGCGATTTCAAAGTCTTTTCTCGCGATCCCTGGAAAAGCTCGAGAGCACGGTCGAGACTGGTGCGCAGTCGATTGTCTACAGAGACTTTGTAGTGCGGGGCAGGACCAAAGGGGACTTCGTTCAAGATCTCTTTCAAAGTGAAAGCCAACGACCGCTGTGATGAGTTAGCTTGGTGCCCAATGCTTTCTGGACCGATCGACCGGTCTTACCATCGAAGGTCCCAAATGCGAAATAAAGATTGTGAAGACATCCGCCGGGAGCAGAGGGTGTTTATTCGACTCCAACTTTCCATCTGAGTTCGGAGTGCCGAAGCCTCCACCCGGGGAGAGCTCTTCCTCCGGGCGTTCATCAATCGGCTCCAGAAACGACCCATCGGGGAAGGACCAGGAGCGTTCCAGAGATGCGAAGTACTCCGTGGAAGGAGCACTCTGCTGTCCTCCAGACGAATCAGATTCCCGAACAATCGTCTCTCGGATCAGACTGAATTGCAGAGAGGCAGCGCTGCGCAAGCCTCCCATATTATGAGTGATGTCCTGCACCCAACGCACAAGCTTTTTCTCCAGCCGATATTCCCGTTCAGTGCCTGCAAAATAGTGCTCGAGCTTCGCCTCGCGCACTAGCTTGTCCAACTGGGCGTAGGCCATTCGGTGTTTCGTTTCCGCCTCGAGAAACTCTGCCGAAGCAAGGTCTTCCTCAGACCCGCTGAGGAAGCTGTCCGTGATAATAGCCAGCATGATAGCCAGCGTGTCTGTGACGGTGACCAGGTTCGCACGGAGCTTCTTTCGCGCGGACATGGGGAATATCAAAAAGGACACGGCCATGGCAGCTAGGACGCCCATGATCACCATCTTTAAGACCTGAGAGATCTTGTTTAGCGATAGATCGCCGCTCTGCACGGCGCCCTCCTTAGTCAAGACGGTGATGGTCGACAGGGCCGTGAGCGAGCAGGCCACATTCACCAGTGGATCACCCAGCCTCTGCTTAGTCCACCCGACGAAACCCAAACCGCCGCCGCAAAAGACAATCAGCACCACCGCATGACCCAGCGCCGGCAGATTTAACGTATCCTGGAAAAAGTTCTCTACCAGCATACTGGTGATGGACAAGAAGGCAGAGTAACAGAACGCGAGCAGCGCGCAGATCAAGGCGCGATACATGCTGCCCTGGGTCCTGGCGGGGTGGAAGTACACGGTGACTGTCGCCACCAGATGCTTGCCATCCTGGTGGCCAAGAAACGACGAAATCGCAGGGATAAACGTCGCCATGGACCCGAGCAGATAGGCCAAACTGGACTTCAAGACGCCAATGCCGGGCTCGGAGGTCACGAAGCGGTGCAGGGTCGCCCACAGCTCCTGTGCCTGTTTTGACAGCCAAGTTCCGTATCCATCATCGTGTAGCTCGATCTCGCCCGACAGCAAGCCGCGCCGCTCGTCGCGCTCCGCATTGTCGTCATGTGCTGCCGCAAATCGCCGCGTAGGGTTGCGCAAGCTCACGAGGCCTTTTAGACGCTGGCCAGTTCGTGGGAGGACGAAGGTTGCCTGCCGCAGCTATGTCTGCAATTAGCAAGGACTGAACTCATGTTGTGATTGTGGTTGTGGTTGTAATTGTGTACTGCCTATTGCGCGCTCGGATTGGATACACACCTTGGGTCGTAATCGGCGGGAGCTACTAGGAGCTCCTCCAGGCTCAGACGGCGCCATATAGGCGGATCTCCCGCGTTCGCTTTCGAAACTCTTCGGGGTTGTTTCACGTCGGTAGCAGGGCCGACTTCATTGTGCAGAGTGCATGGTTCTGGGAGAAAATCGCAGGGTATTTTGTCTGACCATTTGTCTCGAGGTTGTTTGTGGGGAAGGTGCAGGGCCACAAATTGTTGGCTGGCCGTCATTGGAACAATGCGCGGGCTACGGCCACCTCCCGGTGGGCTGTCCCCACGCACCTCTGCTGTATTGACTTCGTTCTCATTTCGAGATGGAACACTTCTCAAATTAAGCCAAAAGGGCGCCAACTTTGATTCCCGTTAGATACAGACAAGTATGCCGCCCAGTCTACAGTATCCTCATTACAGGCCCTCCACTTTCCACACCTTCACAGCGGCATCGGCTCCAGCAGAGGCGATCTTCGAGCTTCCGTCGATCCACGCCACGCCGTTGACGCCCTCCTTGTGGGCGTTCTTGACCTCAAGCCAGTCACCCGGCTTGGCCAGGCTCCAGACAAAAATATTAGTGTCGAGGGATCCACTAACAACATGTGTACCGGCCTTGTTCCAGGCGAGCGAGGTGATGCGGGCTGTGTGCGCAGTCCAGCGGTCAGTGACGAGACTGCCATCAGCCACCTTGTAGACCAGAACCCGGCCACGCAGGTCTCCCACCGCCAAGATGGAGGCATCAGGGGAGAAGGCCAGCATGGAAATCTGGTTGCGAGAAGCCTGAATGTCGGTCTGGGCGGAGAGGCTGGAGCCTGAAACCTTGCAGATCTGCACAGATCCATCCTCGCCGCCGACAGCTGCAACGTCCCCATGCGCCGCCACGGTGGTTACCGAGAACTTGGCCTTGTAGTCCCCGGTCTTCTTGCCATCTTGGAAGATTTCGACCGCCTCTGCAGCGGCCACCAGCACGGTTGAGCCGGCGGCGGCAACACCCTTCGGCTGGGCAGTGAGTTTCGATGCACTGCCGGTATAGGTTTTAGCTGCCACGTCAATGGAGCGGATCGTGTCGTCCCAGCCGACACTATAGATTCGTCCGGAGCCCTCCGGTGTGGGAGCCAGGCCAGCAATGTAACCAGGGTGGCCCTCTCCCTCGATCTCCTCCGCGGATCCAGAGGCAATGTCCCAGCTGCAGATGCGGCCCTCGAAACTTCCAGTCCACAGAGTCTCCTTTCCATCGAGAGTGGACTGGCCCAGAGATGTGACGCTTTTCTGGTGACCCTGGACCACCTGGCGAGGCTTGGGGGTTCCCTCCACGAGGTAGTTCAGATCGCCACTGAGAGACAAACTGATGAGCAGGTTGTCGCTTCGGCCCGGGGGCCACACCACGCCAACTTGGTGATCGCGGACGGCCGCAGCACCCTCCTCGCCAAGAGTCCAGCTCTGCGTGGTCTTGCCAGCCTCCACATCCCAAATCTTGACGGTCCGATCCGCGCTCGCAGTCACGAATTTCCGTGAGTCCTTACTCCACGAGACGCCGAAGATACTGCCCTTGTGCTCGCCCTCGCCGATCTGGCCCTTCGTCTCGCCGGTCTTGCCATCGTAGAGCCAGATCTTACGGTCTGCGCCCACGCTGATCAAGTGCGAGCCATCCGGACTGAAGGCCACGCCGTAGATATAGTTTGTGTGCTTATCTCCGATGCCGGTGTTGAACTTGAACGGCGCGCCGTGGTAGAAGACCAGCTTCTTATCATCACCCGCGGCAGCAGCACGGAGAGGCCTCTGCTGCCTGATCGAGACGGAGTTGATCTGTTGCGTGTGACCATAGATTTCGCCAACGGTGTTTCCGCTGTCCCACGTAATGCAGTGTCCATATCGTTGCTTTCCGTCGCCGACTGCAATAATGCGCTGGGAGTCGCCGTCCCAGGCCAGGTCATTAATCCGGCCGTTGACAATGCTGTAGTCTCCCTTTGTGATGCCATCCCCGACGCAATCCCACACTCTCACAGTACCAGCGGCATCACCGCTGGCGACGTAGAATCCGGAGGGAGAGAAGCGCGCGACGGTGGTCTGTGCCTTGTGCTCGGTGTACTGTCTGGCGATTGCGGGGTTGTCGATGGAACGGACGAAGATGGATTTGTTCGACTGTGGATGGAATATGTTAGGAACTTCCCGTCAAAGTGGGACAATGGCATGATCAAGACGGGAGAGTCATACGGCGTACGCAAGTCGCTCGCCCTTGGCGTCGGAGGAGAGCTGGGTGGGTGCGCCGCGGGTGGTGGAGGGGCTGGCCGCCCAGATGGACTCTGAGGAAAGTCAATGGGGGGCTTCTTTAGGGTAGGAGAATAAATTGCCATTCATACCGTTCGTGATTGACATCGAGGATGTAGTACTCGGAGCTCTTGAGGGGAGTGAGTTGGAGGAGGGGCCAATGGCGGAGGAGGATGTTGTTTATGACCTGACGGTTCTCGGAGGCGGTCCAGGCAGCTCTGGCGGGGAACAGTTTCAGCCTTTGTTCGGCACAACCCACTCAACGCGCAAATGATAGACAATTGTCCTTATACTCCGTAATATTACAATGGAACAGGGGTTGAGATCGGAAAATCCAGTTGAGATTCGTCAAAAAATATAGGTCAATTTCGCGCTGAGAGTAATAATACATGAAAATGAGCCCCGTCCAATAGGCCCCTGGGTCTGTACAAGAACACCGTAAACGATCCCCCAATGATCATTGAATCTGGGAAACAAGATAGCCTCCCTACCGGAAACCCCCGTCCATCTTCGCCTTCATTTCAGCCGCCAGAATCTCGGGATGCCGGTGGACAGAGGGCATGAGGCCGAGGCCCATGGCTCGACGGATAGCCTTGGCGATCTTGCGCTGGTTGACGGGCCGAAGACCGGTTTGGTCACGGTGCTTGATGCGGCCAAGAGGGGACACGTATTCGGACATGATAGAGAAGTTCTGGTTTCAGATAAAGCAATGTCAACGGTTGTCTTTGGGGTGTGACTTCCTGCCAACCCGGGGGGCAGGGTAAATGGCAGGGTTAAAGAGACAGAACACAAGCTTTATATGTAGCCACGGACGGGGTTTCAGAGTTCGTACCTTGTAGAGGTCCAATGGGTTGAGGTTCAGGGCGTCAAAGGCATCGCGCGAAGGGCTCTTGCGCTTGCCCCATTTCTTCATCTCGGCCGGGCTCAGATCATGAGGGGCATAAACGTCACCGGCTTTCCAATCGCGGGTCTGGAACTTTTCCAGGGCTCGACTTTCACCCTGGGCTTTCTGGTCCTCGAGGAATCGCAGGCGGTTCGGTAACCGGCGCCGGTTCGGGGTTCGGGGAGCTGATTAAGGTGTCAGTCACCAGTCCATACAAGCAATGGACCTCTTGATGTCTGAATGTCATAGACTGCACGAGATTCCCATCAGGTTAACATACTCTGTTGGTGAGGAGCGGAGGCTCGCTGGGAGGTAAAGGCGCTCATCGCCGCCGTCGAACTCCAGCGGCACGCCGAAGGGACGGCATTGGCGACACTGCGCAGCAGCGACGAAGAAAAGAGACTTTGAGACATGGTGGCCGGCTCTAGTTTCTGGAATATCGAGGATGTGGGCTGCACCAGAAGGGGTAGAGATGTCGAATGTCGAGTGTCGAGGCCAGGGTCAGCGCGGAGCCGACAGGCGGATCTTTTTTTGTGCCAAGACCGCCTTCCACCTGGGTAGCTCCGCGTTCGCGAAACTCTGCGAAGCCGTGTCATTGAGCTCAGCACCCTGAAGAACTTCAACCGCACAGTCCTGTTTATTCCGATTTCCTAGCTCAGCCATTCGAGCGGCACAGCTCGCCCGATCCAAATCATGCAGTCTCATCTCACGAGACAGGTCTTCCGGGCGCTCATCAACAACGAGCCGCTGTCTTTTTCGAGATGCCGGCGAAACCAACTGCTGCATATCATCTCCCCCGCACGAGTCCGGTCAAGCCTCGCGAGCCTTCCTCATGTACAGCGACGAACCCTCTTCGCCTTCAATCTGGACCCGAAAGCTGCTGCAGGGGAAGGGCAGCCCACAACCTTGGCCTCCGAAAAGGGTCTGAAGCCGATGACCGACCTGAAGCGGTCACTGGAAGATAAAAGCAGGGCCCCTCCGGACCATACGCTCGCCAACGCCTTCAAGCTCTTCTTCGAGACACGAGTGGATTCCCCCGGAGTCATCAACTCATTCCAGGCGCGGCTGTTGTCCATGACATGGAAATACCTGAAAGCCCGGCAAGAAGAGCTAGACGATGGCGACTGGCACAATGTCTTCTCGGTGGACAGTCTGGAGCGAATCCTCTTCGTGCTTTCCGAAGCCCAGTGTCTCCCCGAATCGCGCGAGACGATCCTGAAGATTGCGCGCTTTGCCTACCTCGAGCTCCGTGCTGACCACGGTTTTGGTCCCAATTCGGTTAGCCGTCCGGCTCTCCTAGTCTACATCAATCTTCTCTCAATAAACGGGAACCCAGAGGAGGCCCGACATGTCATCATCGACTTTGGAGGTCAGTTACGTGGGGCAAAGCCGTCTCCATGGCTCACCGTCCTCAAAGGATTCGCCCTGAAAGACGACCGGCGTCAGCTGCGGAAAATCACCCAGGACTTGGAGAAATACGGGGTCAAGTTTGACCAAGCTTCCCACGAAGAGCTTATTGGGATTCTCATCGCACAAGATCTATTCAAAGCGGTGCAGACCATCTACGAGTGCCCATTGGCCGATAACGCCGAGCCTTCTTTAGACACCAAGAAGGCTGTGATCAACTATGCGGTGATGAGGTCAGATATTGTATGGGCGAAGACAATTTACCAGACCCTTTCTGAAGGTTCCAGTCCCAGTCCGGAGACTGCAGGTATTGCTTTGCTTTTGGAAGCGGCGCAGGGTAGCAGTGCATCCTCTCTGGCCGAAAAGGTCAAGCTATGGACTGCGACAAACCCCCGAATCAAGGGAATACTCACGATCGCAGATGTGAACAATCTTCTTCGGTATGCCAATGTGAAGGAGGACCCAAAGTTGGCCGCTGCCTTCGCCAAGCTGGCAGAGCAGTGGGGGCTTGTTCCTGATGAGCAGACGCATTTGTTGCAACTTGAATCGTCCGTCCAGGCCGGTGATGTTGAGACTACACTTCAGATTCTTGAGAATCAGGTGGATCCGACTTCTCTACCCCAAGCAAATATCTCTCTTGCCAACAAGCTCATCACAATGCTTTGCTTGTCGGAAAAGAAAGACTCCTTGTTCCAACAGATCTCGTCTCTCCTAGATCCATTGTTTCAAGATGATGTGCAGCTGGAACCGGCCACTGTTGCTGCATTGACCAGTATGCTTCTCTACCGCCATGATAACGCGGCTGTTTCCGAGCTACTTCGTCCGCGACTGGCCACCTACGATAGCCAGGGAAAGACTCTCATCCGCACCGCGGTCACCGACTTCATCCTGGATCTCAACCAGAAGGACGACGACGTATGGGAGGTATACGAGCTGTTCAGACTCGCGTTCCCGGAGACCGGCGTCAGCGTGCGAACCGAGCTGATGAGTACCTTCTTCGAGCGCAAGCGCAGCGACCTCGCCGTCCTCGTCTTCGGCCACATGCGGCAGGCAGAAGATCTGTCTCGCCGGCCCAAGCCGGACACTTATGCGCGGTGCTTCCAGGGTCTCGCGCGAACCAGCGACGCAACCAATCTGGAACTCGTGCACAACATGCTTAAGCTCGACCTCGAGGTGGAGCTCAACACGCGGATCCTGAATGGGCTAATGCTGGCCTACGCCGCCTGCGACATGCCCGAGAAGAGCATGAATATCTTCCGGCAGATCCTGCAGTCGGACGAGGGGCCCTCGACCAAGACCATTGCGCTGTTCTTCAAGGTCTGCGAGAAGCACCACAATGGCGTGCAGGAGGCCATCAAGATGTTCAATAAAGTGAAGAAACTGGAGATTGAGGTTGATCGCCGGCTATACTCATCGTACATTGAGGCGGTGGCTGCGCAGTGTGAGTTCGATCTGGCGACAGAGGCTATCAATAACATGCACGCCGAGATTGGGGTGCCTCCCACGAGTACAACGTGAGTCCTGAACCCCAACAGCCCGTGTCTTTTGGTATACTTCCCCGTGCTGACTTTGCTACCTCAGGATTGGACTGTTCTATAATGCCATTCCCTATCAGTATTGGAAGGACCAGGTGGAGGAGTGGGCTCGCGAGAAATATCCCGAGCTATGGGCCCACCTGGAAAGAACCGAGCGTAGCGAGCACGAGGAAGGGCAGAAGTTTGATGGCATCTCGAATGAGGTCTGGGTGTAGGTTATGCTGGTGGTATCATCCGGTGAACTGGTTCTCTTGGTCATGGGCATCATCCTATTTGCATTGTATATAAAAAGCTATTTCCCCGTATTTGTACATTATGAATATTTAGCATTGGGCTAGTGTTTGTTAATCCCTAATTGCGTCACTTTTCACTCTGGCTCGCCGCCAATGGCAAGGCGAATCGTTGAATAAACCACTGCCGTTTTATTGCGTGGTCTGGATGCAACAGGCCTCCATTGCGCTGAGAGTATCCCGATCAGATAATATATCAGGTTTGGAGCCCAACTACACCCAAAGGACACATGAAGAAGAGAGAGAGAGAGAGAGGTTTCATTGCGTGTAGAAGTAACTCTCGGTATAGAAAGGTGATATGAAGCTTCTTTGCTTTCAGGTGGACTGGTAGCCAAAACTCATCGATGGCTTTACCCAATTATAGTAAACACGACAATACTACACTGCCCGACGACATAGCCTATATAAAACTACTATTAATATTATATACCCTAAAGGGCGCGATCGATCTAAAGCTATCCTAGCTATAAGATCTAACAAAAAGGCTACTATAAAAATATAGTCGTTACCAATACACACGCACGGTACAAGGCCTATGTCTTCACTGGTGTCTGTTTTCTGCCTTCTACAGTATGTGTGTCGTGGTATTTGCCACTGAAGCTTTTATTGGAAGCCATTCGTGCCTCTCTCTCCCCGCACTGTTTTGTACTCTGTGTAAGAAACAATACAGGCCCCCACCGACATAGACATGGGCATGCCGGAATAACTCTCAAAATGTACGGAGTACTAGCTCCTTCATCGCTAGGGTTCGAGAAGCAATCGCGGGGTGTAAGTGGTCGCGCCACTTTCGAGACATACTGTATCATATTTCCTCCACCTCCAAGGGCATCTTTACAAAGATTGAGAAAAAGAACGATGCACCATAGTACATACTGTACAGTAGAGCTGCCCCGCACTTGCTCCAGCGTAGGGCCATAATCCCCACCAATACGCTTTTGGACGACCAAGGAACAGCGAGTGCTTGACAATCTCGTCACCTTCCGTCAGTACGCACAGTTCACTTGAAAGTATATACTCGGTCCAATGCAGACGAGGTGCCCTCAAACACAATCCACGTCTCGTTCTCGTCCAGCGCAGCCAGTGCCCTGCCGAATGTCCATCCCCCCACGAAAGTTCCACCTGTTTGCATGATAGGCGCTCTAACTTGTGCAAATCCACATATAAAAATGCCTCCATGGAGATACGATGACTACACCGCCGCATGGATATGCGCACTGCCATTAGAATTGGCCGCCGCCTGCGCAATGCTGGATGAGCGGCACCGCCCCCTTCCCCGCGAGCGGCATTCACGCGATAACAACACCTACATTCTTGGACGAGTCGAGTCACACAACGTGGTGATTGCCTGTCTACCCTCTGGTATCACCGGCACCGTTTCCGCGGCAAGAGTGGTCAATCTGATGCTCTCCACTTTCAGGCACATTCAGTTCGGATTGATGATTGGGATCGGCGGCGGTGCTCCGAGTGAGGTGCATGATATCCGACTGGGAGATATTGTCGTCGGAAAACCCACGGGTTTATTAGGAGGTGTTGTTCAATACGATTTCGGCAAGACGGTGCAGCAGGGACGGTTCCAGCGGGGCGGCATGCTCAATAAGCCTCCGGAGATCTTGCTGACGGCGTTGAGCAGCTTAGAAGCCAAGCACTTCATGATGGGAAATGACATAGAAAGGACGATTCAGCAGGCGGTCCACAAGTATCCTGCCATGAGAGCTTCCTATACACGCCCCCCCGAACAGTCCGACCGACTGTTTCAGGCACACTATGAGCACCCAGAGACCCAACCCACCTGTTCTGATTGTGACGCCGACCAACTGGAACATCGAACGCCTCGTTCGCGGGGGATGCAGCATTCCTACGTTCATTATGGACTGATTGCATCCGGGGATCAAGTGGTGCGGCATGGTGCGATGAGGGACCATCTGCGCAAGGAACTGGATGTCCTTTGCTTTGAAATGGAAGCAGCCGGTCTGATCGACAGCTTTCCATGCCTGGTGATTCGGGGCATTAGCGACTATGCGGATTCGCATAAAAATGATCTTTGGCAGGGGTATGCCGCGGCAGCTGCGGCAGCTTACGCCAAAGAACTGATGCAGGTTATTCCGACCAGATATATCGACACGACTGGTGCACCTGTCGGCAGCAATGAAACTGGTTAGTCTTGTCATCAGTTGCATGTCCATTACTCTTCCGGAACAAGTGGTCCCATTGCTCATAATGATCCCAGGATCGGAGGACCATCGTTTTCAGGTTCACCAGTGGCTTTCACCGGCCAATGTCCAGGATGACTTGTCCCATCACCAACATGAATGCATGGATGGCAGCTGTCACTGGGCGTTTCAAACCCCGGAGTTGCAGTCTTTTCTGTTGTCGAAGCAGGAGATGGAATGTCTCAGGATCGGCGGAGCACCAGGCAGTGGGAAGTCTACCCTCACTGCCTTCATCATCAGTCATCTGATCCAGCATGACTATCACGTGGTCTACTTTTTCTGCAAAGGGACGGACGAAAGCAAGCAACAGCCTGTCCATGTGCTCGGCACTCTACTTTCCCAGCTGCTGGCCGCAGATGGCGGGTCTCACCTCTTCGCGTGGGTCAACGAGTTACGCTTGCAAAGCGGGAAAAAGCACGCGGAATCATTTGCAGTCCTCAAAGACGCTTTCCAGTATGCTTTAATCAATGGGTGTACCGATAAACCGCTCGTGGTCGTGGTCGATGCTCTGGACGAGTGTCATGATGGTTGCCTGCTTGCTTCCGCATTGATCACTTCACTGAGCACATCCAAACGCACCTCCAGGCTTCTCCTCTCCAGTCGTGAAGAGCCTGATCTGATCCACGTCGTTAAGTCGTTCCAGGAACGAGGCCAATCACTGCGCGAGTTGATCACCCTTCCATCACGTGTCCGACAGCCCATTGTGGCGTATATCAAAATGAGAATTGCCCGCAGTCCACACATCAATTCCACCTCTCTCGGACAAGATGTCTTTGAACAAGTCTCTGCTGCAGCAGATGGCTCTTGGCTCTACACAAGATTGATGCTGGATGAAATTGAGCGGTTACCAAGCGCCGCATCCGTGGCATGCCAACTACACAACATCCCTCACGGCCTCATGCAGCTTTATCAAACCATATTTGTGGCGATGGGATCGGCACTGACCCCGCTCGAGCTGCGGCTTGCCCAGCAGCTCTTTCTGTGGGTCGACATGGCCGACTTTGTTCTCGTGGGAAGATCCGAACTCGACCAAGAGATTCTCGATATTGTCTTCCAAGCGGAAAATGCGGGCGAGGAAGTGTTTAATTCAATTAGTCTTGCACAGAAACTCTGTTCACCTCTGATCACCATCATGGAGGCCGGACGCGACAATACCATCTGGGGAGAATGCCGCCAACGCCAACTACAAGTCCGCTTCGTTCATCATACTGCGGTGCAATTTGTACGGGAAAGTGCCCCTAGAGAAGAGGATACGGCACACAGAGCCGTTCCAGCCATATTGGAGCCGCAGATCCTGAAGAACCTCCATCGGGCCAATACGGCTATCTGGTACTTTGAGCACTGCACCAAATCGGCCACCTTGCTGGACTACCTTCGATTGAATGGATCCGCGTGGATCCAAGGCGCCTACTTTGAGATGGCCTACGCCCTATGGAGCGCATTCTTTCTCACCACACTGCCGAGCCATCTTAGCGATGGCGACTTAGCACGGGCCTCTGTGCTTTGTGATCGATTGACCCATTTCCTGCGCTCGGAGCAGTGCCTAAAGTGGGTTGAAATGGCCATTATCATCAATTTCGACGGGGGCTGTTCGTACCTGTTCGGGAATGCGGTCCGCGCTCTTTCAGCCGCACACAGCTCTTTGGAAGTTACCGATGGGGAGAGCAGAAGCAAATTGCTTCCGGCGTTTCAGACATTTTCGGTGGCGCGAAAAACCTTCTTTGCGGACTACGCCTATGTCATCTCTCGCACGGGGCCGGCATAGGATCCAGAGATGGCCATGCCAGAAGGATTTGAGAGCCGTCCTCTCGCCAACAGCTTGATGGGGCTCGGCCAACGATGGATGCATTTGTATGATAGCTCTGACCTCAGTTCCTAAATGATAAATGATTATCATCATGCTATACAACTCGCGATCTAATATTTATCCTGATATGTCGTATGACTATGTACGAGAAGGCATGTCAATCATGTCAATCATGTCAATCATGTCAATCATGTCAATCATGTCAATCATGTCAATCATGTCAATCATGTCAATCATGTCAATCATGTCAATCATGTCAATCATGTCAATCATGTCAATCATGTCAATCATGTCAATCATGTCAATCATGTCAATCATGTCAATCATGTCAATCATGCAAGCCCAGCTCGTCTCCACTTGAAAGGCCGCACGTTCTGCGTATGGTAGCGAGCACGCTTAGTACATTCGCCGCGGACATTTGTGACATGAGTCTGTTCTTACTGCATCACTTTCAGTTCAACCAGCTGGAACGGGTAAAATCGATTACACATTCAGTGATACTGCTTCTCAAGATCCTATGGACATGCTTGATCCTGTTCTCACTGGCGATCGTATGCTCTTCAAGCTTGCATGCACAAGACAGCCACCAGTCACATACACAGTCCCAGTAGACACAGCTCTGGAAGAAGCGATAGTCGAACATATGGCGACACACCCATAAATACACCCATCTTCCATTCTAATTGTTGCTAGCGGCAATCCTCATACTGTCCATACTTGCAATTGAAACTGGCCCCCACTCCATAGTTGCAATTGAAATTGGCCCCAACGACAGTTGGATCACACCTCGCTAACCTGCCAAGTCAAACAATTACTACCGAGAGAGGGGGTTTGCATTTGCATGTGCCTTTGTATTTATATTTATATTTGCAGGTAACGTCTTGTCTTGTCTACATCTGCCAAGATAAAAACCCTCACAATGCCCATCAACACAACTCTCCTCCTCCACGTCACCCCCCTAGCCAGCACAACCGGCACCCTCGCCCACGCCCTCCTCGAGAACATCGCCTTCACCACCTTCCTCGACCCATCCATCCGCTCGACCTCCGACACCATCCTACCCACCTGGTTCGCGCGTGTCTTCCGACGCGCCGTGTGGACGGTGCTGGCGCTCAACGTTACCACCATCGTCACGACTGCGACGGTGCTGCACCGGGGCGGGCGCGGGCATTCGCAGACGTTCTACTGGGCTGGTCTGGTCGGTGCGGTGGGCCATCTTTGTTTTGTGCCGTGGGTGATGGGGCCTGTGGAGAGGATTGTTGAGGGGAGGAGGGAATCGAAGAGAGAGGGGGAGAGGCTGGGGGCGAGGCCGACGGTGGACTTGGAGGCGTGGCTGCGTGTGCATTGGGTGCGGATGTGCACGGTGGATTTGATGGCGTGGATTGCGTGTGTGGGGGCTGTGTGCACGTTGTAAGACGGCATAGATTTTGAACTTCGAATTTTGAATTTTGAATTTCGAATTTGATCTCCTGAGACTCGTGATGCATGGCCCAGGGGTGACGTGCCAGGGACTGCGAGGGTAGTGGAGCTGGAAGGATATAGTTCCTGCGATCTGCTATGCTACTAACCACCGTGGACGATCCACACCGAGGGAAGGGGGGGTTTCGGATTACTATTGCTATTACTCAGATAGGACCAAGCTGGTTCAGCGTGAGAAATAAGATATCATTGGGTATGTCTATTGTCGAAACGCCCCATCGACCTGCAAACACGACAGTCCCAAAGCGCCAAGCGAGCCCCGACAATCGTCCCCAACCACGCCCACCCTCCGTGGAAAAGTGGAAACTGGAAGGTGAAAGGTCCTACTCGTTGTCGCGCACGTCGATCACCGTCGTCTTGAACTTGCGCGCCGGCACCTTCCGGTTAAACAGGATATCCGCCTCGCGGTACGAGCGGTTCTTCAGCTCGGGCAAGAAGAAGTACGCCATCATCCAGCACACACACGCCGTGCTGCCCCAGACATAGCCGCACTTCCCGGCCAGGTTCCAACCCGTGCCGTTCAGCATCTGGCTCGCGAGGTAGATCATCGGGATCTCGGCGACGTAGTATGCCGCACGACCCACGCCCGTGCTGAGCGCGCGCAGGCGCACCGACGAGGTCTCCGAGATAATGGTGTAGGAGATGGGGCCGAGGGTGCCGGCGAAGACAAACGAGATGATGATGCCCAGGATGGCCTGGGCGTAGTTGGTGGCGGAGGTTTGGTGCACGGAGGCGACGATGCCCAGAATGAAGAGGAAGGCGACGTTGGTGGCGGTGCCCCACAGATAGATGGTGCGGCGGCCGAACCAGGCGGTCAGGAACCACGAGAGGGCATTGGCGACGAATTGGAGACAGGAGTTGATGAGGTTGAGCTGGAAGGACTTGTCCGGGGAGATGCCGGCCTCTGGAGAGGGGGTCAGTCATAAGAACCATAGGGAATACTGGATTCTGGATCTGGGGAAGACATGTATCAAAGGGTTGGAGAAATAACTCACGCTCAAAGAAGAAAGTAGCCTGGTTCGCAATCAAATTGCCCGCAAAGTTCTGCGACGCATACATCAGGCAGGTAATAATCGTGCGGCGCAAGTCGGTGCCTTTGAGCAAGTCCAGCAGGGTCGGGCTCCCGCCCATCTGCTCCTCGATCTTGACCGTGCGCTCTATCATGGCCAGCGACTTCTGCGCGTTCTCGTGGTTTCCGTCGCCGAGGCGCTCGATGGAGCGGAGGGCCTCTGCCTTGCGGCCGCGGCGGATGAGCCACCAGGGGGATTCAGGGGCAAGGAAGAGCAGGATCAGAAGGGGAGTCTGCGGGGAGGGGAAGGGAAGAGCGTTAGCTGCTGGACCTTTCAGGGCGCAGGTGGCCAGGACGGGACTGGGACTGGGACTGGGACTAGGGCTAGACTTACGGGGAAAATCCACTGCAGGGCCAAAGGCACACGCCACGACCACTCGTCCTCCCGCTTGTTATAGCCATACGTGGCGGCCGCGACAATAATCGAACCGATCGACCAACTCATCTGCAGCGTAGCCGTGCAAGCACCACGCAGGGAGAGCGGGACCACCTCAGACGCGTACGCAGGGGCATTGGCAATGAAGAAGCCCCACGGTACACCCTCCAGCGCTTGTCCGACGACGAGGAGGGTGAGGGAGTCCGCCTGCAGAGAGGGGCACGGGTTAGTCGACATCACAGGAAAAGGTCGAATTAAGCTCCACCACCGCACGGTAGGCGGCGGAGGTGGGGCCGGTACACTTACGAAGAAGGAGACAAAAATGGTGGCGTTCATCAGGATCAGGCCCAGGATGGTCGTCCAGCGGTAGCCGATCCGGTTGGTGATGGGGCCGGCGAGGAACACGCCGACGAAGGCACCGCATTGGCCGGACTGGAACAGCGCGCTCTGCCAGCGGGTCGGGATGACCCAGGCGTTGTCCGCTACCTGCACGCCGTAGCGCTGTTGGAAGGCGGGCAGGGCGACGAAATTGCCGTTGAGGAACATGTCGAAGGATTCCATGACCTGAGCACCGCCATGGCTGTATTAGTGGCTGATCGGCAGGTAGAGGAAACTACAAAACCAAAAGTGGACTGGAGAGGGCGAGTGGAGAGAGGGAGGGATCAGATCTCGAGATTCAAGATTCAAGATTCGAGATAAGATCCGGGGATTCTGGGGTAAAAGGGGAAGGGGGAAATGCGGGGAAATAAACTCCCCCTCGATTCTCCAACTCAAAATGCGACTGGATGGCCAACTCACAATAGTAAAGCACATAGTAAAGGCCCACAAGCAGGCCCAGGGGTGACTCTTGACGGCCTCCCACACGCCCATCGCATGCTCCTGGTTCTCGCCCTCGAAGGCATCATTCATGAGATCCGTGTTATCGAAGATCTTCTCCGACTGGTGGACGTCGATCTTTTCGACCTCGTGGTCGGCATGCAGCACGCCCGTAGGCTTGTCGTCAGAGTCCGACATGATTGACGGTGGCTCTTCACGTCGATGGGAAAGAGGAATGGGAACAGGCCAAGGGAACGGGGAACGACCGAAAGAAAACCAGGGCGGGTCAGGAACTTATATCTCGGAATCCCCCGATTGCAGCTCCAGCTCCTATTCTCCTGGGGCTATCGGCGCATCTGCTAGCTCTCTGGGGCTAGTCCAGCTCGAGCACACGCGGGGTGCATGTGATACGTGGGTTAATTAGCGTGCAGCCAAAGAAGCAACCAGCCACCCGTTCATTAGCGAGCTTAGTTGCGGAGTACTATTTAACAGGGTCGCAACCCGCCAGATGGTAAGCAGGGGTGCGACGCTGTGGACGCTCGCGGAGCGACGGTTAGAAACGAACAATTACCCGAAGCGAACCACGCGAGCAGGTTAATTACACCGGATCAAGGAACGGGGGCACGGATAAACTACTCCATTGGACTGGAAGCTTAAGAGGGCCGCCCTGACCAGGCTTAGCTACGGCCAGGGAAGGCTTGACTCGTCCCCGATCCGGCTAGCCACCCGACGCCAAGGGCGTTGCGAGCCCAACCACCCTTCCCCCGGCCATTAGTCCGCTGACGGGGGACCAGCCAAGGGTGGCGCTCGGGCTGCTCGTGAGCGAAGGGAGGCCGGGCCCGAGATGGACTCGGGGAGGTGCTGCTAGATTGCAGGGCCACCGGTGGTGCGCCTTGCCGGGAGGGCGAGTCCGTGACTACCCCGTGCGGCCCGCCCCCCCCGAGTTTCTCCATGTTTGGGGGGTAAAAGGGCCCGGATTCCCGGGGATGCGGGGGCCCCGGACTGTGGCGGTTCCAGGACTCAGAAGACCGCACCAAAGGAGGGACAAGGTGAGCAGTCCACACTCCGCGACAGATTGTAGATTGTAGATTGTAGATTGTAGATTGTAGATTGTAGATTGTAGATTGTAGATTGTAGATTGTAGATTGTAGATTGCAGGTAGCAGATTGCGGAATGCCAGTGGAGTGGCAGACGACACAGGCGAGGCCGAGAACGTAGACACGGCAAGGCATGCGGGCCGCAGACCGGCCCAGCACGCAGGAACAGCTAAGAGCGAATCGCGGGCCCCACAGCCGTATTTTAGCTCAAACAAGGTCAGCCCGCCGGACCCCAGATTTCACCCGCGATGTGGATTGGCCGCCAGGAACCAAGCAATGAAAAGCATCGAAAGACAAGCCCACGGCCCCGGTCCCACGGCGGCCGCTGTGGTTGGTGGGAAATCTGAGTGGGGGGTCGGCCGCCACTCTGACCTTGCTCAGGCTACTGCGTTCGCGGACTAGCGCAACCACTTCTGGTGTCGCTAAACCGGTGTCTCGGGGTGCAGTGGTTAGGGCCGTGGCCTCGTGGTCGATGTTGGGGGCGAAGAAGTGTCCTGGTGAGCTGCTAAAGCTGCATATGCGATTGGTGGTGGCGAAGAGTTGGAAGCCACGCTCTCTCGTCGGCAACGATGGTTACCTCCCATGCTCTTTTGGGTATGCGCCGCTGAGTAGATCGATCGAGCACGTGATGCCACCGCAGTGAGCACGTCGGTAAGAAGAGAGAACTTCAGGTCCATCCTGAGCGAAGATATGGAGGACACCATGGAAAGCACGAGATTCAAAGAAAAATATATTATAAATATATCAAAATGGGATGGAAAATGTCAATTAGCCCGAACGTGGCAGATGGGTGGAAAGGGTGAATAGACAGAAAACAAGTGATGGTCAAATCAAAATCCAGATCCAGATCCAGATCCCACGCAATGCAAGCTAATGCTAACAACAGATATGCCATGCAATATATACAACGTGCCCACCCATGTCATGTACTGTAGGTACCCCATCTTCTATCAATCATCTCATCAAAGACTGAAAATCCCACTCCTCTTCTTCCCATGCGGATACACAATAAGCGCGGACACAAACAGCCCCACGGAAATCCCGATAGCAGTCTGAATCATGCCATACCCAAGGCTGGTCAAGCTGTTCGTCGAAGTGGCACTACTCGTGCTACTAATATCGCCTTTCGCAACCGCCTCCGCATACTCCAGCCCCGAAATGATCGAGCCACTCGACGCCAACCCGCTGGGCACCAGCGTGAAAATGCCCGGGAGGATGGCCGCGGCCGCATGCCCGTGCCACAAGCGGCTGTACAGATTCGCCAAGAGGCCGATCGTGAAGGCACCGACGGTGTTGGCCACTTGGTTGGCGCCGAGCTTCTTCGTGGAGAAGTAGTTCGTCACGTAGCCGCAGACGCCCAGGAACACCATCACGGGCAGCTGTTTGGGTTTGGCTTGGTTGATGAGGGCGGCGAAGAAGCAGTACAGCGCGACGGAAGGGAAGTGCTGGATGTACTCATTGCCCCACGCGTCTAGACTTTGCGTCGGGCAGGTCGCTTCCGTGGTGGCGTTGCTGTCCATCAGGCCGTAGATGGTGGTGCCGACGGTGACGCCGTAGCCGAGGAAGAGCGAGTAGATAATGGTGAAGACCATGCGGATGGAGCCGGCGTTCATCTGGTGGCTCTGCAGCTCGAGGGAGGAGCTGAGCACGGCAAAACCGGGCAGGATCATGGCGATGGATGACTCGGTGAGGGCAGAGAAACAGAAGACATGTGCGCCGTTGTGCTTGATGCTGCCGAAGGCGCGCGCCAGGAAGGACGTCAGGATGGCGGCGGACACTTCCAGGACGTTCGAGTACGTTGCCGAGGCGGGCGCGAGAATGTGCTGCATGAAGCCGACTATGGAGCCCAGCACGAAGATGATGGGGAGGTCGATGGGCCGCGCAGAGAAGGAGTACGGGCCGACCGCGACACTGGCCAGACCGGTGAGGAGGACGAGCAGCCAGCGGTTGTAGCGCGGCTTGCGCTGCATGATGGTGTCGAGCTGGGTGGTGGCTTCCTCCACGCCGACGACGTCGTGCACCACGTTTTTATACACACTATGCGTCTCCGCTAGCCGCGAGAGATCCAGGCCCTGGACGACACGGATAATCTTGACCTCGGCCGTACGCGTCAGCGGATCGTCGAAGGACATGAACATGCAGCCCGGGATATACAGGAACTGCGCCTTGACCTCGAGCACGTTGGACGTCATCATCATATACTCCTCGAGGCGATGCGTCGGCGCCCCGTACTTCATCAGTGCACGGCACAGCTGCATAATATACTGCTGCCGGGCGAGCATGGCCGCAATGTGCACGGTAAGCTTGACCTCCTTCGCGCTCTTCCGCTTCTGCTTGCGCCGCTCTTTGGCGGTCATAGGTGCGGGGCCCTGGGCGCCTGGCACACCGACGCGGCCCATGTCCATGGAGGCTTGGATAAGGGAGGAGGTATAGTGATGCTTGGAGTGGCCGACCTTGCTCGCCTTGCTGTCGTTGCCATGGTTGTACCACTTGACTTTCTCTTTTTTGCCATTCGGGGTTCCGGTCCCAGTCCCAGTCTCGGTTCCAGTGTCGGTTCCAGTCTCAGTCCCAGCCCTAGTGCCCGTGCCCGTGCCCGTGCCCATCATGGGCGTGGCGGTGCCAGACCTGGTTGCGGGGAGAGTCTCGATTTCTGGATCAGAAGCCGCCGCGGTCGTGGCCACGCTAATCCGGCTCGCAGACTCCATATTGCTGGCATAGACCCGAAGCAGATGCGAAAGCATCCCTCCATTGAGGGGTGTCGGCGCCCCGTCATCGGGGGTCATCGCACCAGGAGTCGTGGTACCGGAGTACGGTTCCATGCTGTTGGGCCGAGGGGCTCTTGGCCTGGGCGGCTGGGAATGGATGCCCAGCTGGCTCAGCAGGTGCCGAGCCTGGGAGTTGTGGTCGGTGCCGACCAGTCTCTCCTCTTCGTCGCCGGCCGTGCGCGCCTCATAGCTCCGGATATCGTCTGTTGCGCCGTAGTATTCTGGTGAAAAGCCTGCGTCCAATCCATCCGCCTCTCGCCCATGTGGCCGACCCAACGCCTCGGCTATCGTGCCGGCGCGGGCTCGGATGCGCTGGCTGACCGTCTTCCACCGCTGGGGGATGGAAGCAGCACTGGGCTTCTCGCTGTCCGGGTCCTGATATTCTTTTGCCGCATGAAAACTCTCCTCTTCCCGGTCCTGATGGGAGCCTTGAACCGCATCGCCCCGCTCCGTGAAAGAGCTCTCAGTCGAGGGCAGAGGGGGCGATGGGTTCTGGTCCTGGAACTCCGACATTCAGCACCACTCCGCGCGACAGGTCCACGGCCGGCCGGAACCCACTGGATTTCTCGGAGATAGATCTGATATGTGGCGCGAATGGCCGAACGGGTGCACAAGGGATCGCCAGGAGTTCGCGAATGCGTCAGTCAGCAACGGTCCGGCGAGGATGGTCAGGTCAAGGAAAACGGAGGGCGGCTCTGGTGACGAGCAAAACCCCACAAACGGCGACAATTCATATTTCTGGGGGAAAAAAGAAAGAATGGAAAGCAAGCGGATGAAAGAAATAGTCGATGGGGCTGGGGAGAGGGTCACTTCGTCAAACTGGCGAAGGAAATGAGGAGAAACGGCCGGCCTGCCATGGTCGCCCCCCGTTGACCCACGTCGCTAATGTAGGTTGAAGTCATGGCGAGACCAAGCCGGGGGACCCGGCCGCGTCAGAGCGCCTTTTTTCTTCAGGCCTCTCCACTTGTCCCCGATGTGGTGTGGTCGAGGTGGTTCCTTTGGGAAGCGGCCCATGGCCAGTGGCGATGCAAGATGAACAGTATTCAGTTCCTGGGCCTGTTCCTGGCAGAATCCACGGGTCGCCACTCCGTGAAGGGGGGGCGCTACGCAGGCGCAAATGATGCCAATAATGAAAATCGGGGTCCGTTATGCTCATTCCAAATTGAGAAACAAGCTTCGCCGGCAGCCACTAAGAGGGCGCTAGTGCTGCATCATCTGGCGGTCGCCGGCGCGTTTGGGCGTTCCCCAGACGAAAAACGTAATCAGAGGGGGTGCGACTGGAAGTATAATTCCGTCGGCTGCATTCCGTTCAATTCGCTCACTGTGTATACTGCATGATCCGCCCAGAATGGTCCAGAAGTCCCGTCCTGACTCATGGAAATCGACCGCGTCGAACTCTGAGAAACGCTATTCTCAGCACAGAGCCATTATCCTCTTCCCTTCTCGGCCTCGGTCGCAAGTGGGTCACGAGAAAGTGGTCCACTTGGGCGAACCGCCAGCTGGGAAAACCCTGCACTGAAGTCTACTCGCCGGATCCAGACCACTCGGGGCGCTGTTTGGCTGGACGCAGGCGGTTCGAATTATGTCGAATTATGAAAATGTGCCGGTGGATGGCCGGGCACTCCTCGACTTAGAGCGTTGCCCGCCACGTATTCTCCGTATACTTCACCCATTTCACCAGAAAAAAAGCCCCGTGCCCTCCGCCAAGCGCCACGCCGCAGCCACATGGAAGAATCTTCAGCGAGTGGCGTTCCTAGCGTCGACAGCTGAGATCCCTTCTCGATCCTGTGATCTTGTCCTGCCGCGGGTTATTTTTGGCTCCCATGGCGGAACGGCGGCTGCCGCAGCCGCCGTCCTCCGTACGGAGGACTAGAGGACGAGTGGATAGGGATGGCTATGACTACCGAAGGCATTAGCACGGTTCCGGTCCCTTATTGGACTCATAAAATCACACAAGATAGGAACCACCGGGAAGGTAGTGGCAACGGGCCAGGCGCGGTTAATCCGACAAGCCACGACGCCTCTGCGACGGTCATCATGCCCGTACTATGACAGGTTGGGCATTTTCCCCCGTCCAACTCACTCGGTCCATAAGTGTGCTCGTCGATTGTCATGTCCTCCGCTGGGTGGCAGGCACGGCAACCCGACTTTCACGGCGCGTGGGGCCTTGCATTGCCGGCAAATACCCTGGTTTTCTGCCAGCCGCTGTAACTCCAAAAGGGAGCGGCGTGCGAGCCGTGAAAGATGTGCCAGTGGAATGGCAAGGGTGGAGTAGAATGGGGTCCCGGACTCTGGGGATAGAGAATAGGATTGAAATACCGCGCTGGAATCTTGTCTTGTGAAATGGGAATATATTGGCGGTGCGAGGCCCACGAGTGGAAGTGCGTGGACGAAAGGTAGGCCGTGGAAGGAGGCCCATTGCCTTGCCAATCAGCTCGTGCCGTTTCCTGCGAATGCGAAGCTGCATCGTGCCCGGGTGAAATGCCACCAGCTGGCCATCTTCTCGGTGGCTTCGGTCTGCGGGCGTGATTGGATCAAGGATCGAGTGCAACAGCGCAGCAAATACCAACGAGCAATGGTTGCCGAAGATCTGAGAGCCCTGCAGGCCCACTCGTGCGGAGAGGCCCAGACAGGTCTTTTCTCTCGGGGCGCTTATCACTTCAGCTCTTGCTCCCGAGGACAGCAGCAGAAGTTAGTTATTTTCTATATTAATGTGAAATACTACTGTAACTCTTATAATACTAACGCTGATAATATTAACCTTACTTTATACCAAGATATATATGTTAATCTATCATTAATGCTTAATACTTTTGAAGAATGTAGGTGTATTTTGTCCAAATACAATAGCGACTAATTCGCATAAAATTCTCAAGTAGATGGATGCCGCGGATTCTCTTCTTCTGGCATTGGAAGGCCTGCCAGATCCTTTAACTGCAGGCCCGATGAACCTCCCTCTGACTGTTGCTGAATCTACCTCTACTCTGCGGGGTCCACCCTCACTTGAGTATCTCAGTATCCCGCCTGTCCAGCCACGCAGCGGCCCGCTCCAAGCTCGAGCCTTGGCTGTGGCTGCCGGGATAATACGAGTTCTTCTCGAAGAGTCATCTTAGTTCTGCTTTCTTCCCTCTGCCCCCTGTGACCGTATCACCTGCGGCAGTGGCAGACAGAAGCTGGCAGAGCCGAGGGGCAAGAGATCTATACCCCGCTATGTACTCGTGCGGAGCACCTTCTGTCGAGCACACGACCAACCTGCGACAAATGCCTGCCCCCGATTCAACCCGGCCAAACTCTCACGATGATTCGAGCGGACCTGCCAAGATGGCAGCCTAGCCACAGCTGCGAGTCCGTCCCAGAGCGGGATTAACCAGCGCCAGTCAGCCCCCGCCAAGGCCCCTCCACCCCGCGCCGTCATCGACTCTCTCCGCACCGCGCCACAGTAGGCCGAGCTAGCAGGTTCGCAAGTACAGTAGTAGAGATATCACACATGGAGGAAGCGCGGAACCCCTCTTTTCAAAGAGACCAAAGAAACCAACATAGTCCTCTCAGTCGTATCCCCCGTTCTTCTCCCTCTTTCTCTCCTTCTCTTCCTCCTCCAACCCCTCTACCCAAAATGAGCACGCTCCAACCCCCCGACCATCCCCTCGCCCTCCGCCACTCCCACCTCCTCGCCCCAGCCCCAGACCGTCTCACCAACACACCCACCACCCTCACCATCACCCGCTCCAACACCGTCTCCGGCCGCGCCTTTAGCGTACACCAGCTCCGCGCGCATGAGCCCTTCGACAGCCCCGCCCGCCGCTCCCTCCTCTACACCGTATCCGGCAAGTTCTGGAGCGGCACATTGGCACGCGAGATCCGCGATGCAGCCGGTCGTCCACTGCTCGAGCTGCGCCGGCGGATCTGGTGGCGCGCATGGAGCGTGAAGCAGCCCGGCGGCGGGGAGGAGCTAATGAGTGCTGAGATGCGGTGGGGCGCCTCCGTGAAGATGGCCGTGCGTGTGCAGAATGCCTTGTTGGCTGCTGGGCTGCTGGATAACTGGAGGGATGCCGAGGAGCGCGAACGGGAGTACGTCAATAGCCACGACTACTATCCGATCCCGAGTGGCCGGCGCCGCCATGGCCACGGCCACAACAGCAACAGCAACAGCAATAGCAGTGGAGGTAGATACGCGCGCCGCCACATATCCCCCCCACCACCGTATAGCGCAATTGCATCCAGCAGCGTCAATAACCCGCTCCCGCGCCCGTCCACCGACACCACCAGCACGAAAAGCACACACCTCCCCTCCTACGCGTCCGCGCACCGCCGCTCCACCCACTCGTTGCGCGACCTCCTCGACGCCGTCGAACCCCCTGCCGAGCCCGCGCCCGCATCCAGCTATGCATTCCCGCCGGCGCGGCGGCACAGCGAGGCAGTGGGGGGCGAGAAGGTGGCGCTGCGGGTGGTGCGGGAGAGCAACACGGCGGCGGCGGTGATGATGGGAGAGCGGAAGATTGTGTCTATCCGGCGGGAGAAGGTATTGGAGTTTGGGCTCAGTGGGCCGGTGGATCGGTGGGAAGTGGGTGTTGCCGAAGGGGTGGATTTGTTACTTGTAAGTGGATCTGAATCTTGTTCTTGTTCTTTTTCTTTGTTCTCGGGCCTCTGCCTCTACTTTTTCCTACGTGTGGGGCATATAGCTAACCTTTCCCTTCCCTGCCTTTTCCGCGGGTGATAGGCTGTGAGTATTGTGCTGATTCTGGCGGAGTTTGTGCGGCATGAGTATCGAGTGCGGATCAAGTGAGTGGGAGTGAGTGAATTGAGTGAGTGAGTGGCTGAGTGGACATAATCCTGCATTTCCCTTTCCTTTTCCTTTTCCTTTTCCTTTTCCTTTTCCCTTTTTCGTCTGCATGGGTGGCAATCTGCCTGCATCTTGTTTCCTATCTTCATTCCCGGGAGATGGCCTCGGATCTACCCGGCCTGGTTGGACATCATCCGCATTTGCATTTGGGGTTGCGCAAGTTTAGTTTCATCTCCATGCCCATTCAGCGAATCCACTCCATCTACACGCTACAGCCCATATCTCCCATCTCTACTTTCACACCTACGCGACAAGGGCTAGACTCAAGCTCAAGCTCAAGAACAAACGTTCTTCAGGCCCCATCTTCAGAACTCCGTTCCAAGCTCGTTCAATCTAGTCCAATTGGAAAGGGGAGAGAGACCATCTCCCCCGAAAAAGAGCAAAATCAAGAACCAGAAACTTTTCTAAGCCATACATTCGTCACGTTATAGTTGTATTAAGGTATAAAGAAGGGGGCCATCATCCCATCAGGTCATCACGACACGTGACAGGCAGGGCGATCACATGGGGATCCAGTGCGAAACTGGGACAAAAGGTTAAAGGACAAGGAAAAGGACAACAAAAAGAAAACACAACACGGAGACATAGACAGGCCTCTAATGCTTTCTACGAGGACTGGAGTTTTGCGATGCGCTTGGTCATGCTGGGATGGATGTTAGTAGGGTGTCCAGGTGAACGGAAGAGAGAAAAACAAAAGGGGAAGAAGAGGAGACGTACAAGTCAAAGAAGGAGAACTGGCTCGGCCGGTTGCCGTACTGGTACACGAACCGGCTGGCCAGGTGGCTGCCGAAGATCGCGCGGAGATAGTTCTCAGGCACCTAGAAAGCAGCACACAGATTAGCAATCACGCTCAGAACACGACCCGATTCCCCAATCAAAGGCAAGAATCAAACTTACCCGCTCCAAAATCGTCTCCAGCCCAATCTTATCCAGCAACAGCTTCGGCAGCGCGTCGCCCAGCACGGACCGGCGCAGGGGAACATTGTCCCACAGCTCGGTCTGCTGCAGCTCCTCGTCGAGCTGGGTAATCGCCACACTGAGCCGATCACTCAGCACGCTGCGCAGCACGCCCGTCTGCTCATGCTCGCGCCAGATGGCCTCGAACTCGAGCCGGGCATTCTCCTTGATCACCTCCTGCACCTGCTTCACATACGCCTGGTAGAACTCGGGCACGGTGCCGTCCTCGCCAACGCACATGTTCGCCACGAACTCCTCGTCGTTGAAGGACAGCGAGGCCAGCACCTCCAGCGAGGAACTCGTCACGCCGCCCTTGTTGGCGGACGCGTCCTTGAACAGGATGCAGCCGGCCTTCTCGAGGCGCAGCTTGCTGTCCTGCGTAATGAAGAGGTTCGCGCCCTCGACGATGTACGGGACCACGCACTTGTTGTCCTGGATGAGCTTGCTGACGGTGGAGAGGTCGATCGACTCCGGGCGGCCGCCGCAGGGCACGAAGACGTCGAACTTCTCGTTCGCCGTGTGCCGCAGGTGGAATGTGTTGCGGAAGATCATGCCGTTGTGGACGAGCTCGCCCGAGGGCAGCTTGACGTTCTTCTCGTCCACGAGGACGCGGTAGCCCTGGGGTGAGAGCTTGGACAGGTCGAATTCGGAGATCATGACGCGCTTCTTGGCGAGGCGGATCAGTTCGGCATGGTCGAGGCCGTTCGGGTCGACAATGACGCCGGACCCGTCGACGATGCCCGCGTACGTTTCGTTCGACAGCAGGATCTCGTTCGAGCCGAGGTCACCGTCCGGCCCGCCGGTTTGCAGCTTGTGCATGGTCGACGGGTCGATGTTCAGCTTGCGGTAGATGCCAAGCACGTACTCGCGCACAGACAGCGTGGTCATGCCGTACGTGTCGTGCGGGATACCGCCCAGCTTGGGACTCTTGCCGGTGAAGAAGGACTTCCACCAGGGGGCGCCGCGGGCGCGCGCGTGCTCGGTCGCCCAGTCGACCAGCTCGGCAGTGTTCTCGTCAGGGCCCATGAAGAGGATCTCGTCCTTGCCGTGCAGGTCGACGATCGGGTCCTTGATACCGGGGCTGACGGGCGGCAGGAGCAGGTCCATGATGGAGTCGATGTACTTCTCGAAGGCGACCCGCGCCTTGTCCTGATGGTTGACATCGAGCAGAATAACGCCCTTGGCACCGCCTTCGGGGATATCCTTGTTCTTGCGTTGCTGGGTGTTGGCCAGGTTGTAGTTTTCGTCGAACAGCGAGCGCGCGTTGATGCTGTATGCCTCCTTGTTCCGGCTCTTGACGATACGGATGCCACCGCGCGCAATGTCGCGGAAGCGCAGGTGGAAGCCGCGGAACTCGGAGCTGATCACGAGGAACATGCCGTACAATGGCTGGGGGTACTCGTGCTCGGGCAAGAAGTCCGGCTTCAGGCGGAAGCTCAGGGCGACCTTGGTGGGGGTGAAGAAGTTGGTCTTGAGGACAGAGGCATTGAAGACACGGAAGGAGGTCATGACCATCTCGTCATGCTCATTCGCTGCCGTGTTGCGGATCAGGTGCTTCAGCTTCTTGTCGTCCAGCACCTCGTCGACCTGGAGACGCAGGTAGCTGAGAGTGGGCAGGAAGTCGTCCCCAGACTCCTGGGTCTGTACATAGTGGGTATTGGCGAAATCCAGGTAGAGCTTGTGGATCAGTTCGGGGTAGTTGTTGATGATCTCGAAGATGTAGTCGGCAGTGAAGGTTTCTGTGCGCAGACGCTTCTTAATCTTGGACAGCAACTCAGCGTGAACGCTGTTGTTAGTATCCAGCAGAGCCGCCAGCGAGGTGTACTCGGACCCCAGACGGTTCAAGAACTGCTGCACAAAGACCCAAGCGCAGTGAGCATAGATGGTCTCCTGCAGACTCAACCGGCCAGTCGCAAAGTGGCCCTGGAAGCGGTTCTGAGGAATACAGTACAGAAGCGAGGCCTCCTTCATGATCTGGTGGATGGCGGCCTCAATGGGCGGGTACTTGGCGGAGATCTCGGACGAAGCCGAGGGGCGCAGGTACAACGAGATCACGGTGATACCGTTGGAGAAGTTCTCCAGGTACTTGCGGGAGCTGGTCAGGCGGTAATAGTGGTATAGATCGGAGAGGGCGCTGAACAGGCCCATGGCAGAGCCCTGGCGATAGGCAATGACCAGACGCTTCTCGCGGCTGCCCTCGATCTCGAACATCTCAATCACTGGGCCGTGCCTACCAACCGCCGTGCTGATGATCTCCTGGTAGATCGCCTTGGTGTTGGGAGTGGCTTTTTGCAGGAAGCGCTTCTCACCGATGATGTCGATGTTGGTCTCATTGGGGGACGGAGTGGGGTTGGCGAACTGGCACTTATACACGAAGTAGCAGCGGAGCTGCTGGCCATTGTCGCCGGGGAGGGTAGTGGGCGAGCGGAAGGTTTCAACACGGTAGCTGTTGGGCCCCTTGGAGGTGTTGATGTACTTCTCATCGATGCGCTGTTCGTAGCGGGGGCCATCCACGGTTGAGACGCCAGGGCGGCTGGTGTCGATATAAACGGCGTGATCCTCCGCCTCTTTGTCGAGGCGGATCTCGAGCTGCTTGTCATCGCGCGCATAGGCGGCGACCTTGGCGGCGTAGAGGGAGAGGATCTGGGTCACAATGTTTTCCACAGACTCGGTCTGGAAGTAGGTGTCATCGATGCCGAGCATGTTGTAGAACCAGGTCGTTTCGGAGACAATGAAATCACTGGGGAAGAAGCCCTTTTCCTCCAATTGATCCATCACTGTAGTGGGAGGAAGGTAGCCGCATTAGCCTCCATTGTCCATTGTGCTTGCACGCCGATTCATGCCTGTTTCTTACCTTGCTCCATCTGCTTCTGCTTGCCCTCAAAAGTGGCGGCAATGTAGCCCGGGTCCTCCTCAGAGAGAACGCGGTGCGGGGAGCCGGGAGTACCGGGAATGCCCAGGTGTGTCGGCTGGGGGGAGGGCTGTCGCAAGGCCGCACCGACGACATGATCGAGGTGCTTGTTGTGAGGGTAGCGCTGGAAGCCAATGGGGGTGCCTGTGCCGGAGCTCCCATCGTGGCTGTTAAAAAGCTTGGGCAAAGGACGGGCGGGGGAGGGTGGCGCCATTGGAGGCCTCCGACGGCGGGGTAGAGGGTGTAGGAGAGGACATGTTGATGGAGAAGTCCTTGGAGGGAGACTTTTAAAGACGAGAAAGAAAAAAGGAAGGACGCTGCGAAGATAGAAGTACCACGGTCAGTCAACTGAAGGGCACGTGTACGGGAGATAAGGTAGTGAAGCAATGCGCGCTTATCAGCTGCGGCGGGCGGTCATCGTCATCGCCGTCACCGCTGCGGGCTGCTCTGCCACGGCCACTGCTACTGCCACTGCCCACAATTCCTGTAGGTTTCTCATGTTTCAAGGAGTTGCAGTGGTGGCAATGGCAGGAGATAACACGCAAGGGGGGGGGAAGGCACCCTGAGAGGGTATAGGAAGATTGGTAGATAGGAACTACTCCTACCATCCGACTATACTATACTATGGAGTATAGTAGTAGTAGTGATAGTAGCAGTAGGTAGGGCATGACTCACCGTCGCCATCGACTGTCGTCGAATAACCTTTAGATCGGAATACTCGATCAAAAACAAAAAAAGATTGGTTTGACGCAAATCCGGGGAATGGCCAGGCACTTTAAATACAATGCAACAAAGAAAGTTCGCTGCCTTGATTTCCAATTTTTGAATTTTCATTTTTTTTTAATCCCATATTTATTTCACGATGATTATTATTACCCCATCCATTGCTATCTTGGACACGCTCTGACGCCGTTCAGGCATGCTGTCGCGCCCCCTGGACCAGTCATAGCCGCTGCTAGGCGGCGGCCACTCCGCGACTCCATCGTGACCGGCGGTCTCGATGGCCTTGATCCGCACCAACTCCACCCGGGCAACGCTCATTCCTCTCCGCGCCGGGGGGCGTGACTAAGATCCACAGGCCCGGCGGTGGTCGGCGGGGCGCTGATTGGCAGTCATCGCCCCTCTTTCCGAAGGTCAAGACCGAGAGGAAAATCCCGCTGCGTCATGCGGGCCGAAAATAGAGAAAATAATTGCCTCACTTGGGGCCTGGAACGGTGGCTGAGGAAAAGATATCTCGCTATCTATACATAGTACTCGAGTCTAGTATACTACTCCTATGGTACTCCCGCGAGTACCTGGATAACTCGGCGGACGCAGGTCACAAGACGTGCGGAGCGACATGCCTAAACCAGTCTCTCTTCACGATGGGAACGACACGCCTCCCCAGGGGGAGTCGGTGTAGTCGAACTAGTCAAATTATGGCACAGCTCAAGCAGCCCGAGGTCAGCTGAGCCGTTCAGTGTTTGATCTGTTCAGAATTCCATCTTTCGCAATTGCCCCCTTCCCGTACGGAATCTCCGGTCCTCGAAATCCTGCAGGAGGCACTGTTTAGTTCGTAACAAAAGTTAACACTCTCCCGGGTGCTCGCCAAATGAGGTGATCACAGTCGAATATCGTGAACTGCGATGTGTCATGGCGCCTGGTTCTGTCGCAAGAGCACGGAGGCCACGGAGGCCACGGAGGCCACGGAGTCCTACGGAGCATGTCCATACTATCTAACTCAGACTACGGAGCACGTGTTCATGCCTCTCCAATTCCACCATCGACCCTGACTAAACCCACCCAGCCCTAACCAACTCAACTAATCCAATCACCCGTCCATCCGGGGTTCGCCATTGCGACCAGCGGGAAGAGCCCGACTGGGGTAGTCCAGGATAGGGCATGGAGAGATGGGGTTGGGGTTGGGGAGGTGGAAAATCAATCGTAATAGCCACGGCTATTACACACAAGAAACCACCCCCCTCAACCCGGCCCGGCGCCAATCTCCAACCGGAGGGGGTGCGGTTTGGTACCTGGATCGGCATGTTGCGGGGTAGAAGACTTGCTGGTCTCCAGGGTGCGTTCGTAGGGCCCAGCGACATGCGAGGCGTGGCCCTGGAATCGCCCTAGAATTGCCCACGTTGGCAGGCGCAGCGAATCACGGGGGCCCAACAGAATCTTCATGGCATATGGAGCCTGACCATATTTCCCTTCAGTCGGCGGGGCCTTACGTCTCGGCGGGCGTGCGATTGGAAGATACTTCCGAGCGGCGCGAGATGAGGTAATCCTTGTGTCAGTTGAGGGCAAATAATGTTCCGGGCCCGTGTGATGCCTGAGGCAGCTACTGGCCCAGCTGGGACCGCGAGGCGGCTGTCCCGTCCCGACTCGGGGATCCCTTCCGATCCCTGCTGGGTACATGCTGCGAAACAGTCCTCCTCGGCAACCCCACCCGACCAGCTAAGACGCCACAGAGCACCATGTTGGGTCGGTTCAATCCCTAGTAGAGCGTAACGGCCGCCCGTTCAGCTCAGCCAGATGGCGCCCTCGTCGAGAATCCGGCGAGACCAGCTTCGTCTTGCAGCCTCGCCCGGGCATGCGCTGACGCGAGCGCGTAATATGCTCGCACCACGAAACTCCAAGGGGCATGCAGGGATGGGCCCGGTCGAGGGCGCGGCCCGTGCGGGACAGAGCAGAGCCAGGCCGACTCTGATTTGGGGAAGTGCTCGGCTGACACCCCTATGGCCTGGAGCCCGACAACTCGACAAAAATCTCCAGGACGAGAGTCAAGTCAATAGGTGGTGGTAGCGGTAATGGTAGTGTGGTAGCATGTAGTATATACACTCTTTCGTTGTCCCTTGAACTCTAAGCCTAGGAGACGCCAAACACCCCCGGTTTCTATTCCTTGTACCGCATAATACCGGGTCATTAGATCAGGTGCGCTCATACAAACTCTTCCTGGGTGGTTGCAACATCTCGATCCCATACTCTACAAAAACCAAACAGAGGTGGCGGCTGACACTACTGCTAGAATTGCCATCGTTACGAGCCACATGTTGTACGCCATCTTCATTGTCTGCCTCACCGCTCCCGTCGTCAGGAGCTACAGCGCCTCCTGAAGGAAGTTAATAGACGAGTGGATCCTGTTTAACTTATTTTATAGGGTCTCTTCTAGTCCTACTATGGGTAGTTAGCGTCCTATGGGTCCTCGTGGCACTATCGCATGACCAAGCATAGGACACATAGCCAAACCCCCGAGATTCGATAAGCAATAAAGAGCATCGTATACGGCAGCCGCAATGACCCTGAACACTCTTCTTCATGCTTGAAAAATCCTGGCAGTGGAGCATGAATAACATTCCTTGGCCTGAAAGAACGGTGGTTCTATGAATATTCTGTGCTGGTCTTGACTCTCCTGATTGGTTGATTTTGGGAGTATAGGTATCTTTTACTGACAGATAGTAATTGGACGGCACATAGACATATCTCCTGGGAGCAGGGCATAACGTCAACCACACAGACACCAGATCGCGCGGCCCAGGCGAGGATTTTGGGTCCGGATCGCCTGGCATAAGGATGGATTTTCTAACCTCGTCTCGTCTATGGTGTACCTGCCAATTATATTCAGATATAACAGATTTATTCGCACCATCGATTGAAAGGACAAAAAAAGGTAAATAATTACACCAGGGCCATTCCAGTCTTTGATGGAATCTATGGTGTTGAAGTTAATGTCGCTATGCTCGTTCAAGGCCAAGATTATTTTCTCCAGCTATTTCAGATTTGGCGCTATAAACGACAGGGAATCAAAGACTCCGAAATAACCATGCTAGTGAGGGGGTTTCTAACGACTGTATCACGAACAGATTAGGGTATAAACGTGGTGGGGTTGACTGGCTACCAGGTAACTTACAGTAGAGTTAATCGATCTTGGCTTGAGGATTCGAGAAACACCAGAAAGGTGGGGGTGGTGGCTCTGATTTCCGAAAGTAGCCTACATCTACAAATAATCCTTAGTCACCCGCATGCGCACGGCCCAGATCGATCGAAGACGGGGAGGGGGTTGAGGACGGGGTTGAGGATGGCGATAAGGATGAGGATAGGGATGCAGGGGGACGGGGACTGGGATGAGGGGGATGAGGAGGGAGATGCAGGGGCATTCCTCCCTTATCAGGTAGGGCACTCCTACCATTTCCGGGGGAGGATAAGCCCCCAACCCTTGATCAAAGGAAGTACACCCTACGTACTCGATACCCGAGGATCCCCAGCCGCAACCCCTAGGCCCCATCGCCAGCTCCTTGGGTTGAGTTAGGTCGGGTTGTATGTATTCCGTCCAATGTTGATGTTGTTGGGTCCATGCCCGAGACTCAGGGCGAAAAGAATGTCCTGTCCTGTCCTGTCCTGAGTACTGTGAATCTTCATCACGAGGCGTACGCCCAATCTCACACATTTGATCACAAACATACAGCCGTCCCATTTCGAAGTATATGATTATGGACTGCCTGCCGTCTACGGTGTTCTAGGCGAGACGATAGGAACCGCGAAGCAGGGATACGATGCCAGCCACCTTGATAATTATTGGTTCGATAGTGAGCATGTCGCATACTATGTATACTTATACGCAGGACACTGACCTGTGTTCCGTTGGCACTGCATGCACGCCGCACTGGTACCTGATCTGTGCGCAAAACCCGCCAACACACCACTCCAAAAACACATCCAAGAGTTGTCCCGGCTACGATACATGCTGTATCTTGTAAGCTCTGCATCTACGGGGCTTATCTTGCGGTGAAGCACCGCAATCTGGCAATGCAGCCATTAGTCATGTCATCATTGATGCATTACCCTATCTAACTGTGTACTCCATCTCTTCTACAGAAGGACAAATAAAAATAGAACACCGCCGCTCGAATAACCCGCGATGTCATCACGGAATGCAGCTAAGTCCTCCGTTCAGGTCAGAGCCCAACAGTTTGGAGCACGTACCCCGGAATTTCCGGCTTTAGCGGATCGAGGGGTGGGGAATTCCCGAGGAATGCGCCACCGACACAGCCCCGGAGCCCCGGGATCCTGGAAATCTGGAGCAGCTGTGTGGTATGGGGATGGGGATGGGGATGGGGAGAGGGGATTGGGAGAGAGCGAGAGACATTCTCCCCTGTATCCCTTATTCCTCTTCATCTATTATATTTATTCCTTCATGAATAGCGCGCCTAGCCCCTGCGAGGGCCCGTTCCCAGGGTGAATCGTAGACCAAGAGCTTCTCATGTACGGATATATACTCCAGACAGGGGCTTTCAGTGCATCGTAAGTACTGTACTTCAGTCCCATGCACGCAGTTTAGCAGTTTATTTGAATAGCCGCGCAGACTATGTGAGCTATCCCCGACAGCACGGAGTACGGAGCACGCAATACACTTGATCTGCATGGCTATTGTACGTAAATCGAAGTGTGGGTAGCTGGGCGCTAGGGTGAAGGGGAAATTCAGACCAACCGTATCCCTTGAGTAGCACGAACAAATAGTTGACTCGTAGTCGTGGGCCTAGTTATGTGATATAGGGTGTGGACTAGCACGAACAACCCAAGGAGAGAACCGAACTTTGGTGGGGAAAGCGCCCCCTGATGATCGTGGCCCGCAGGACGGCTGGGCGGGCGGGCGGATGAGGTTCCGGCAAAGGCGAGATCAAACCATCTGCGGGCCCGGCTAAAACATGAATCGCGCGTCCACCGCTATTACCGGACGTTGCAAACAATAGTAAAATTTCAAGATAAGAGGACGGAGTAATCATGTACGGAGTACTCCGTATGGAGACGGGTATGGAGTACAGTCCCCGGATGCAATAATCAGACTCTGGGGAGCCCCTGGCGTAAGCTCGGCTCCACCTCGGGGAACTGTGAATCGGAGGTTGGGAATTAGGAATTAATTAGCCGTTGGGAACTCCTGGCAACACTCCTTCACAGCTGAGCAGTTAAACTGAGTGTCCTAGTTGCTCCTCGATGCATCTAATTATGTATATTCTTCTTTCTATAATGTACTTTGGAAATCAATAACGTCTTATTCGACCCTCTCACTCGTACGGAGTCGTAGATCCATATACATTAATGCAGGTTTATCTTCCGTCCTTTCTGTACCACTTGCCCTCGGCAGTTGATCACTCCGATAGGCTACCAGTTCAGTTCAACCTAACCCAACCGTCAGGCCGAAGGATCGCCCTCGTGGACCGAGGGCCATGGAAGGCCCCAAGAAGGATTGCATATCCGCCGGAGGAGTAACATAACTTGAAACCAAAACATGACGACCGAAGAGTTAGCGAGTTGACCTGACAACCGGCATCCGGCCACCCTCTCTTCCCTTCTATCGAATTCCTCGCTCCCAAAGAAAATCCCCAGCCTTCTAGCCCACTTCCCCGACCTCCTAGAAGGCTCCCTAGAAGGCTCCCTAAAGCCACTAGTGTGGCTCCGCATCTGCCTATTTGTTAGTGACTAGTTGATCCACTCAGTATTTTTCCGGAGAAGAGCTGATCCATCGAACTGAAACCCGATTCCCCGGGCGATTGCCACCCCTGGCAGACTTAACTGTTCTTTAGTTTGGGGCGTCTGGGCCTTTCCCCACACCACTCGACAAACAACGCGTCAGTCCAGGTACTCCGTACTCCGTAGTAAGCTAGGCTCTGCTCGGCTCTAGCGGTGTGCCCTTTTTTATTTATTAATTTTTTTTAGACCCTCTTTTTCGCTTTCTTTCCTTCTGGGGAAATGCGGCGGGTAAGAAGCCCGCTTTGTTCGGGCATGCCGAGGCGTCAATCTACCTGATTGGAGATTTTTGGGCGAGGAGAATGAGGCGATGGGGTTGGCGGGCAGATCTTCAGGGCGAAGAGGGAGTCGAGGGATTGGATCATAGCCCCGGCCGAAGGAGTGGCTAGCTAGTTGACGAGGAGAGGAGGTATGTACTTTGTAGCGGGTACTCCTGGCTCCGTTCCCCAGGCATGTACCGAGTACTTCGTACATGGAGTGGCTTGCCCCACACGGGGATTCTTTTTTATTTTGCCGCGCTTTTTTTTTACTGGGATTTCCTATTTTCATCCTTAATGACTATCTTCCGATTATTAAAGGAGCAGCGGAGGAGCTGGTTATAACTTCCCGGGTACCTCGGAGGACTGGACTGTTTTCTTCCACCCTTCAATCGATCTGCTCCCAGCTACTGGTCTTGTTATCTTGCTATCCTGCGATCTTGCTATCTTGCGATCTTACTCTATTTGCACTATCTCTCTATCTTGCATTACACCCTATCTACTGCCAGTCGCAAGACGTATCAACGCGCCAGCAGCAGCACCAGCACCAGCATCAGCACCAGCAACATCTAATACTTTTAACAACTCCCACCCAGTCTGATCCCGGCCACTCTTCTCATATCTCCCGGACATAGAAAAGCAATAACACTACCACCCTCCACCCTCAACACCACATTCCTCGTCTCTCTCCACCATCCATCCCGATCACCCCCACCAGTGCACACCGCACGCCCTTCATGTGAGTTCCACCTGTCCTGCCTTCGTTACATCACCCTTCGCCTCTCCTTCCGACCCCCCGAGCCCTAACCTCGGGCGGTTTCGGAAACCATCCAGCACGGAATACACCCACAACTCCGGAGCTTACCGCTGACCACAACACCCTCTAGCCCGACACGCCGCTCGCAGAGCCAAACACAACGCCTAGTCCTGGCCTCACTCCACGTAACATCACAATCACGCCCCAGAGCCGTGCCGAGGTTCAGCTCCCGCTCCACAGCGCACCATACAAAAGAAAGAGCTCTTGCCAGCTCCAATCCAACCGACCATACCTCCATATCTTCCACACAACACTAAAACACCTTAACACTTACGCTCATACTCACCCTCACCCTCACCCTCACCCTCACAACAATCACAATGTCCACCCGCACCCCCGTCTCCATCTCCCCACCCACCGACGCCTTCGCCGCCTACTCCCAAGACATCTCCCGCGCAATCATGACCTCCCGTTCCAAGCCAACCAAGCTGTCCGACAGTCTAGTCGACGGGATGCCACCCGCACCACCCCCGTCACCCGTCAGCTTCGCCATTGACAGTAACGGCGGGAAAAGGGGCGCCAAGCGATCGAAGATTCCTAGTCTGAGCCTCGAGTAAACGCGGCGGGCTGACTGTATCACCATCACCACGCGAAGAGCTGGCTTCTGACAGCTTTTTCTCCTCGCTTCTTTTTCTCTTACTGTTTTTTCTCTTGTTTTGGCGCAGCGAACTGGGCTCATGGCGACTTTTCTTTTCACTGTTGCTTTCTGGGGGTAATTTTCTTTACTTTATGGGAGGGTTCGCTCTGGTTTTTCTTTTGGGGGGAGCTTGGACTGGGCTTAGCGAGCACGGCGTTCCATCCATTCATGCTATTCATACACATTCGGTTGAGCCGGCACAGCGGCTTGTTTGGTTCTGGGGTGATCGGCTTGATCTGATCTGATCTGATCTGGTCTGGTCTGGTCTGGTCTGGTCTGGTCTGGTCTGGTCTGGTCTAGCTTTGTTTCGGCTTGCTTTCTTTGGGTACAAACGCAAAAGTCTGGGGGTGGGTGTTTACGACGTTTCTGCTTCTCCACATAATCTAGGATAGGAGGGATCTAGGAAGAAATACGATTTAATCTGGAATCTGGAATCTGGAATGAAGGTGAGAAATCGAAATCGTGAACAGTTGTAGCCTCGCTGTGTAGATTCTCGAACCAGGGGACATGGGAAGGTACTATCTATACGGGGTAGCCGGGACGAGGCAGGCAGGAGAGGCAAAGGTGGGAGGCAGAGCGAGGAGCGAGTCATGCCATGCGACTTGATTTGGGATACGGGTGGAATCGCAGAAGTGCGGGACTAGAAGAGCGCGAGAGGCCGGGACTATATATTCTGTATTGTATACCGCCAGATTGACCTGGAGCGAAGTATGCGTGAATTGCCTAGGCAGCAACCGCGCCCCGTGCAGTCTGCGCTGGACAGAGGTACGATACCCATGATACATCCCACCCAAAGCGGGTCTCAGTAAGACAGTACCAGACCCGACAGGCCCGGGTGACCAGCTAAGGCAGGGCAAAAGTCACAGAATACAGTGGTGGATGTACCACAGGACCAGGTCTTTTAGCCGTCATTCTATTCTTCAGATGCTTCAGATGCCTCAGCACAATTGAGCCCGAAAAGTCCGCTGCCGTTTCCCCAACTCCGAAGCTTAAACGTCCAAAGTACATCCGTCGGATAACGTCAACTTGAACTAATAAGCACCGACCCAAACACATACCCGCGCACCTGTCGATCACGACGTCATACCCGTTCGTGCCGGAAAGTATAGTCTTAGCGGCCAGATCGCGGATTGGCGGCCGAATAGGAGACAGATATCACGTAGGATGCAGGCTGTAGTATGTGCTAGAGAGGGTGGAGGTCCGAGGCTGGGGTACTGGTACTGGCGTGGGTATGCCATTCAATGCAGGTCCGGCAAGGGAAGGTGAGGTCGGGACAGGTCAGGACAGGACAGGCCGGTGATGGACAGTGATGGGATGGGGTCCATGATGTGCGGCAAGGTACGTGATCATGGTCACATCATTGCTCTTCCATGATGCAAGACAGGGCGGGTTGTCTTATGACGTTGCCCGTCGCGATCGAGTTGCGCTGTTCACACACCCCGATACACCAGCTGAAGGATCGGTGCTGACAGGTCTTGGGGTCGTTGGGGATGGAGCGGATTCTGCATTCTGGATGGGAATAATGTATCGTGTTCAACAGGACCTGTACGGAGCACCTAATCTCAGTATCGGAGGATCAGTCCGAGTTCCCTGTTGCATGGCAACGGGAGCCTACATGGGCAGTTAGGTCCTCTGACAGCTGCGGACTGGGGGCATGTCACAGGCACAAGGATCAGCATAAAGCAGTAAGTCTGCGAAGCTATCCATGTCCATGCAGAAAAGGGGTTCGAACTGCAGGGTCAGCGCTTCGATCCGACATAGCGCCAGGTTCCTCGGCTGGCAGCCACACGTGACGAGCGCGCCCTCGGCCATGATTTCATGGCCGGACGTGCGGATAAGAATACCCGCGGTGTAGTCTGCCGCCCATCTCGGGCTCGATCGACGGGCTCCAAGGCGCGAACGGTATTTCTGTTTTCGATGCCGAAGCTTGACAGAACCCCCTACTCAGGTAGGCCGAGGAGGTGACTAACGCTCTTCAAGACAACAACTGCGGGTCCACAAGTGACTCCTGCTGCGCAAAGTCGCGCATCATCTGCTCCAGCGCCGCAATTGCCTCGGGGTCGCCCTTGTTCGCGCGCTGGGTGAGCGCATGGATTTCTGCGAGCTGGGCCTCCGTGCGCGCCCACGCGCCCAGCCGCTCAGCGACATTCACATTGCGCCGCATGCTGAACGTCGTCCGCACGGTATCCGTCTCACCCTTGGCGGCCTTGATACTTTGCAGGCGCGCCAGGAAGTGCGACTGATGCGAGGGCTGTGCGGCGCGGCGGGGCACGCTTGCTGCTCCCGGCTGAGAAGATAGGGTGTTGTCTGTCGGGACGGGAGTGACCGCGCTAGTGCTTGTGGTTGGGTCGGCCAACCCGGACCCTGAACTGGACGTGATATTTGCCTTGCGGCCGAGAAGCTTCACGCTGTTGGCGGCGAGCAGCTCGAAGGACGGGCCCTGCAGGAGTGGGTGGGTGTCGGGGTGGTCTGTGTCTGTGTCTGTGTCCGGATGGGTGTCGGGGTGGGAGAAGATGAGCTCGGTGCCGATCTGGTCGGCCCAGGAGCAGCTGAAAATTTGGTTGTAGTATGAGACGATAGGATTGCACGTGTGGAGGCCGAGAATCTGGATTCGCTCGCTGGATAGGGTCTCTGGCTCGGTACTTTCGAGGGGCGTGAAGGCTTCACTGGCTGCGGATGCTTCATGGGGGTCGCCTGTGGCGGGGAGATCTTCCTCCTGATGGGGGCTGGTGATGCCCTCTTGCTGCTGTCGTCGGCGGGGAGGGCGCATGGGCCCGTGGATGGAGGAGAGGTCCAGGTTTAGGTAGAAAGACTGGAGGGGAGAGAGGGGAGGTTAGTTTGGAGGCCTGGAGCCGGGGCAAACATTGGGAAGAGTGGCGGCGCACCTCTGTTTCCGACTCATGGTACTCATATTCCCATTCATCCTCTTCTGCATCCATGGGCTGGTCCATGATGCGTTTGCTTGAATACTGTTTTGGTGGGCAAGGGATTGGATTGCATTGGTCAATCGAGGCGATAAGATCGGGCTGAGTCAGCGGCCGCAAGCGGTGAACGCGGGATGACTCAGCGACTGAACGCACCCATTCCCGTGGAAAGTTGCAGGGACCGATTGTTGATTGTTGATGTGGGGAAACTGGCGATTGTTTGCGAGTCACACTGCAATAGCCTGTGCTCGGGTCCAAGGAACACGAGAGGAATGCCGAGATGCCTGTAATCTCTATTTTATGAGAAAATTAATAGTATTCTGTCCTGCTTGGCCCCGTCCTTTTCAGCATTCAGCCTTATGGGGCCAGCCTCTCGATTACCCTCCCCTCCCGTCCCCTCCCCGTCCCCCTCCACTCCACTGTCTATTCCGCTAGGACTGCTCCGTAGTTGCGGTGTACTGAAACCCCCCCATTATGGTGAGGACATCATGTGTTCGTAAGCGATCCGAGTCATCCGCTCCGTGCTTCCGTTCCAGGCCCCAAACCTGCAGATTGGGCCTCTGGTGCATGCGGCTTGGCCCTGCCATGCATTTCCGCACGTTCCCGGCCGCCCGTGCTGACTTGTTCGCGAACTCCATTTTTGGCTTTGGCTTTGGCTCGCTTTGCTTTCTTCTTCCTGCTCAATCGCTGAAATCGGAAGGCCCATTCAAGACGTTCCCCAACTAACCATGTGTCGGTCTCTCTTTTTCTAGTTCCCCTCCTGCTGCTGCTCTGTGCCCAGTTTGTTTCCCTCGCTTCTTGTCCCACTATAGATCATCTCTCCACGGCATGCCCGCCGACCATATCAACATCCCTCGCTCCCCATTGCATTGAACAGGGCCACGAGCCCGAGCATTTGGCTTCGACCGGCCCTGCGACCGCCCTTGCGGTCCATGAGCATTCCGCTCCTGCTGACCCGCGGTGGGCGACGACGCTGGCAGCCGCCGATTCCCTTCAGCAGATGGCGCGCAAGGCCAAAGCGGTCATTGCCGCCCTTTCGACTCTCATCCTATACATTTCCATCAACAGTCTCGTCCGTGTCGTCCGTCCCTCCGCCTGGATCTGGTACGAGGAGGACAGGGACGAACCGAGCTGGCTGGCGACCTCGGGGTCATGGTTCGACCGCAAGGCATGCCGCTGGCTCAGCGTGTGCGGCGCGGCGCATGTCCGCATGGTCTCTGGCCGGTATGGCCATCGCGACCCGACGCACTGGTCGGAGCTGGGGGACGGCGAGCTGGCGCCAGAGAAACAACCGTGGCGCACATTCTGGGCCGGCGGGGCCGATAAGCACAATCAGTCCGAGTGGGATCCCGACGAGCGGGTTCGGCGGGAGATCCCCGACTATGTCTTCGACTATGCCCCACTCATCCATCTCTATTCCGGCGAACAGTTCTGGCCCGGCGATATCGCAGAGCATTTGTATCACACCACGCCCACCCTCAATTACACCCCCATCCAGGCCCAATGGGACCATCCGACCCTCGAGGACTTGGATGAGCTGAACCAGTGGGAGGGGGGTCGACATGTCTTTTTGACGAGCGATGATGACCCCACAACGCGTCCGCCGTGGCTGGAGGGTGAGCAGAATATCCCCCACGCGCCGGAAGACGGGGACGGAGAAGGAGATCATCGAGCGGAAGAGTCGTGGGCTGATTGGGACGGCCGGGTTGACGGAGAAATCCCGGGTGAGAGTGATGAGGATCGCGCCCAATGGGACGACTTGAGACGATATACCGAGAAGGGACGGGAGCGGATGGAGCAGGAGCAGCTTGCACGCGAGTCCGAGGAAGCCCACCGCCGCTTTAGACAGGAATTACGGAAACGATATGGCGGCCACCCACCCATCCAAGAGCCTCTCCAAGAAACTCGCGCGCAGGGGGCAGGAGGCCGTAGCGACGCTCCTGTGATCTTGCTGGTGATGGACAAGGGGAATGGAATTGTGGACGCATTCTGGTTCTTTTTCTACAGCTTCAACCTGGGAAATACTGTCGTCAATGTGCGGTTCGGCAATCATGTTGGCGACTGGGAGCACTGTCTAGTGCGATTTCACCACGGCCAACCGAAGGCCCTCTTTTTCAGTGCGCATACCGCTGGTGAGGCGTACCGGTACGAGTCGGTGGAGAAAATTGGACAACGAGTGAGTCTTACAGCTACAATTGCGGACTCCTTTCAGTCCACTCTAGTGTCGATACATGCTAACTTCCCCTGTCCAGCCTGTCATCTACTCCGCCGAAGGAAGCCACGCGATGTACGCCCACACGGGCGTCCACGAATACATCCTGCCCTGGGGTCTCCTGCACGACCTGACAGACCGCGGCCCGCTCTGGGATCCCCTGCTGAACGTCAAGGGCTACACCTACGACTACGACACCGACTTCCTCCGTGCCTCGACCTTCACCCCGGACGCGCCCACAGAGTGGTTCTACTTCAAGGGCCACTGGGGTGACAAGTTCTACCCGCTCGGCGACCCCCGCCAGTACCGCTTCGCCGGGCAATATCACTACGTCAACGGGCCTATTGGACCCCGGTTCAAACATCTGAATCGCCGCAAAGTGTGTCAGGGGCCTGATCGGGAGCCTTGCGTGATTAGGGATTTTATTGGGGAGGCGAAGCGTGCGCCACGGTGGGCGGAGGCTGGGCCGGGAGAGTGAACGACATCGATACCCGTTCTCCCACCGACACCGACACCTCGCCCCCTACTGAGACATTCCTTCTTTCTTCCCTCTGTGACTGAGTGAAGAGGGTCTGGCTTGAGACCCATTCGTATACCCATACCCATTTGCTTCTGTTTTCCATTTCCCTCGATATATACCCATGCCCATTTTTGGTTTCTGTTTCTGTTTCTGTTGCTCTTCCTGCATTTGAATCCAGGGCCCGATGAACCGTTTCCATTCCTTTGATCCCGGCCGCTCTACGGACGCCATGAGAGATGATGAATTGACGTGACTTGACTTGACTTGCTTTGACCCGGCGCGCTAGTGATGACCCCTTTCTTTATTCACTCATTCAATCGTTTGCGATGGTGGTGTTGGTTTTGGTTTTTCTTTTGGTATTTGCTTCTCTCTTGCTTCTTGATTTTGATCCAATGTCTGATCCTAATCTGGCGTGCGCGAGAGTGATCTTGATATTTGCAACTAGAATCTCATCCCAGCAAGCAGAAAAGATGATAGCATACAAATACAATATAATAGATGGATATCTTGATCTACTTGACCTCTCTACGTGACGCCTGCACTCTGGAATAGCACCCCGCACCGCACCATGGACGCCATGCATAAATCTGTTGTATAAAATGTATGGGCATGTAGGGTACCCCTGATACAGAAATAGTGTACAACTCCGAGGATATTCTTGTGCTATGCACCACACCCAGGTACACTGTCCCTACCTTCGACCTTTCTGCCCAGCCCCATGACCCATTACCAACCAAGCCCCATCCGGGGCCGGGAATGTCCCCGCTCCTTGCCACCAAGCCAAGTCAAGCCAAGCCAAGCCACCTGTCGACCCTACTAGCCTCTGCTTAGCCCCTCCGCAAAAGAAGTTCTATGTAGTAATGGTGATAGCAATAGCAATAGCGATGCACTTGATAAAATGCAGTGCCGCGTAACCCGGTATTCTCGCAAGATAGCGGTCAAGCGCCAGATAGATCTCAAGGACGCGCCGGCGCCGACATATACAAAGTGCGCTAGCGTGTTGGATCTGCGGTGGCTGGAGGCTTCGCATATATTTTATGCGCAATACCTGTTACTGTTAGTTGCTAGCGCTACGTAAGTATTATTAATAGATCGGTCACTGTAAGGAGAAAGAGTCTGTCAATATGCAGATCTTCGGTTTGATTACTCTGCAGCATTGCCTTGAGGCTGTAGGGACCTAGCAAGGCGCTTCACTGAGTGTACAGATCCCCTCTTTCACGCTGGGTTAGGGTGGATTAGGTTATTGGGTGGGTTGAGCTGGAAGGTGGGTTGTTAGGTGGTGGAGGGGTGTGACTATTTTCCTGATATGGCGAGACTATGATGCAGTCGATTTTAGTTGTTCCGTTGAATGCACCTGGTTCTTTTCCAGCTGGCTCCTTCGTTACATACATTGTAAAACTTACAATGTATGTAACGAAGGAGCCAGCTGGAAAAGAACCAGGTGCATTCAACGGAACAACAAAAGTGAAGAAGGTGAACAAGGAAGAGACTATGGAGGGGGTGTCCGCTATTATATAGAGAGCTCTTCATGCAAACGGGCCCCATCAGGTTGGTCCGATCAGCTGTTCCCTTCTTCACACATCCCTCAGGTGATCTCCGCATCATCTGACCACAGGGCCTTCGCTTTCCAGTCCATCGTCATGTCATGCGTCACGTAGGGCATTAGTATGGGGCTAAGGCTTCGTCTATCCTGCAAGAGTGCGGGCTATGCGGGGTTTTAGTGAACTAGACTAAGCTTGGTTCCAGTTTTGTTTAGACGAGCACTAGAGCTATCTGGGAAAGTGATCGCGTGCAGCTAAAACTATGTCTAAATTGAATGCATTTTAAAGTGCTAGTAAATAGTATATTTCATGCTTGGCAATGCCATACACTCGAGTTATGCAGGGAGCTCGAGCATGCTAATCAGTTACGCCAGATATACAGTATAAACAAGGACCACACAGCGTCTACCCTCTGATCTCGTACAGACGGATACGACCCTGCTCATTGGCCACCGCCAGCTGCTCGTTGTTCGGCGAGATAGCCACAGACGAGATGCGACCCAGCGGAGTGTTGGCGGTAGGCCAGTTTCGGTACACGGTGCAGGACGGGAGATGGACTGTAGGATGTAGTTAGCAAGATATCCAACCAAAACTTTGTAGATGCTGGTGAGAGGGGGGAATAGGAATACATACTGAGTCGCAGCGCATCGCGCTTCCACCGACTGGCCATCACCATCATCTGCCCATCCGGCGAGAAAACCAAATGGCTAACCGGTGTAGTGAGCTGGTCCAGCACACGCGCTGGCGTCGGGCTCCGCGGGACGCCCGCCTGCGCCGAATCATCCTTCTTTGCGGAACTCGTCTTTTCATTCACAGCCGCAGCAGCCCACTCGCGGCGGTCATATATATTCACAACACCACTTGTGCTGCCAATAGCCACCCAACGATCTCCACCAAGCTCGGACCGGCCGCTGTGGCCGCCCAGAGCGAGAACCGTGTTTCCCACCGCACCGGCATCCAGCCAGCGCGCAATGATACGGCGCTGCCGCCCATCCCACTCAGAGACCTCGCCGTTCTTGCTGGCAACAGTCAAACCCTCGCCGTCGGACCACCAGGCGAAATCAGCGACACCGCCGCGCCCGTCAACCCGCACTTGTGCGATCCACTGCGCCGTTCCCGAGTCTAGCACGTTGATCATGCCGCCGCCCTTGCGCGACGTGCCCACCAGTCCGACATATCGCCCGCAGGGGGACACCTTGAAGCGCTCCATGGACTTCTGCTCTTCCTTACGGTCGGCAGATCCGTTCACCTTGTCCACCTTGCCGGTGTCCAGGTCCCAGATGTGGAAGTAACGGCGGCGACCGGAGGCGAAAATACGGTTGCCGCTGGGCGGGCCGAAAGCAGAGGTGTGGAGGGGTGTGTGCTTGATGTGCAGAGAGGTTAGGAGAGGGTTTGGCGAGGGCGCGGAGGGAGAGATGTGGTGCAGGAAGAGGGTGGAGGCGGGGCCGGAGGAGAGGAGGAGAGGGTAGTGCGGGTGGAACATGAGGGAGTCGATAGAGGACTGTATATTTGTTAGGTTCGTATCTCCATGGCTTGCATTGTGGGTGGTCTTACCGGTTGTGCCTTGCCCACGTCCTTCAACCGCTGGATATCAACAACTTCCTGGCGCAATTTGCGCTTCCCGCCTGACCGTGCATTGTCTTCGATGCGTGTGAGCTCCGTGGTGTTTTGGAGCAGCTTCGCCAGAGGCTGCGCAGCTAATTTCTCATCCTCGTCCGAGTCCATTTCGTGGTCGTTATCTGCGTCCGAGTCATCGGAATCAGTCTTGCGGCGTTTGGCTGCCAGCTCAGGATCTGCCCACTCGGGGGTCGGGTGCAGGCGCTGGAACTGCCTGCGCAGTCGTCGGACATATTCTGTGCCGCTGATGACATCTTCAGTCTCTGTGTTGCGCAATTTGCGCAACCTGGACTGGCCCGCGAGGGAGACGGCGATGCGCTCGTCGTCGCTATCGTGCCACACGGCTGGTGCAGATTCCTCATCTTCCTCGTCAGAGGGTGTCTCGGGAGTTTGAATAAGATCTGTAGTGGGTGGTGCATCGCCGGAGTCGAGGAAAAAGAGCTAAAGAAGAGCAAAGAATGTTAACGTCGTGGGTAGTCGGAATAGTCGAAATGACTGATTGAAAACAGCACAAAGCCACATACATCTGCATCCGCCATATTATCAATATCGCCTTCTTCTCCATCATCGCCTTCGTCTTCATCTGCACTCGCGCTCTCCGCATCACTGTGTAAAGTGAGCTGCATAGCGCCTTCCCGCTCCTGTTGGGCCTTCAATGCACCCAGAAAACCCTCATCGTCGCCAAAGAGCATGCGCTCGAGCTTCAGCTCATCCTCGCCTTTCTCAGGAACACTCTCCTCATCCGAGCTCGTTTCATCATCCATGTCAATGTCTTCGGCGGGACGGTTCTCCATCGTGGTGTTCTCAAGCGGAGACCGAGCGGAGACCCGCTTGGTCTTTGTCTTGAGCCCAGTACTGGGCATTGTGGAAGCAATTTGCCGTGGGACTGAAACTGATCTGAAAACTCCCTTGGACAAGATAATTCCTCCGTTGCGATCGGCGGCGGGAGCTTGCTGCGGCGGGATCAGAATATTTTTCGCTTTGATTTTTGCAATGCTGGCAGATCGGGGCGGTGGGAGGGGCGGAAGGGAGTCTTTTATGCCTCAGGCATGAATATACCCTCGAATCCATCCATGCAGGTATTGACATCTGCCACTCCTATTGTTAATCACGGTAACTTGATCATCGCAAATGTTAATTTCGACAATAGTTCAACCACTTCTTTTACTAAAAATCTGACCAGCAAACAGTAATGTTTATGGTCGGCGCCATTTTCACTACATGCTCACGCCCAGCCACCAGTGCCTACTGTAGGGAGGCTGTAATGCGCTTGTCGGTCAACCAGCGCGCTAGCCACACTCTTGCGACGAGCAGCTAGACACTATATTTATATGACTTAATCAAAGTGTCCACGTCAAATGCAGAAGCTGTGCTCAAATTTGACGTTCCTGATCGCCTTTGCCAAGAACATCGACGGCATATTGGTAGACTCTGGATATTTACTGTATTATCTAATCACTCGAACAGCACCCAAGGCAGTAACAGACTTGAACGGGCTGACTACTCCTAAGCGTCTAATTTTGATTAAGTCGTTGATGACTCGATGTGATGCATCAGTGGAACCATGTATCTCCATGGATGCAATTATCTGTCATGCCTGGTACCACTCACGCAGAATTTCCTCAATTCTAGAGATAGCTAAATGCAAAATCATAATCTATTGTGTCTTGCCTCTCTAAATCTATATCATGCTTCTAAGGAGTCAACGGCCACCCAATATCAGTCAATGGCAAATGCAATTGCTCTCCCATGATCAAAGTCTCGCATTTGGGTCCTCAATATCCATAAATAGATGTACATAGGAAATATGCCAAAGGACTTGTAAAGAATTATGGACAAAATCCCAAAGTAGCCTAAGGGATGCGGCGTTCAAGAATGAAGTGGCGGAAGTGCTAGAGCTGAGAGTGGTACTTGAGCTGGAGAAACTGGCCAACCTACCGTGCTCAGACGTGTTTGAGTATTCGGAATCCCGAGCACTACTGTGCAACCTATAGACGAAGAGGTACCCAGCCAAGCCGGACTGATAGAAAAAGAAGAAGCCGAAGCTGTGTTAGTAGAGTGGACATAGCCAGTGAGATTGACGCCCTCATAGGGACAGTTTTATCGGACCAGGTATAGGGCTCAACGAGGTTATAGTTAGCCACGCTAACTGTCTTGAACTACATTTATAAGGGAGCCTGTATATAGTACGTGGCACCGCCAGCCCATTCATTATTCTTTGAGTATTGGTCGATTACCCCTGGCCCAGATGCCCAAGAGACTGTTCATTATAATCTGCTGGTATTTGGTGTCATACTTGGCATCGTCGTAGGCCAGAGTGCGCACGGTCTGGTCGCCGCTAGACCAGACAATTGTCTCCTTTGTCCAGGTTACCTTGTAGATATGGAATGTATGCCCTGGCGCTAAATTAGTTGCCCAGGTCGCACAAATGTATGAGGTCGTGTCGCCTTTTCTGAAGAATTTTGTCTCAATATGAGTCGTGTCTCCGTCCACTAACAGCGCCCTAGGGTTGGTAATGACATGAGTTACAAGGTACAGCGAGTTGCGTGGCTATCTGCAAGCCTTACGCAGTGAATCCATCAAGATTATCTGTCTTAAGCGCAATACTGCTGACTATGCCGGGGCCTGGGGCGTCGTTCCTAGCGACTGAGGCCTCACCGAACAGTATATTGAAGTGAGGCCGGATAGCCTGCCTCTCCCCGTTCGAAATGCTTTCAAAATAGGAGAGATATTCCAATGTACTGTTGGTTCTATAAACTGTTACCCGAAATGAGTAGCTTCTTGCATTTTTGTTCTTACTATCTTAATATGGTCAAAATAGTGGATTAAGGTGATGAATTGCCCCTATGGCGCAATTGGTTAGCGCGCGAAGCTTATGTATTCATCCTTTTGTCCGGGAAATTACATGCAGCACCCTTCGAGGTTCGTGGTTCAAATCCGCGTGGGGGCATGTTTTTTTGAGCACCGGCGGTATTTTTTGGCTTTACTTGGTCAATAGTGTGTGTGTCCGAAGGACACTTCCGCTACAAATAAGATCCGTGCGCCTATTGTGGCTTCTCTCTATATGAATCCCATTTGCTTGTGATGGCAAATTTGTTAGCAAAAGGGTTCCGTCTTAGATTATACATACATGGGCATGACTCGGTAGTATACAAATCAACTCGGCTCCAATGGCCCTACATGTCAAACAAAGCAGCCGAGAAAAATATAGTAGAAACAAGAAAAACTGATTTTACACCAAAAGTTCCACGAACTGAGGCATTGTTAGTGGTAGAGGTGGAAGAACTGGATGCAGAAGCCTGTGGCAGTCGATGTAGACTTTACCTTCATCGATGTCGAGGTATCTGTGGTGGTGGTCGGGTAAGAAGTCGCAGTAGCAGTTGCATTGGTCTAGCCTGAGCACCAGACACCCTTCTTATCGACACCAGCTTTGTAAAAGCAGTCTATGGAGTCTTAGACAAATTGGTCGAAGGCGATACTTTAGAATCGCAATCATTGTCGTAAGTGAGCACGCTGGGGGGCTGAGCGCAGGTTTCGATCATGGCCTTATAATTCAAGAATTTGGGATGTCGCAGGTGGCATCGTGAACTGGGAGTTCATACTGTGCGGAGGTTCCGCTGGTAGTGCTGGTTGAGGCGGCGATCATAGTGGTTGTCACCATGCTTTAGGTTAAGGAGTGTTGTGAATTAAGAGTGGTTACGAGAGTGGTTACGATCCCCATGAGCTACTGGATTGTTTACTTAATCTACACCTTTCTCGTCATCGAGTGAGAAGTACGTTAAAGAAGAGGCAAGGTTGATGGAGTGGTAACCAATTCGCTCGATGCCCAGAGGGTTGGTTCTCCGACTAGGTTTAACCGGCGCGCAATTTCAAGCCCAACTTGGTTGTAATCTTGGCAAAGTCCTCGCTCCTTGGAGGTCCCTGGGAGATTTGATATATGTGGATATCAGTTTCGTCGAGTCGAATACCTGAAAGTGCGAACCAGGGAAGATATTCATGTTTCACCGGGTTTCATTGGGCCCAAAACATGGCACCTAATATTTTCGACGTCACCGTTCACTCTATATACGGTGGGGCCTACCTATATGTCACTTCATTCTTCATTTTGAAATAAACTGGGGTGGTCTGGTGTTCATCAGCATCTGTTCATTTTGCTAAGTGGCTTCCCAGGCATGGTATGATTGCTTCTTGCACCCTGACAAGCTCCATGTTTATCAAACGAATCCCTGACATAGAGAAGCGCTGCATGAAGAGTCTGGATGAGTCCCAACTCCCGTCCTACGTTACAGCATCTGGCTTCTCGGGATCCCCAGTCAGTACCGAAATCTGTTCCACCAAGTATGCGAAGTCCACGACCAACACCGAGTGAGAGGGAGAGCTCAAGGTTTGAACATTTCAATGGCACCTGGAAAGAGACTACTTAGAGAGGTGATGTGCTTGAACTGTGGAGAACGGCTGAAGTTTGGATATTGATATTGACTTTGATTTCCAGGGTATCTGAGTGTGTGATTGGCTATGGGTCCTACAAAGTAGGGTAAACAGCCCTCGGTCTATTTGAAGAAAGACGTGGAAAAGAAGAGGAAAACACCCCACATGCGCTGGTAACGTATATTCATTTACACATTGATGGTCATAGGTAGTAGGCCCAAGAAGCAAAGAATAAAGAAAACAAAAGTTCCCAACGCCTGCGATTGTGGTATAGCTCATTCGGTCGTATTCAGTTGCGTGTTCCCTTAACAGGATATGGTTTACTCTCTTGTTCGCTGCGGCTGCTGCTAGAGCTTGGCGGCTCGTACGGCGGGACTGGGGAATGGTCCTCGGTGAGGGGGCCCTCTGACTCCTGGAATGCACTTTCAGTCGCCTTGGACTGTGATACTGTGACTGTTGGCTTGACATATCTCTCTTCGTCGTCAGAGTCAGTGGAGTAGGACTCGTCCAGGCCAGCCAGGAGAGCTTCACGCCGGTGATTATCTTCTTCAACGTGATCAGTGTCAACAGCGGTGTAGAGGTCGTAGGAGAGCCGTCTCTTGATGAAGTGGTCAATGATGTAGTACTGGATGGCGTTCATGATAACGGGGAAGAGAAGCATCACGAAAGCTATCTGGATCGCCGTGTTCCCTTCTGTCCAACTTAGGGCCCAGTCGCCGACCTTGACGATGAAGGGTAGGGCCTGGATCAGGAAGAACACGCAGACCTTCATGCCTAGGAGGCCCAAGAAGTAGATCATTGACTGCTTCAGCCACCATAGTGCTCGGGGTGGATGGCCGTAGTTGCCGGATTCGATGGATTCTGGGGGGTTGGCGAGAGGAGTATAGGAGGCAAAGAAGTTCAGGACTCGGAGAAGGAGTATCAGGATCGGGATACCGAGAGTTGTCTAATCATTCACTAGGTTAGCGGATCCTCTTCTCGAAGAAGTAAACAAGCAAAGAAGTCTCAGAAGAACTCACGTCGATTCCCAAGTTCAGCAAGTAGAAAGAGCAAGGGTTCGGCTTGAATGTGTGTTGAATCTCGAACTGACCCGCCGAGAACATGGACATCAGCAGATTCGCCAGATGAAGCATCCCCGAGCCAAAGACCTGTTTCGACGCATCAAACGCCCACACTTTCAACGGCCGCTGAGGTCGCTCTCTCCACCGCTTGTACACCAGCGATAGCAGTGCGAGGGCCCCGAGAGCAGCTTGGACGAGAAGAGAGAACGGCCCCAGAAGCTTGCACTCTCCATCATTGCCTTTGTTGGGGTCCGGACCAGATGGAGGGGTCCCATGGTAGTACAGCGTGTGTGATGAGGGAGATGGGGATGCGGTGTCTGGATATGATGCCAGGCTGGGCGGGGAAGTTGCGGCGATCAGGCTCGTGGCCGCAGTTGCAGCAAGTGACAGGGCGGTGGCAGCATCCATTATGATTTAAGAAGAGGTGAAATGCCAGTTGAAAAAATGGGTTGGCTTCGAAGGGACGAGAAGCGACCCGCGCTGTGAGGTGGCGGTTGTCGTGTAAAGTCGAAGGCTGGGATGACGCTGGAGGGCCAGCGGGGTTAACGTGTGCCAAGTGGCATAGGGAGAAGAGGAACCAGGAAATGTATTTCAGGGCAGGCTCAGATGGCAGAGCTTCCAAAGCAAAAAAGGCTTGGAGCACGATATGGGCAAGATGTGATGCTGGAGAGTGGCAGTGAGCAGCTGCCTACAGGCGGTGTCCCCGCATTGCCGCAATGGGATCGGCGCGGCTAATCCTTGGCGGTGCTTGGCTCTGCCGTTGAGACGCCAGTTGGCGATCTATTTTTCGAAGAATTTCTGACCTGCAGATCTTCGACTAACCTTCTTGATTCCCTTTCCAGCGGCTAGGTCTGATCCGCATGAGAGCGTTCGTGTTTAGCCCTCATAGCTCTCTACCAAAGATGGCCCCGGCTTGTTGCAGCCGGGTGGATACCTGTCTCTCCAGTGACGCAGCCTTCTGATTCAGATCCTGGCTTTTTTTCTTGGGAGACAGAATGGAGTATACTCTATTTGTTGTAATGTGTTGACGTCCGCGCTATATGTTTAACAGTAAGGTTGTGGTTTGACATGTTCCGCCTCGTCCTCCAAGACCTTTTTCCCAGGTCGGTGAGAATATATATCTGGGAACATGGACCTTCCTTCGCCTTCAGGTCTTCTTAGCCTTGTTTACGTCTTTGTAGATCTCCTTCACTACAACCCGTGAACCTCTCAACCAGACAGTCTCAAGATCAATAATTCTGCAAGGCTCAAAGCCAGGAAGGAGCATTCGACCTGTACTTAGGTAGGTAGTATACCCATGCTACGGCAAATTCTCTACAATGCAGTCATGTTTGCTGAGCAAAGTGGGGGGTTCGTATTGATCACGAAGATTGAAAAGTGAAAAGAAGAATGAACACAGAAAGAAAAAAATACTCTCGCCCATGCCTCGAGCGAAAGGACCCCCAGACAATTATCGAACCGAGGATCAACCCATCGAAACGTTCATACATCCGAAAGAGTCGTCAAGAAAAGAAAGAAACCCGAGGGAATCAAAGAAAAAACGCCGCTAACCCCTCAAACCATCCCAGAATCGACAGAACAGAAGATCCGTTGCAACACTATGCGCAGCTAACTGCGTGCAGAGGGCATCATTAGAGTTGAAAGATGCGTCACGTCACTCTATCCCGTGCTGCTGTTTAAGTCGTTCCAGATTCTCCTGTCTTTCCTGGATATCCTCTTTTGAGCGAACCATTTTTTCTGGCTGGTGGTACAATACTAAAATTGGCATATGTCAGTTGTTGTGACCACGCTGGGATATGATTTGCGCTTGGCTGCTGTCCGGGTGCCACACGTACCGACCAAGTATCTGCTCTGGAAATTGAAGCCATTGAGCTTATCGCATGCCTGCTTGGCGTCGTGTACGTCCTCGTAGACCACAAATGCGGTGCCTTTGGAGTTGTTGGCGATGCCCTGGCGGATTTGGCTGCGGAGAAGAAAAAAGCAACATGTCAGCGGCGAAACAGGGCAGCGCCATGTAGAAACCATGAGGAGCTCACCGAATAGGCCCAAATTTGCCGAAGAGGTCAAAAAGTTGCTCTGCTGTTACGTTGTAGCTACCGGGAAGGGGTCAGCGTTCTGCTTGTCGACTTTGCAAGGCTGGGTTGCTGGGGGGAACGGAAGTCGGTGCACGGCGGGGGACCGCCGGCGACGGGTATGCATACCTGAGGTTCTTGACGAAGAGAATCCTAAGAAAAAGCATCCATGTCAGTATCCAAGTGCTGCAAACGACGCTAAAACGAAAGGAAGCATCGGCTATTCTGCGGATGATGGGGCACGGTTGCCGGCGCCGGGAGGGGCAGAGGGAATCAGGCACATACCGATTTGCTTCGGGGGCGAGCTTCCGGCTCATTCTTAGGACAAAGGGGGTCCAGAAAAGAGTTGAATAAGAGGTTGACGTGAAGTGCGAGATACCTGGGGTATCGAGGGCAGGTGGTGGTCCGAAAAGAGAGCAGCGCAAGACGAAGGAGAGACACACAGAGAGAAGCACGAGGTGGCCTTGGCATAGTCTGTTTCGGGTTAGCCTGCGCCTTAGGCAGATCGGGTGAGGTAAGCAGTCCGTATCATGACTATACGGTACACAATACTGCACGTGGACTCTGCTTCATTGATGGTTCTACTGTTACAATTGGTACCGGACGGTATCACCGACACAGCTCGGCGAAGACGCTCTCGTCGCAAGTTGAAGCTCGGGGCCGTCGACAGGCTCGTTCCTTTTCTCTCAGACACAATCCAATCGCGAGACCTTTTTCCCACTCGCACCAGAATCGACATTGATCTCACAAAGGGGAGGGCCGAAGACACACACTCCTCCGTCGGCCGCACCAGCTGGCCCCGCGTACATACCTTGCGAACTGGCTCTCGACCGACCTACCCTCCTCCCTCCTTCGCCTACGCCTTGCGCTCCATCCTCCCCTCCTCCTCCCTCCCAGCCCGGAAGCGCTTCATCCATTCGCATATCCCCCGCTCGTCATCCAGTTTGCAGGGCCCCATTCCTGCTGACTGGATTGCATTCGATCCGCTTTCCCAACTGCCCGCGGGCTGCGGCGCGACTCCCCCGGTGCCTTTGTCGACCCGCCGCCTCAACGCTCGAAACCACCTCCCCCCAAGTCCAGCGCTGCGCCGCGACTCGCTTTCCTCCCCCGTCGACCACCCCCTCCGCCGTCCTCAATCGTCGCTCGAGCATCTTCGTTTATCTCACGGCCCTTCGTGCGCATGTCCTGCTACCAGGAATGACACTCCCTTTCCCTGCGACGGCCTCTCGCTAGTCCGTGTGGTCCAACATCCCCCCGCTTTGCACCCACTCGCCGCAAAGCGCATCTCGACGCACCTCCGACTCTCTACCACAACATATCTTTGTAACTGACGCTCGTCGGAGTTACCGAAGATGATGAGCGCGGCCTCTTTCATGATTCCTCTGGGCGAGCGTCCCCCGCAGTACCGCACTCCGTCCCCTCCGCGACGCGCCGTCGAGCCCATCACACCGTCGACCGCCGAATTTCGAGCATCATGGGCCGAGCGCGGCATCGCTCGGGCTGCCAGCCTGGATCGCGATCAGCGCCCGTCAAATCATGCTCGGAGTGCCCTCGCCGATGGTGGTTCACATCACCGATCGGGCCATGGCCGGTCAAATTCAACCATCGACACGCTTGCGACGATCGCCCTCGCAACAAGCCCTACCCTCGCGCCGCTTCCACCTTGCCCATCCTCTCCCAATTCTCGATCGACCGTTCCCTTATTTACTTCCGAACTTACAACCGCCGAAAGACCTGCGAAACGCCCTCGGTCGGAGCGGGACCCGTCACCATACCATTCTTCTTCCTCCTCCCGGGCTATGCCACTGGCCAATAGCCCACACCCGTCTATGTTGGATAGCATGAAAACCGATGCAGAGCTTTTACTCAACTTCGCTCGACCGGCCAATATCCATCCCGCCGGCCACCACACTAAACGAGTTAGCATCGACGAATCCTTCCATCACCACCACCACTATGGAGGCGATGCGGTGCGGCACAATCGATTCGGGGTTTCCAATGGAGGATATGGTGGTGGGCGGGCGGATACAAAGCTTGAGTATCATCATCCGGAGGACCACGTCCCGCCGTCACGTATGAGATCGCGTTCCGATGGGTCGGCATTCATCTCGCGCCCTGTCATCCGTGGCATGCGACCCACCACCAGCGCAGGTACGCTTCCTCCTATCGCCTGGGAGGAAGACAACGAAGATAGTGCTTCGCCGACGGAGATGTCGCGCTACGCGGGGTACGGCGAATACAGCTCCTCCGGCCCTCAGCAGGTGCCGTTTGGTTCTCAAACAACAATGGGCGTGACACCAAAGGTTGAAGAGGAGGACGGCAGTGATACGAATCAAGCAAGTTGTGCAGCGTGTCATATGGTACGGATCCCGGTGGAAACGGAGGAACAAGAAGAAGATACGTGGATTGGCTGCGACGGGTGCAAACGCTGGTTTCATATCGTCTGTGCTGGGTTCAAAAATGACCGAGAAGTTCGCACGGTCGACAAGTTCATTTGCCGCAATTGCCGATCCGTCCACGGTCAAACGACTTTCGTACGAAAATCCTCGCGAGCGCGCACGGCAATTGACTATGCCGGTCTCAATCAGGGTCTTGTGAAGGCGGCTTCGGATTCCAAGGAACACCACTATCTGGAGCCTATTCGCCAGGGCAAAATCAGATTCCTACCGGAAAGCTTCCCTCGTATGAAGCCAGAGCTGGTCAATGCAGAATACTTCGAGCGAGGCAATGGGTGGACAGAACCAGTGGTGATACCTGCTTGCTGGAATACTCATGATCCCGTCCCGGAGGTAGACTCGGACTTTGAATCTCTCGTGCAAGACGCCTCATCCCAAGAAATGTTCGACGACCTGCTTGAGCATCTTGAGGAACATAAACGGCATGTTGAGGAGACTATTGACTGTGGACAGGATCAGCTGGATATGGTGATTCCTCAAGGGTTGACTGTTCGGGCAGTGGCTGAGCTGTACGGTCCCGAGGAACGAGTCGAAGTGATCGATGTCAAGTCGCAACAAGGAGAGGATAAGAGGTGGGATATGCAGAAATGGGCCGATTACTACGAGAGCAACGAGCCTAATAAGCCGGTTCGGAACGTCATCAGTCTGGAGGTTTCGCAGAGCAGGCTTGGCAGGCTCATCAAGCGACCCAAGGTTGTGCGCGATCTCGATTTGCAAGATGCAGTCTGGCCAGATGAGCTTAAAGCCATCGGTGAATACCCCAAGGTTCAGTTCTATTGCCTGATGTCTGTTGCAGACTGCTACACCGACTTCCACATCGACTTTGGTGGATCCTCCGTGTACTATCACATCCTCAAGGGCAAGAAGACCTTTTTCTTCATTCCTCCGAAGGACAAACATCTCAAGAAGTACGAGGAGTGGTGCAACTCTCCGGCCCAAGATTCGATCTTCCTTGGCAACCAAACAAAGGAGTGCTATCGTGTGGATCTTTCGGAGGGGGATACTATGCTGATCCCGTCAGGATGGATCCATGCCGTCTGGACTCCGGAGAACAGCCTGGTGATTGGCGGCAATTTCCTCACCAGACTAAATTACGGTATGCAGATCAAGGTGCTCAACATCGAGAAGGACACAAAAGTGCCCAAGAAGTTCCGTTATCCCTTCTTCCAGAAAATCCAATGGTACACGGCTTTGAGATACTTGGGGGATGACCCCCTCCCTCAAAACGTGCTGGCGGCGTTTGCACAGGATGAGAATTATCAATTCCACCGCCATTGCCCAATTTACTATGAGTTCGGGGAACTTGCCAATAAAGAACCCGCCGGATCGCCATACTTCAACGCTCGATTCTACTCCCAGGCTGAGCTGGAGGGACTGCCGGAGCTGACAAAGTACCTTCTGCGGACGGCGCTCATCGCCAGCTCGTATACCGTCGATGGAGTCACCATGGAAGTTCGCAACGCGGTCAGGAGGTCCATCCCCAAGGGTATCGGAGATCCTGTCGACATGATCAGGAGATTCGGCATCTGGGTTGCCTGGAAGCGTGGCAACGAGAAGGCGCCGCAGTGGACACACCCCGGGGTCATCGAGAGCAATCCCAAGGTCTCGCTCACTGAAAAGAAATCTGCTGGACGGCCTAGTCGACGGTCCGAACGCAGTGTGGACAGCCAGCGCACTTATGCTGAAAGACAGGCAGTCCAGCGACCATCGGATGAACTCGTTGCAACGCCTATTCCTCAAGTCAACAATCTCCCGTACCTACCGTCTGAAAGTGCAACACCAGCCCCAGCCGCTTTCCTTCCCGAGTTTATTGGCCGAGAGACGTCCTCTACTTCAAAACCACGATATGCTCCACGCGGTTCTGGCCTAGGACCGAAGCGTGTGGCATGTGATGCGTGTCGTAGACGCCGAATTCGTTGCCGTCACAAGGATGAGCCGAGCGACTTGAGCATGATGGGTGGACAAATGGCGGGTAACGGATTTGGGTCTGGATCCGGTCTCAGCACTCCGTCTTCTCTGGCTCAGGACGCTGTTTCCGCGCTGAACTCATTGGCGGCGATTGCGTCTCAAGCTGGATTCCAGAATAATGGGGTGGTTGGCTTTGACCCATTCGAGGGTTCAGGCACGTTTCATTCGGCTATCATGGGGGCTTCGACGGCTGCCGCCAACCGGCTGAACGAGATAAGCCCCGATGGCACGAACGGTGGCAAAAAGGGACGAAGCAAGGCGTGTGACGACTGCCGAAAAAGCAAGGTTAGTACTTATTACTCAGCTACCTCCTGTGTTATGGTCTCCCAGCTAATATCTGTGTCCAATAGCGTCGTTGCATCCACGATGAATACGGCAGGGTTGATCCCATTAAGGCCCAAGAACGCTCCAAGCCTCGTGGGACGGCCTCTTCAAAGCGACCACGGCCAAATGAAGACGATAATGCTCCTGTTGCAGCCAAGAAGACCAAGCAGGAGAGCACGTCTCCAATCACGCACCCTATGAGCTTCGAGGGATACCCCGCCACAGCGATGGTGCCTCAAAGTGTACCGAGTGCTGCTTTCGACCATGGAGCTGCCGCCTACGACGCCGAAAGCCACCAAGCCGAGCCCAACAAAGTGGCTGAGGTGACCGTCGGTCAGGCCTTATATGCATCGCCACCAGTCTTCCATGCTGATTCGGTAGAGATGAAGGATGCAAACTCTGTGTCTGTTTCCTCGAAGCCAACTGTGTCCCTGGTATCCCCACCCACGTCGCTGGCCGACGAAATGGATGTGGTGCACGATGGTGAGGCCATGGCGTCAGTCGAAGGCGAGGCGCCTCCTGCCCTCCACACGCCCAACTCCAGCTCTCGTCACTCGTCCCGTCAGCCGCGACATGTCGAGCGGTTCGTGCCGGAAGCGACCGCTGCTCGCGCCTCGAAACCCGCTGGCAGGGCAATGTCGTCTACCGCGCGCCGCACCACCCCTGGCCCGCCATCATCATCCAAGAAACCCTCGTCCCGCCCCTCCTCGTCTCATGCCAAGAAGAGCTCGCCGATGGTTGAGAGGCACTTCGAGCGACCTGCGGCCACGTCATTGTCTCCGCATCAGTCTAAACATGCCAAGCACCGTGTTGAAGAAGACGCCGATGCCGAGAGTCTCCGCTTGATCCGCGAGCTTCAAGAAGAGGAGTTCGGTCTCAGGAGACGGCGAGGCTAGCTCACGATCCAATCGGAGGATTTTCCTTTCTTTTTTTGCTTTTGCTTTTCTCACGTCTCATTTCTTCAACGCAACGGATTATCAAGGATATCATTTCTGGAACTGGGTTAGGTGATTCGGAGTTCATATATCTCTCTTGCTTTCGCGGGCGTTTTAAGTTAGGTTGGGTGGAGTTGGAATGTATGTGCGTGTCTTTGATGAAATGCTATCGCCGCGTGCGTGCATGGTGCTTTTTTTTGATCTGGCCATGGTCCCCCTCTTACTTGGTTGTCTAGTCTGACGCTGCTTGTTATTTTCTTTTGTCTTTCCAATAATTCATTTCCAAATTTTCCTGGACGTTCGTTTCTCGTGCTGCTCCATGACTCCAGATTCCTTACATTTCTTTTTCTTTTCTTGTTCGTTGTTTAAACATGACTGTCAGTGGTGCTTTTCCTTGTCAATTCACCTTGTGTTTGCGCACGGAGCTTGGCGTTTGCTATCTTCTTTTACATTCACTGCGATTGTGGATGGTTTTGTTCTGTCGAACTATTGAATCACAATAACAATCATTTAGTTTACTCTATTTCGAGCTGTCCATATCTAGAAGATTACCTTATTGTTTTCGCCACCTCCAGCCTTCCAGTTCTAGATGCCTTATTCCCTTCTACTGGTGTCATAAAAAGTCTTGTATTAAAACCTAATAATATAAAACGGGTCATATACGGCCTATTTAGATGAAGTATAGCGAAGCAGATGATTAGATTTCAAAAGAGTGTTTCTTATGTCTCTCAGGATACAGCGGCCGTGGTCCTTGCAAATAAGCACATGCAGCCTTTCAAATAATCTGCTAATCTCACATCGAGTTTCCGAGGCTATTGAGAGTCCAGTGGTGGTAGGTATTAAACCAAACAATGCCGGCTTCAGAGCACTCCAAGTGTATGTTCAAGACATGGCAATCTTTCCACATGTAGGCATGATCAAGTGGGATTGAGTGTGCACACATATACCCAGACCCGAGAACTTTCATCGAAGTGTCTGAAGGGGATTTCACACTGTCACACTGTCACTCTCGCAGAGCTCGACACCCCATCCTGGGAGCCCATTGCCGCACAAGACCAGTGATATTTGCCTTCCGGCTTTAGAGCCACACTGCGCCCAAAATTATCCTCACATATGGTTGTATCTTCTGTCGATGTGAGGCAAATGTTCAACTACTTTTTCATGTTTATTTCGCATTGCGGCACCAAGTGGAGTCGTGCGATAGCGGTCCTGTACTGGACCTCACATATAGCATAAAAGAGAGCAGCAAAAAGATTTCAATGGTAGATTATAGCAACTTGTCGAATAGGTCGAGCGGGTTTCAGTGTCTTGGTCCAAGAGATTATGACCCCCTCATTTCGTTCCGCAGCAGATTCTATCCCTTTCGCGTAATAAGGGAGAAGAAAAAGAAACAAAAAGAAATACCTAGGCAAGCGGAGTAAAAGCAAGAGTGATACAGCAAAAAGCAAAAAATAGATGCCACAGCTCTACAATGGTGGTAGTCCGCGCCAGCCATTTCTCTCGAGGTGGCCCTCATTCAGCCCGCGTCCAGGCAGAACCCTGGGCGGTTTGACAGAAATAGCTATTAGATCATCGCTTATGGGCTAGAACCGCTTCCTTGCCAGCACGCCACAGAGACAAGGTGGCTGTTTCGTTGTCTGGCCACCTATCTACCTCACCTTCCCAAAGACAAAACACCGTGGATGAGTGAAAGCACGTCACTTGATACAATACGGTGGGGAGAAGCATCTTTAGTCAGGATGGGGAAGTGATGTGCTGGCTAGTGCTAACATGTCCACTAGGATCAGATGAGTGATTGAGGGTGCAGCTTCGGTTGAGCGATCTGCAGGGTCTGCATGAGCGAGCTCCGGCATGTTACGACGACCCCGTACTCCCGCGCCTAACCCGCATCCCGTACAAATGCTTGGGGGAATTGCGTGAGCCAGGAACTAGCATGTCCCGAAGGGTCCTGGTGGTATTTGATCACCCCCGTAGTTCGTCCGGATATACTCCGCAGTCTGCCCCAATTATGTCTGCCCCGCGTTCACCGCGGAGTGTCGGGGAGGGTGATGACCAGCGCCCAAGGCCCTAACGATGGGATATAAATTACTATTACAGTCCAAGCCGACAGATGAATCTATACTCCGCTGTCCCTCCGGCAGCCATTAGTCCTCGAACACCTCGAATCTCTCTCCAAGGACAACATGCGTGTGACAACCCAACTTGCGCAAAGTGGCCTCCCGCCTCCTAGCCCACACACTGACAGTCAACCCACGTCCTTCACATTTCTCCAGGCTACCGACGCAGTCAAAAGTGGCCTTCCTCTCCCCCAGGTCGTCGCCCGCCTTCTGTCCGAGCTGACAAAGACTGAATGTCTATCCCTCTTGGACGGAGACGAACAGTTCTGGGGCGGATTGCGCACCATCCTCTGCGACCGGTACAACCGCCATCCTTTCGTGCACGGCCATGTTCGGCGTCTCGGCATCCCTGGCATTCGGTTCACGGATGGACCGCGGGGGGTGGTCATGGGGGAGTCGACCGCGTTCCCCGTCTCCATGGCTCGAGGCGCAACATGGGATGTGGATCTGGAACGGCGAGTCGGAGAGGCGATCGGCCGCGAGGCCAAGGCCCAGGGCGCGAACTTCTTCGCCGGCGTCTGTGTGAATCTCCCTCGACACCCGGCCTGGGGACGCAGCCAGGAGACTTATGGCGAGGATCCGCTGCTTCTGGGGGAGTTCGGCCTGGCGTTGACGCAAGGTGTTCAGCAACATGTTATGGCGTGTGTGAAGCATTTCGCGCTGAATTCGATGGAGAATGCGCGATTCCAGGTCGATGTCCAGGTCGACGAGGATGTCTTGCGCGAGGTCTATCTTCCGCATTTCCGACGAATTGTCGATGGCGGCGCGGCGGCGGTGATGTCCGCGTATAACTCGGTGAATGGGGAGTGGGCGGGACAGAGCCACCAGTTGCTGATGGATATCCTCCGGGGGGAATGGGGATTTGATGGCTTTGTCATGTCGGACTTTATCTTTGGGTTGCGCGATGCGGCGACCTCAGTGAGGAACGGATTGGACATCGAGGCACCCTTTCGACAGCAGAGAGCCATGGATCTGCCTGCTGCCTTAGCGTCGGGTGAATTAGACTGGAGCGACGTGCACCGTGCCTGTGCAAGGATCCTCACCAAGCAGCTTGAGTTCGCTATCAGGACGGAATCCTCACAACCGGACCCCGCGGTGGTCTTTTGTGAAGAGCATCGTGCGCTGTCTCGCGAGGTGGCGACGCGCGGGACCGTGCTTCTGAAGAATGAGGAGGTCGGGGGCCAGAGGATGCTTCCGCTGCATGCTTCTTCCATCTCCCAAATTGCTGTGGTGGGCCGTCTCGCCACGGTCCCGAACACCGGAGACAAGGGCTCTTCCCAGGTCTTCGCGCCACATGTGGTGACAGCGCTGGAAGGCATCAGATGCGCCTTCCCTCAAGCGCAGATCTCCTTCACACACGAGCCTGGCCAGGTGACGGAGATGGCATCCCAGGCGGATGTGGTCATCTGCGTGGTCGGGTACGACCATCAGGATGAAGGTGAGTATGTGGTTCCTGCGTTGAAGGAGAATCCCACCCTCCAAGGCGTGTTGCCACCCGCGGTCACTCCGGCGGACCGAGAGATGTTGGCCGTCATTAAAGGTGACTCCGCTGACCAGTCCGCGAGTGCCATTGAGGTCGGGGCTGGGGGCGACCGTGCATCCTTGCGACTGCGGGCTGAAGACGTGGCGCTGATCGAGGCCGTCTCCCACAATCCCCGCACAGTCGTGTCTGTCGTTGCTGGCGGGACGGTCATTATGGAGGAGTGGAGAGCCAAGGTGCCCGCCATTCTCATGAGTTGGTATAGCGGATGCGAGGGCGGCCACGCTTTGGCCGATCTCCTCGTCGGACGAGTCGAACCCAGCGGACGACTTCCCGTTTCAATCCCCACGAATGAGAGCCATCTACCCTTCTTCGACGTGAACGCAACGCGTATCACCTATGATCGATGGTATGGTCAGCACCTTCTCGACCGCATGGGGGTGCCTGCTGCGTTTCCCTTCGGCTACGGATTATCGTACACATCGTTTGCGGTCGACAACTTGAGGGTCATCCCCGCCCAGTCTGCGACCGACGCCGACGGGCAGATCGAGCGGTTGACTGTCCATTTTGATGTTCGCAATACAGGGTCGCGAGCTGGGCGATATCAAGCCCAAGTATACGGTCGACCGGGGGTGGAAAACTTCCCGTCCTGCGTCTTACTGGGTTTTGCGCCTGTCAGCTTGGCACTAGGGGAAACGCGAGCGGCAACCATTACGGTCTCGTTGAGACCCCTTCAGAGATTCGTGGATGGGAAACTCACTCTGCCGAGGAAGAAGATTCTGGTGGAGGTTGCGTCTTTTGCGGGAGATCCAGATGCCACCCGCATTGCATTCATGCTCTGATGGGCGACCGTGGGTTCCGTAGCGCCGCAGATGATCCTGGACCTACGACCATAGAACTTTACAAACGTGACAATGACAATGTATGATCACTGCAATGCCGGTTTATCAATTGTATGCTTCCTCGTATGCTGGATTCCATAGCCATAGCCACGTGGATGATAGTTCCCCCGCAGCATCTCCCGGTTCCAGCAGAGGAGAGGTGCGGCCCGTGCTTAGAATGCGTGAATTTTAACTTGAACTGCAGGGATCAAACTCTATAAACTCATCATCTTCATTAGCGCAATCTGGATATAGACCATATAGAAAATTATAGAGAGTCTGATGATGGCTCTAACTGAACATTGTCCACGTATTGGACACAGCTGATATAACAAATCCGTTAATTGAGGTATTCTAGCTCTATTATCTACTGCTAACATTCTATAATAACTCTCTTATAAACCACTTTCTACAGCTTTACCTTCTCTTTAAGAAATTTCATGTCATGTGGTGCTCATATTGAGTTCCTCGTAATAATTTTATTCCTAACTTAATTAGATAGTAATAAATTAAGTTTTGATTGTTGTTATATTAAAAAAATCTAATTAAAACTCTAATTAGTTAGTCGTTCGGCTAGCTGCCTATTCAATAGGTGTATTAAGTAAGACATTACAAGGCAACTATTGAAGGCTAACAATCAAGATCGGCGTTTGTTTCGAGGCAATTGCAAGCGACCCGGCTTTTCCGATCTGGGGTTCTCTCAACTCGTATCAACCCCGGATTGTGCCCGCAATCAAAAAAAAAACCGGGGTATCGCGGACGTCCCCGACACTCCGCGACGCTAAGCGACGCGCCGGAGGCTTTTACCTTTTCCCCCTAGCATCCCGAGATTCCCCTTTCGAAATAAGCTTTGCATCGTGCGGGCTTCCCCAAGGCGCATACCCCACATTCTGCAATTTCTCCGCAATCCTGTGCTCATGCGATCCCCTGGAGAAACACGTGCTGCGAACCTTCCTTTCGCCACAGCCAGTCACGTCCGCAGAAGGTGAACCCTCCAATATAGGATTTATATTGTGGGGTAGACAGAGAACTACCGGAGAAATATCTCATGAGACCGTGATCGACCAAAAATTAATAGCAGAGGAGCACCGTCGAGCTATAAAGGAAGGGTCCGGTCGACGAAACACGAGGATTTTCTACTTGGAACCCAATTGCTTGTGATCCGACCTCAAACATCCGTTCCATTCCAGTCCGACACCGAAAATGCGTTCCCTTGGACTGTTTCAGTTTCTGCTGGGTTGCGCAGTGCCGTTCCTCGGCACCATCGACCGCGTAGGAGCCGTGGTATCCAACCCCAAGCCAACTCCATTTACCGACTTTACCGACTACATTTTCTTTTATCCTCCGGCGGACGCCGTCTCATGGAAGACCCTCTATGCGCGCTCCCTCCAACTCCCAGATGAGTCCCTTCTCATGACATGGGAGAACTACCCGGCCGAGCCACCTCTGGTCAACCACCCCATCTTCAAATCCGTCGACGGTGGCTCCACCTGGACCAACTTCTCCGCTATCCAGGACCAAGTGAACGGGTGGGGGATGCGCTTCCAACCCTTCCTCTTCACCCTCCCCCAAGCCATGGGCCGCTATGCTGCCGGCACCATCCTGGCCGCCGGTGTCTCTACCCCCAAAAGCCTCACCGGTGGCGTCTACATCGATCTCTACGCCAGCACCGACAACGCCGCCACTTGGAACTTCGTCAGCCACGTTGCCTACGGCGCCGGACCGGAAACCACTGCGACCGGAGACGCAGCGCTCTGGGAGCCCTTCCTGATGGTCTACAACAACCAGCTGGTCTGCTTCTTCTCGGACCAGCGCGATCCCGCCCACAGCCAGAAACTGTCGCACGTTACCACCACCGATCTCGTCAATTGGTCCGCGGCTGTGGACGATGTCGCGTATGCGAATGTGGGAGATCGCCCCGGTATGACGACCGTTGCGCACATCGAGTCTACGAACAGGTACATCATGACGTACGAGTACTGCGGGTCCGGCGGCTGCGCGGTTTACTACCGGACTGCGTCGTCACCGCTGGAATTCAACTCCGCGACGGGCATTGCACTGAGATCGAACGGTACCTCCAAACGGGTACCTGTGAGCTCGCCGAATGTGATCTGGACAAAGCATCCGAATCGCACGGATGGGTCGGGTTTGATCCTGGCCGGTGCAGCGAACGAGGGGGCTGTGTATGTGAATGAGGATGCGGCGGATCCGGCGGGGTGGAAGCTGGTTGATGTTGGGCAGTGGGCGGCGTACTCGCGGAGTATGAGAATTGTGACCATCAAAGGTAACAAAAAGTTGCTGTTTGGCAACGGAGGGAACATGGGGAATCCGGCTTATAACTCTGTCGCCTGCGGTGTTACGGAGATTCCGACCTAGCCGGTTTTTTTCTTCGATCACCTTTCGTAGGCCTTTACCGTTGGCATCTGGGATCTGGGAGCTATTCACGTGAGGAAAGAGCATGGATGTTCTGAGTTGGGACGGCTCGGCCCTTTTATGTACTTTTGGGTAGTTATAGAGTGATAGGACATAGAACTGCTGCGGTGTCAACTTCAAGTGCCTCTTTCCTTTCCTTTTTGAGCTATATTTATTCGAGTTCTATTTCTTTCTCGCACCACGCGCCAGGTTGTTTTCATGAGAGAGCCTTGGAAGTCCTGTTCTCGAGGCATTTGTAGAAAATGACTATGAAGAGCGGGCGTATGTACTAGTACTATGAGAAGGTAAGAGAACTCTACATCATTGCCTTCCAGACTTAAGGCATAGCAAATTTCCTTATGCCACGATAGTTGGATCACGCGATCTAGGATAGGTAGGTAGGTCTGCGCAGAATACTTACTTTTCAAACGCTTGTACGGTATATGAGCTCTACAGAGCTCTCTGCGTTTTAAACAGTATTTTATAACGGGGCGTAGCCAAGGCTTTGTACAGGTCCTTCGAAAGACGCAAAGGACGTCTTCTTTTATACGTCACTGGGGCCCAAGAACAGGCTAGGTCTGGGTAATGGAACCAGGTGCTTTGTATTCTTGGGGGAAGGGAAAAGAATTGCGGACTTGGGCTTGAAAATTATCACTCTGACATAAAGAATGTTCCCTGACTCGAATCCGGTTGCCCACCAAGTCTCCACCAGCAAATAAGTGAGGGCACGGCACACCAACCCCGATCAATGTTACCCACGAGACTAAACTTTCCTCATAATCTCCGCCACCACTTCGCCGTCACACTGGTGTTGGCCCATCTTGCGTGGGGGAACGCGACCGATAAACATTTCATCAATCTCCTCATAAGTCCGCATCTTGAGTTCCGGAATATAGAAGAAACAGACGACGGTTGCACAGGCGGACAAGCCACCAAATACAAAGCCCACTTTGCCTTTCATGTTCTATCCATGGTTCTGGGGTCAGTAAAACAACTGAGACGGGTGAGAGGGAGGGAAGGATGAGCGAGGGTGGAGAAAGGAGAATGGAGGACTTACGCCGGCGTCCGGATTCACCATATATGGCACCGCAAAAAACATGATAACACCGAAGACAGCCTGGGTGGCCGTTGCCAGGGCCGTTGTGCGTGCCCTCATGACAAGAGAGGATACCTCGCCGAGCAGGACGAAGGCGACGGCGCCGATGGTCATGAAGTATACGAACGAGTAGATGACCGTAAGGGATGCTTGCACCCACTTCGCGCTACTGGTCGGGACGACGTCCAGAATGCCGATCAGGAGAAGAATAACCGTGCAGCTCACCATCCCGCCTAGGAAAATTGGTCGTCGTCCCACTCGATTCACGAGGAACCAGGAGCAGATGTTGCCCGCTACACCGCAGGCCGTGACACCCACCCCGAGGTCAAAGGCATTGGATGTGTTGAGACCCGCCAACTCGAAGAAGTAGGTTGAAAAGCTGAGCACAAAAATAATGCCTGCCAAATGCTGGCAGGCAAATATTCCCATGGAGATCAGGGTGCGCACGCGATCGGTGCCTTGGAATGCGGCGAGGTAGCTGGGGTTTTCGGCCGACTGTTCTACTTCCACTGTTCGTTGGATGGAGGCGAGCTTGGAAGCTGTGTCAAAGTCAGGGCCGTAAAGCCGCTGTAGCGTCTGCTGGGCTTGCTCCATTTCCCCCTGACGGACCAGGTACCAGGGTGACTCTGGAGACAGCCAGCTGCCCGTGAATAGTAGAATGGAAAACAAGAGCTGCACCAGAAACGGGCCCCGAAACGCCCACACATCCGACCGGTTGGAGAAGCCTTTCGTGACCCCGTTGGAGATCAATTGGCCGAGTGCGATGGCCAAATTGACGCCCGCCGACGACATCCCGCGCAGTTGCACGGGTGCTATCTCGGAGCAGGTAATGGGCCCAAGCGTGAGATAGAAACCCACCCCGACGCCGAGGATCAGCTTGCTCACCACGAAGGCAGCACGGGTGAATGAGAAGGTTTCCCCGAAGATCCCGGCCGTGACGATGACGACGCCCAGGGCCAAGCTCTTCTTGCGTCCCACTCGGTCCGCAACCCAGCTGCAGAAGAAGCCGCCGAAGAACTGGCCCACCGAGGACATCACATTGAACGCAGTGAGCCAGCTGGCGGGGATCACCGGAGCACCGTTATACATGTATCTATCACCATGGCTGATTAGCGCGTGAACCATGCGATCCACGGGTTCTGACTGACCCATAATAAGAGCGAAACGAGGCAACTCCGATCATGGCGCCATTGACTTGCGTGTCGAACCCCCCTAGATCACAAATTAGTCGCTAGACGATGGGTAACGGTGACCGGTGGGATAGTGCTCACATCCAAGCGCCGTCATACACCAGAAGAATGACCAAAAGACGATGGTGGGATGCTTGCGAAAGGTCTCCAGTACGGTCAGATGTCGCTCGCGGTCGGCGTCCGCGTCCGCCGGGGTCCAGCTCTTCGGTGGAGCCTCCACATGTTGGACATCAAGATCGCCTTTTTCAGCGGGCAACTGCTCCGTGGAGGTATTCATGACTCTGAGCTGGTTCAAACAAAAATCCGGGTTGTGAGAAGAATATGCGGCATTGATCGTGTGAGGGTGTCTCTGACTTTGCAGGAATCCTCTGCTTTTAAACCCTCTCGCATGCCATTGGGAATTGTCTCTCCTTGCTTGACCCCGGACGGCGCATAAGGTTGAACTTTGCGGGCGGGGGATATTGCATCACCCGCTGACCCTCATCGATCGTGCTCATCCGGGGCACGCGGCCACGCTTTCAGGGGGTCGTTCCAATGGGTGGATGCGAGTTGTGGGTCGTCCCATGCGAGGATGTCTCCGAGAGTCGCCAAGTGCGGGGGTGGAGCATGTGCGATCCCGAGACTCCCCTTGCCAATATAATTGCCTGCCTCCCTCTTCCCCGTATTTCCCCCGGAGTTTCCCCCGACATTCCCCCCTGCCTCCACACCCCATACTCGCAGCTGGTGGAAACGTGCCAGACCATGCCCCTTATTTGATGTGCTGTCCCATATGACCCCCAACAAAAGAGCCACGATAAGCCGGGGCAGCACTGCTTATGCGCGCAAGCGAGCGGTGACAGCCTGCCAGGTGTGTCGTGCAAGGCGGACGCGATGTGATCAAAAGAAGCCGCGCTGCTCCTTCTGTGAGACAACAGGGGCGCAGTGTGTGACAGAGCCAGGTGCACAATCCAGCTTTGACCCGGCTAGCCTGGCCATCCTGGCGCGTTTGGAGAGCGTGGAGAACAAGCTCGATGCCCTCCGGGGCTCTACGCCCCGGCCCTCGCCCCCCCCGACGGCCGAATCAAGCACCCCGCAGCCGTTCCCCAGCCACCAACTGGTGTCCAGCCTCCTCCCCCAGAATCTGGATCAACTCCTCCAATGGTCGGTGTTTGAACGGATACGTCCAACCTCAACCAGCCAACCTCATGCCCTTGCTGGATTTCAGCCTCCACATCAACCACCCTCGCAGCCAGCAGCGCTCCTTGGCGACGAACTGGATCCGTCCGCGTGTTCGCACTATCTCAATGACTTCTTTGCACATGTCCATCCCAAGAACCCAGTGCTGGATGAGCTGACCGCGCGACGTGTCGTGAGAAGGGTGTGCTTAGATGGTCCAGGCTGGGACCCCGAATCCTGCCTGGCACTTCTCATTTGCGCCAACGGCGCCGTGGCCCATCCTCTCACCACCCAAGCCTCAACTGGGGAAGAGATGCGCCGCTCGACGTCGCGAGTACTTTTTCAAGCTGCCCAAAAGCGGTTGGGGATAGTCCTCGACGTGGCCGGAGTGGTCCAAGCACAGTGTCTGTTCTTGGCGGGTGTCTACTTGATGTCATCTTTGCGACCCTTTGATGCCTGGCGACTGTTCCAGCATGCGCTTGCCATGTGTCAGGGCTTTTCATCGGGAGACCATCCTGACCCGGCCGCGGAGAGTATCTACTGGACGTGCTGGAAATCCGAACGCGAGGTGCGCTGGGAATTAGGGCTTCCGGATTTTCGTGACATCTCCCTTGATGCACCACAGCTCTTTCCCAGTTTACCTTCGCCCAATCAAGAAGAAGACATGCTTCGTGCCTGGTACTTTTACCTATCCGAGATATCCCTCTGGCGGCTGGAAATGGATGCGAGAGTCGAGATTATGCGTTCTTTAAGTGAGCCAGCCCACGAGAACGGGTTGTTGGAGCAACTCGCGGGCATTGCGGACAGCACCTTCGAGCAGATTACCCTGTGGGAACAGTCTCTCCCGTCTGTCGTCAGCATTGCCTCGCCTAGTCCCGCTGACCCAGCGGTCGAAGATGATGTGCTACGGTTTGTGCTTCGGGGCCGTACGACTTACATTAATGAACTTATATCATGGCCTTTTGTGGCCTGTGTTATCGCGGGACGGCCGATCACGCGGCGAGCGAGGAACTGGGCCCTTCGCGGACTCCAGTCTCATCTGAGACGCCTCTCACATAACGAACCGGGCTTTTATTACCGACATCATGGCACCTGGCTCATGGTGCGATCGTCCACCCGCAGTCTTTGTCTGTTGCTGGCCGTAGCACAGGACCCGTCAGCACATGACCTCCTTCCCGAAGGATGGAAAGAAATGGCATTGAGGACGATGGATATGCTGAGGTTCTGGCAGCACGAGATAGAGGGGATGGAGTGCCTTGTGATGCAGCTGGATCAGTGGTTGTCTTTGTATTGAATTACACCCGAAGAAAGAGAAGTTTCGTGGGAGGTCCTAGTTTCCGACTAGATTTCCGACCAGTTCATGTACAATATTCCAAAAATCTATATCTATCACCTTTTGCCTCTGCGCAGATGCGACCTTTTTTCACACACCTCCTTCCCCCTCCATGATTAGATTATTCGCGTGTGGCCGGCGCCGAAATAAGTTTCACCATCCACTTCTCTTCAATATTTCTTAGATTATTATGGCGGATCTTAGGATATCCGTGCGGGTGAGTCCTTAGAGATTTTCTGCGTTGATCCGGTTTACCATACAAAACATGCGGGAAATGGGGGGTCGTGAATCATCTGGATCATAGTGGTAAATGCCACCTCCCAGATCAAAAATGAATTCTCTGAATGCGTAGCAGAGCGACATGAAGACACATTGTTCTCAGTTCATCTAGAAAATCACAACAAAGACAAACGTTTATGGAAACTTCGCGCCAGGTAAGCAAGCGATGGGCTCAACCATTCCGCTCCCGCAGTGACCGCGATAATGCAACCAAATTAGATGGTGCATCCTTCTGTGCAATATATAGCTCAACAAACTGCATTCTATTAGTTTAGATTTCATGCACAAGTAGGAAACGGGACGAGGCAAATGGATAATCACGATTGATACACTTACCTGGAGAACCGAACAGTCAGTGAATCTCTCTTGACTCCACAGCGCCTGGAGATCCTCCCTGGTCTCGACGCGGTGAGTCTGGTAAGCACCCGGTGCTGCACCAAACGCCGCAGGAAGAAGCTGGTGAGTCCATGGTTGGATGTCGTTGTAAGCCTGCTCTTCGCCATGTATCAAGCGCTCGACAGTGTAACCACTGTTACATATGACAAAACTACATGGCATTAATACAACTTGCAACCCAATCTTGAGTAGGAAGGATGCCCTCTACAATAATCGAATACTCACATGATCGGTGTAAGACCATGGCGGATAATGGTGCTTAGTTCCTGGCATCCACACTGGAGGCTTCCATCTCCAATAAAAAGGATGGTCCGTCTTTGCGGGTTACAGGAATCCCGCGCAGCCAGGGCTGCTCCTTGACACGCCCCAATCGTGTATCCGATGCTCGACCACAAGTACTGCGCGAGGAAGATAGCATCAGGAGGAAAGGTCGTGTTCCATATTCCATAACTTGCTGTGCCTGCTTCTGCTAGAATGATGTCCCCTTTTCGAAGCCATTTCCCCAGATGAGTCCAAAACCAATCGTGTGTGATAGGTTTGTGCCCCTCAAACTCATGTTGGGGTATCCATGGACCCATGGACAATAAGGCCGGAAAGTATCCTTTCGAATTTCGAAAGAAATTTAGGAATTGATCTCGAGAGCTCTTCTCAGTGCTTCTCCTCCGTATGGGGGTGTTTGCGTCCGTCTTGTCGAGAATGATAGCAAGGGGTTCTTGCTGCTGATTGCGATCGACCCAGGAAGAACTATGTACGGGCGGCAACTCATTGCCGAGCTCCGCTGTTAACGCGATCAGGACATTGTTGATGTGGATGTTCGTGAAATTGTGGCCCTTGACCTTTGCACGAGTTCTTTGGATATCAATCAGCCTGGTATCGTCCACATTTCCGCTGAAGCCCGAGGTACTAAGATCCGTCTGAATGTTTCCAATACTAATGACTAGGTCGACAGAGTGCATCAGCTCAAGAACATTCGGGCTTGAGGTCGAGCCCACATAGAGTCCGACATAGTGTGGAAGGGTTGCGTCCACAAGCCCTAACCCGGAGGCTGCGGCCAAGACAGGAAGCTCAGAAGAGCCCAGAAATTGATCAAGCTCTCGTTTCGCGCCGTGCAAGATGCCATATCCCCCGATTAGTAATACCGGATTGGTCGCCTGCTGAACCTCATGTATCACAGTGTCCACCAACCGTCCATGTTGAAGCACGTCGTCACGGGGCATTGTCCGATTAAGCGGTGGACGGCTGCTTAATAGATGGCGTGCAATTGGCATGCGAACCATGTCGGAGGCAATAAAGATGGTAACAGGACGGCTTTGGACCCAACATGTTCGGATAGCTTCGTCAATCAAGACAGGCGCTGTCTTTGGGCTGTCGATACTAGCCGTCAGACAAGAGACCCTACGGCTCATTTCCTCGAAAGTTGTGAAATCTCCATCACCCAAAGTATGATGCAGACAGAGCTCCTCTTTCTGGGCATGCAGGCTTGGCTTGGCAACAACATGAATCACAGGGACAAATTCAGCAAAGGATCCCGCGATAGCGTTTAACGCGGACAGCTCTCCAACCCCCATGACCGTCATCAATGCAGAAATCCCATTGATACGCGCATAACCATCCGCTGCGTAGCCTGCCAAATGGTCATAATTAGAGCAGATCCAAAATTTGGGTGGAAGCATTATCTATGAAGCCCATCTTACCAGCATTGAGTTCATTGCAATTGCCAACCCATCGGAGGCCACACTTCTCCACATAATCCAAAAAAACCAAGTTGAAGTCGCCTGTCGGCTCGACCCGAGTTTAGCCAAGAGAAGAACGTTGTTTGGGGGCCTTGGGAACCTCCTATCACTTACCCGGTACTCCGTGAACAGATCGGATCCCAATTTGCTTGATTCGGATACACAGATACTCAAAGAGATCTATGGTCTCTAGGGTGCTGTAGTTCACCATATTGAGAGAAGAAGTGTTGCTGGAGATTGATATATGCCCTCTTCTTGGGTAGATATTTGTCTACTATTTATGCTCTGTGAACACAGATACGTACCTCTCAGCAATAGATCTCCCGTGGTCGTGCTGCTCGCTTGAGCAGAAAAGCGCGTTTCCGGCTGAGGAGGTGAGGAGGTGGGGCCCTCACCTCCTCACCTCCTGAGGTCAGATTGGTAACCGCTGGTAAATACTAGTATTCTATATTAATATGAGGTAAAATCCCTAGGGCTTAACTAGTTATATGCTGATAATAAGCTCAGGAGGTGAACTTCTAACGCTAAGGCCCTTACCTCCTAAGCTCTTCGAGGGAATAACTAGTAACTACTAGTAATTCCCTTTAATTACGTTTATTCTCTATAGGGCTGCTACCTCCTGAGCTAGAGGGTGATTATAAGAAGTTACTAAAATATTATAGTAAGGTTTAGTAAGAGTATAGTAGATAGTAATAGCTACTAGGAGTACGTAAAGTATATACTAGATACTATTAGGATAAAATCGTCGCTAGTTAATACTAGGAAATAGTAGTTAATACTATTATATTATATTTTTAGAGGTTACTAAATATAAAGAATAATAATAAAAGTGTATAACTTAATAATATATATACTATCTAGGATAAAATTAAAAATAATAAAACTAATAGCGACTAAAAAGAATAAGTAGATAGTAGATATAACTAGAAGATACTAGATAGAATTAGTAAAAGGTAGATATAACTATAGTATACTAGGAAAGAGCTAGATTAAATAGTAATTATCTTCCCTATATCCTAGGGAGGTCTACTACTATTACTATTACTACTAGAAGGACGTTTTTTAGGTCTTAGAGGTTTATTATTAGGTAAGTCCTCCTCTTTATCTTCCTTTTTATCTTCCTCCTCGTCTTCCTTCTTTTTATCTTTCTCTTTATTATCCTTCTTATTATTAATTTTATCGTTATCTATAATCTCCCTATCTTAACTAGAGATAGTTAGTAAATAGTAGTAAATACTAATATTAGCTAATACTTACTACCTTAGGGTACCTTTTCTATTACTAACTATTATTCCTAGCTATTTCTTACTACTCTTTTTCTATAGGATATTAGTAAAAACTAGGAGAGAGTAAGAGATATCTATATAAGATAATAGACTTTTAGGTACTTTCGGATCGTTACCCTATAGCTAGCGTTAGGCTTTCCTAGCTTTATCGTATAGTTATAGTATAGATATCGAATAGTATAGCGAGGGATTTACTAAGAGTTAGTATTAGTAACTAAGGATAACTAGGAGATAGTAGGGTAGATAGGGACCTACTAGTAGAGTATTCTCTACTAGCTATCTAGTTACTTTATACTCTAAGTAGGTATAAATCTTCTTAGGACGACTAGAGATAAAAATAATTAGTAATTATTAATATATTCTAGTAAGTCCTAGATCTTATTACTACTTTTTAGGACGATTTCCCCTATTACCTTCCTAAAAGAGGCCTTTAGTCTTTAGGGCCTTTTTCTTTTAGGTTCTTTTTACCTACTTCTATACTATAATAGTAGCGACTAGTAGAGGGTAAGGAACTCTAGAGAGTAATAGTAGAATTAAGTTAAGGTTAGATTATAATATCTTTAGGTTAGACTTTTTAGAATACTTATATTTAAAATTTAATATTAGTAATATAAGTAAATCGGGTAGAATAAAATAATAATTCTTAGAAGAATATAGTTAAAATTAGAAACTTTTAGTAAGGTTAAAGAAAACTTTATAAAGAATCCCTTTAGAATAGAAATATACTTTAGGGATTTTATATTCTTTATATATTTTATTTCTTAGAGGGTAATCTCTTTAAAGATATTTAAAAATAAAGAAATTCGGCTACCTTATACTAGATATCCTAATAGTAACTAATAAATACTATCGAAGACTATAATTTACTAGGTTTTTCTTTATAGTTACTTCGGTATATATATATTAAATAGCTATTTCTAGCTATTACTAGCTATTTTAGATAGTATCTCTTTTATCCTATCTTTATATAAACTTCTTAATAGCTTTATCTATATTCCGTATAAAGTCCGCTATAGCGGTATTTATTAAACTCTAAAGCTACTCTTTTAAGTAGTTCGAATTAGAATTTCCTAGGGATCGCTAACTAGGTAATAGTAGGATTATTTAGGAGCTACTAATAATAGACTAGGAGGGATTAGGAGGAGATATAGCGATTCGAGCTCGGGTTTAACTAGAACTAATAGGAGCTTATTACGGTAGCGAGTTACTAGTAAGATTAATAAGTTCTATAATCTTTTAGTAATTATTAGAAGTAATTAGAAGGATAAAGAGAGTTACTAGTATTATATAGTAGAGATCTCTTAGCAAGCAGTAAGGCTGCGTAGGAAGTTATATTAGGATAGTTAATATAGGTAGGTGTGATATAATAAAGATACTTAGAAGGGGAAGAAAAGATATAAAGGAAGCTTAGTTCAATTATTATTTGGCTAGGGATTTGATGGATATTTATATCTGATTCTGGTTGCCACTGGTTGTCACCAGTTGCATAGTATTGGTTGCTATTGTATGGTTATGATATAGCTTATGATATCGTTATGATATAGGTGGCTGCTATGTAGTAGCTTATGATATCGTTATGATATAGGTAGCTGCTATGTAGTAGCAGGAGGTAAATTCATGATGTGACGCATGACAGAACGATGGACGGAGATCACCTGATGGACGCGGAGTGATGGAAACACCCGACCGAGCTAACCTAATGGGGCCTGTTTGCATGAGCTCTCTACAAGATAGTTGCCAGAGCCTCCGTAGTTTCTTCCTTCTTCACCTTCGTTGTTTCGTGAATGCACCTGGTTACTTATGTGACGCATGACAGAACGATGGACGGAGATCACCTGATGGACGCGGAGTGATGGAAACACCCGACCGAGCTAACCTAATGGGGCCTGTTTGCATGAGCTCTCTATAAGATAGTTGCCAGAGCCTCCGTAGTTTCTTCCTTCTTCACCTTCGTTGTTTCGTGAATGCACCTAGTTACTTTCCAGTTGGCTCTTTCTATGATCGTAATATACAACGAAGGTCCTTTTTCACCCTTTCCTGTCATCTTTGAGTTGTACAGACATAGATAGTACGCTGTTACCGTCTCACTTAGAGCGACGCCCCACCCTGAACCGAAACCGACGAATCCTGAACGATTCTAACCGAACCGAACCGAACCTTCCCCTACTAAGACAAGCCGACGTCATGGTACGATCCCGTTCAACGATCTGACGCCGTTAGAGCACTGCGGCTAATGAGCCTTACGACTAGACCCCAGAGAACCTAGCCGGAGAGCACGAAACGAACAGCGATAACGATGAAATCGCTAGCGCCGAACCTACCGGATAGTAGGGACTAGACGAACCGATCTCTTTCCCCTCTGAGGGGGACCTTAACCTTGATTTTATTAAGAATTATACGCCTAAATAACTCCTTAACCTCCTCCGCCGAGAGTGCCGCGAAATTCGAACTCTTACTAACTAGCGGGATGCTATAAACGCTGAATACGGGGAGGTATAACGGGATCTTAAGACTGTTACCCTAAGGGCTAGTTAGCTCGCTATAAAGGTTATCGATCTATAGGAGCGTAGGTAAGACTGTCCGTCGATCTACGAGTCCCCGATAGCTATATCTCGCCGTACCGTAAAACTCCCCGATCCCCCTCTCTTTAGCGATAGTAAGACCGTACGCTTCGACTAGTAGGCGAACTAGATTCGATATAAGCTACGTAGTAACGCTAACTACTACTTAACTCCGTCCGACCGAATCTACTATGTTTCGAGCCGTACCGAGGGCAAGGCCTTACTCTATATTAGTCCCCGAATGAGAGATAGAGCGTCTAACCCGTACGGCGACGTAGAGGATATAATTAAGTATCTCGAGAGTGTCTTCTTAAACCTAAACCGAGCTACGGAGGTACTCTACGAATATATCTACCTAACTATAAAGCCTAAGGATGATTTTGGCGACTTCCTTACTAATTTCTCTCGCTTAGCTAAAAAGGCTTAGCAGCCTAAGCAAAACCGACTCCGCGACCTTTATAGTAAGCTACTACCGATACTCTAGACCTAGATAATATACCTACTCGATGACCTAGACGTTAGCTTTAAGAGGTTTATTACTACCTACTAGCGTATAGCCCTAAACCTAAGCTTATTTTATAAGCAGAAAGAATCTCGTCGTACCTAAGCGGCCGTAACCGTCTCTAGATTAGCCTTAGGCTTAGCTACGACTATCGCTTCGCGTAGACGCCCTATATCATCCCCTTTTATTAAGCGTAAGGGTACTACTCCGGCTTATAAACTAATAACCGCGGAGGAACGAGCGACCTACCTAAAGGAAGGTCGATGCTTTAAATATTACGAATAAGGATATACCTTACGCGATTACCCGAAGAAGCCGATAACCGTCGCTTCGATCGATACTGCTAAAGAACTCGCCGATTACGAAGCCCCTACTACTGCTAATGCCCCTAAATCGGGAAATGCCTAAGCCTAGGGAAAGTCTCTTTCCTAGGTGGTATAACTTTATCACTTTTCGCGCTAAATCTATAGAAGTTATTAGGAAGAGGAAATAGTTTATCTTTTAATGCCTAAATAGCCTATAATAGATATTTATTCTCGATTTCTGCGCTTAGTAATACTGGAGTAGATAGATTTATATATATCGATACCCGATTAGCCCTGTAGGCCGCGAAGGCCTTTAGGTAGCTAGTAATACGGCTAGAAAAGGAGGTGCCGACCTAAGGATTTAACGACTACCCTAGAAAGCCGATTACTTATACTATTAAACTAATACTAATAATTAATAGCTGCGTATAACGCCGCTTATTAATATTAGTCGCTAATCTTAGTAAGTACGATCTAATCCTCGGACGCGAGTAGTTTATAGAGTATAAGGTCCTTCCCGACTACGTAAAACGCCGATTAATCTAGCCGGAAGAACA